TACAATTAATTTCATGTGGGTGGCAAAATATTCCTCGACTGATGACTTGATACCATCCCATGTAAAAGAAAAGAAAAGAAAAAACAGAGGAGCAAAGGCCCTACGTGTGGAAGAAAAGTTGCAGCTCATGTAAAAAATTAATCTATTTTTAGCTTTATGTGGACGTTGGGGTTCTCTTGCTTGGGATTCCTACAATGCTTGTGGGATGTGGGCACCCTCCACATTTTGGATATTAGAGCCACCTTTTCAAGGAAGAGCCTCTGGACTTTTTTTTGTTTTGGTTTTTTAAAAATCTTCGCCCTCTCACTTTCTTTCTCGCCTCCGTATCTTTTAACACAAACTAGAGATGCTTTGCTTTCTTGTAAAGAGAAAGGTTTTTGAGAATCCTATGCCCTCTTCCTTCCTTATATTCCCGTAGTTTGGTTCTTATTGCTCTGTCCCTTTTCAGATTGCAAGATTCCCAAGCACCGTTTCTTCTATACATGTTTTTGATGTTGGCTTCTTTTCAAAACTTGTGTTTCTTTACGTCTTGAACTTCATTAATCTAAGGGCAGTCAAATTCAACGCTTTGACCATTTATTTCATTGATAATCATAGGTTTTTTGCTTGTGAGCTTTTTGTGTGAAAGCTTGAGGGCCTATTGATCGACATCGAGGGTTTAAGATACCTACCTAGAAGATTAGGTGCTAAACGAAGACTAATAGCAGTTTGATGTGAGCTTAGGCCCCTGTAATGAGGATATTGTAATCTAACATGGAAACTCCTATTATATTAATCAAAAAATAAATTGGTCTTCTAGCCATGCCCACAGCTCCACTACTTGAATTTTCCCGCCACAATGTTGTATGAGTAGTGTGGCTAAGTGGGCTTGGAACTTGGAAAGTATTAGATTGACAAACTAATGAGTATTTGATTAAAATAATACTCCTATATATGCATGCTCGCGTGCGTGTGTGTGCCTTCTTCATTGATGTGGCATTGAGTGTAGACTTCTAGCTACTTCTAGTTCTAGCTAGGCGGCAATTGATTTATTAATAACTAATTCATATGTTATACTATAAGTGGATTAGTTATATACTACGTGTTAGTTATGTGGTGTTACCAATCAAATGTTATAATATGAGCGGACGTCATAGTTAGAGTATAGTATTGATACGTAAATATACATGTTACAATATGAGTGAGTTGGTAACACTACGTGACAGTGTGACTATTACATTAAAGAATTATTTGTTTTTTCTTAGTCTAGTCACCAGATTAAGCATTTTATAATGGTATTGAATCAAATGAACTTATTATCCATGTTACTGCAAACAATTGAGCTTAGGAAGTTGGTCTTCATCAAAAAATGGGAAGCATACTGCTGTTACATTCAGAAACAAGTTACTGATATTAAAAATGGTTCTTTAATTAGGTTCTATAAGTTGTAACACAGATTGAAATTTGGGAAGGGCCAGGGCCAGAGCCAGAGGGGATGGTGTCAAGTGTGATCATATTAGTATAACAAAACCTGCAGAGGGCCAAAGGGGACCTGAGGCGCTAAGCACAGTCTCTATGTGATGGCTCATAATTAAGAATGGTGGCTTTCTCTTTAGCTTCTTTCAATAAAGATGGGTTCACAGATGGGAGGAGCTCTGCTCACCTAACTGGGGAGGGGGCCTCTTTCTGCCTCGTGACTTGACACCACCTTCAATTTTATCTGATCCTTCTTCCCCCCAAACTCACACTACAACCTGTCTTTGCCTTTTCTGAGGAAACCGAATTAAGAAAAATGGCAGAAAAAGAAGAGAAAATGAGTGAGATATATACATACAATGTATGGTCAAAAGTTTTTCCAATGAAGCAACAACCCCAGCTTCATGATCAGTTCCTTTTGTGACTCGATGCTGTTTTTTGTTGGTCCATTTTTCTCCTTTTCTTTTTCTCTGCCCGAGCATGTGTAGGGTTATGACATCAAATATTTGATATAAATAAATAACCAAAGTATGGGACTGAATGGAACAATTGCAAATTGTGTCAGTCCGTCCAGTCCTCCTCCTACCAAATCAATCTCCCAAATCTCAAAAATCATACTCCGTGCTCTAACACTTCACAGAGCGTAGGGACCAATTCGATCGTCCTAGCAAAACCTACTACGTGTGCTGTTTATTTTTCTTCAAAGATAAGGAGGGTCGATTTAGTTATAGTCTGCTATATGCGTTTTTACTAATACAAGCGATAGTCTGAATTATTCTGAATTAATATAATTTACGAAGAGGGGGATTTGAACTTCAGTGTAAAAGTACGGATTAGCTATGCTAATGAGATATTAGCAACTAAACACAGAACTTATTCAGAAACTTCGGAGAAGGTGTGTACAAAGTCCATTTAGCTAAAGGTAGTGGTGCTGGCTGGCATGCAAAGCTCACAAACAAAGAACGCATTGTAGGACAATCTGGTAGGATACGACGATTATTATTAGGTTTTGTTCGATTGATTGATTCCTCACTTTTACAGTCAAACTTTTTATGAGCTTTGTCAGAAGCCTGTGAATGTGAAGTGTCAAAATCCATTAGCTTATTTATAGCTCTCCATATACTGTGTATTATATAAAAACTTGCTTTGTTTTTTTTTTTTTTTTTGTTTTATTTTTGTTTTGTTTTTTTTTTTTTTTTTTTTTTTTTTTTTTTTTTTTTTTTTTTTTAAACTGAAGTTCATTTCATATCTGTCAATTGAATGATTTTCTTGCAAAGTCCCCATGGGTCCCCCAAGCAGCACTAATAGTAATATAATAAGTGACGTGTCACACAACACAACACGACCCAACCCAACCAGGTTGCTAGCTCAATGTTGTTGACGTCCCTTTTCTTCTTGAACCAATTACCTACCTCTGCAAACCAAACATATGCAATTTGAAATAAAAGGAGCTCATGCTCAACCCAACCCTAAGTGTCGTGTCACATGCCATTATAATCTTGCACCTTACCTAACTCTCAACCAACTTGAACAAGCAAGAAAAAAATAAAAAACAAAAACAAAGTGGCCCACAACAAGAGGCAAGGAAATGCACGTGGGCTTAGGGATATTGATGTCCAGGCCCTGTTTATGTGAATAGGTGATTTGGGCTCCACTTACCAGCCCATGCGTAGGCCATCTTATTCGTCCTGCCAAAGATTTGGTCTGGTGTAATCATCTATAATCCAACTCACAATCAACTTTTTAAAAATTAAAATTAAAATTATACAAGAGGATATCGGGGGAGTTGAACATAGGACCTAGGATATAAGGAGAAATGTTCTTACCCACTTGAGCTACAAATGCTTTGCAAGTCAACTTCACTTATTTAGGATAAGTGAAAATCAGTGCTTAATCATGCTCTAATCAGTTGTGCTTAAGGGGTAAGCTTAACAAAAGTTATAAAGCTTAAGATCCCCAAGTGGGACATTGTTTGCGCCCAAAACCTTATTATTAGTGTCCTCCGATAATAAAGATTGGTAATGTATATGGTTGGTTGACCCTACAAACAATCCTACCTAAAAAATTTGATAGCCCGTGGGTAAAGACATGCATGGACACCAAAGAGCCAAAGTTGATTTAGCTGAGAGACTCTTGAGTCTTAGAGAGTGACAGAATTAAAGAAGCTTTATTTTTCAAAAGATAAGATAAAAACAAAGAAATATTGAAGTGATAGGACCCGGACTAATGGCAATGGTGGTACCCCCATCAACGAGTTTGATTTTGCCGACAATGACCATTGCATAATTTACTTGATTTATTATCTTTTGCTTCGTACTATATTGCACGGATATACTAATACGATACGATATGATTTGTCGATACAGTAAAAATTCAAAAATTAGAATACAAATACGGCACCGATACAATAATTAAAATAATATAACTAGAAAGAAAAAGTAAAAAACTAATATTGCATCCATCATAAGTTCAAAACATAAAACTAAACACAAAATACAAAATATAAGTCTCCATAGGATTGATCAAATCCTTAAAAAAAAGCAGAAAAAAAAATTTTAAGATTGAGAAGCCACTTTCCAAATCTCTAACTCCATAGGATTTTATAATTTTAAAAATGACCAAATATATTTTAAAAATTACCCCTTAAAGTATCGGAAGGTCAAACTTTCAAAAAAATCAACTATACTCCTATATCCGTATCAGATATGTATTGGAGGCGTATTGTATCCATATCAGCGTATCGGAATATAGAATATCAATATACCCTCCAGTTAGGACTACCGATGCAACATAGGTTCCATATAATACCACAGTAACCAACCCACGCCTGCATTTGGGTGGGCCAGAAAAAATATTTACATGGCTGGCCTGCCCGTGATTTAAAAGGTCCAAAGTTTTATGGGCAAATCTCCAAGCATCGCCGAGGCTTTTTATCTTTCTATTTAAAATAATAATAATATTTTGATTGATTTATTATTTTTTACCATGGTCTCCTTGGAAGATATGCATCCCAATCTCTTTCACAAACTTAGGGGAAATCTTTCAACTGTCACATAGTGTTATTAATAAACTTATTTATAATATCATGCATGTATTGATTGATGCTATAATCAATCAATCATGTTATTCGCGCTTATAGTACGTGGTAGTATGATCGTCAAAGTGAAATATTTTGCCCGAATGTAGGACCAGATGGGCAGGTCAAGCTTGGGTTATGAATTGGGCCTAACTTAAATGGTATAAAAGAGCCCAATTTCAGGCCAAGTCGTTGAGATATCAAATTCTCGAGGCCAATATATTAGGACAAGCTTGGGCCATTGCAAATTGAAATTAGACCCTAGACATTCATTCAACATAAGCAAAGATAACTTTATTAGTGACCCCCAAAAAAAAACCCAAGAAGGAAAAGCTAAAAGTGCAAGAATGAATTAATTATGTACAAAAAATGATTTTGCATCCTTCAACCGAATTCTTAATTTCTTATACAAAGAGAAAAATAATAAAACATTGATTGTTTTGTTGCATGAAATTTAAAGCTTATATAATTAAAAGCCTTTAGATCCTTTTTCCTTCAAAACGGCAGGCTTATCAGCCAACGAGAGGCAATACTTGGCAATCTCTCTGAACTTAGGCACACTCCTCAGGTCCACCTTCGTACCATCTCTCAGAGTTATGATAATATCACCCCACTCACCGATAAAACGTGGCACCACCTGAACGTCCTTGATCACCTTGTACGAGAAATCGCTCCTATCCTGACCTGTCAGTCCCGAGATCACCGTCACCCGCAGGTTGGTGAACCTGTACCTCAAAAAGAAGGCCCTGAAAACGGCGGCCAGAGTCAACGGCAACCAGAGAAGAGTGAAGCCCAGAATAAGGTTGGCCAAGAGGTCGCCGTAGTGGGCTCCGCCGTCGAAGAAGATGGTCTCCGTCGTGGGTTTCTTGGAGGTGGTGGTGGTGGTGGTGGTGTTCGGTTTGTTGGTTGGGGTGGACACGTGGAGTCTGGTGAGTGGTCTGTTGTTATTGCAAGTAGTAGGTCTGGTGGGAAAGGAGGAGAGGTGCAAAGATTGGTGGTGGTGGTGGACTAAAGAGGTGGTTGTGGGAGTGGGAGAGAGAATTGGAGTGGAGGCCATTTGGGCTTGCTTGAAGTTTGAGAAAGAGAAGATAGAGAAACAGGAAAGGAGTGTCAAATATCGGATTGGGTGGTCGGTAGCTGAAAATTGTGTGTTTCAGATTTCTCTGAGTTTCTATTGGCTAGAGCTAGAGTTGACAGATGGAGTTTTTTTATTTGGTTCCAAGAAAAAATAAAAAATAAAAAAGAACAAAATGGGCCATTATCTATGTAGGCTCATTTGGGCTCAACCCAAAATCAAATCTACTTGGACCAATTCAGTGCTAGGCTCATCAAAATGCAACCAAAAAACAAAGTTATGAAACCATCAATTTATTTTCCAACGTGACGGATTAGTCTCTCTCTCTCATCAATGTTTTTTTTTCTCTTTTTGTTTGTTATCCAAGTGGTGAGGATCAACTTCGAACGCAGATAAAAATGATTGATCCATATATTTAATTTAAGTCATCATCACCCAAAAAAGTCACTGAAAAATAATATTATGTTACCCGTTGACAGAGAGCTTCAAATCCATGGTAAAACACGTACATGCCTAAGGATTTCAAACATTATAAAAATATGCAATAATTGTATGTGCTATACCTATAGCTCTCTGCACATGCAATCCTCAAGCTATGGTCTCAAAAATGGCAAACATGCTTTCGGGTTTCTCTTATTCTGCTGTTATCTTAATCCAATATACTTATTTGCTTAATTCATATTAATTAAGGTGTGAATGTGAGGCCGCAAAGGCACGTGGCCACTTAACGAGTTGTTATTAACTGGGAATTGTTAATCATGCCACTACACAATATTATATGAGTTGTGAAAGTTGGCACCTCTCAAATTGTCAGCAAAATGCCGAAGTTTCCAGCCATGCTGCTGCTACGGCTGCTTCCACCACATGATCCAATGAATTAAGAAAAATAAAAACAACAACATGCAGCATGACGGCGCATTAATATTTTTTGCGTGCTTAGCTAGCTTTCTTTCTCCAGTGTCAACTTAATTTCATATATGCTAGATATATATATATATATATATATGGAGAGAAGATTATGTAGATTCTGTCACATGTCTGTTCTTATAATGTGTATAGTTACTGGCTGGTTTTCAATTAATTAAGCTTGTTATTGCCTAATAATTAGAATCTATTTATCTGTTACTGTTATGACAGTTGCTAGCTAGCAGCAACTGTAAAATCTATAAGCCCTGGATCCCATGATAAGATTAGGAATTTAGGAAATATGGGATGTCTTCTTCAAATGCATGCATGCCTGCAACTTAACCTATATACAAAACAAATGCAGCATTATTAGGCCTTGCATGCGGGAGGATTATATATGTGTGAAGCTAGCGTTTGGTTTAAATTGAGCTCAAAATATCTTGGAAAACAGTGACAAATAAGGATGAGGATAAATGGTTTGTTGCTGTCACTTGAAAATAACTGTTCCAGAAATGACATGCGTTGGAAGTAAAGCATTACATCATTGAGAAAGGGGAGATAGAAAGTGTGGGAAGGGAGATGCATATCTTAAAAGGAAGTTGAAAAGGGACTCTGTGTGGGATGTTAGGAAGTGGGTGACAGTGAGTTCACATGACCTCTCCTCTTTCTCTTCCTCCTCTCCATACAAATGCGGAGAGAGAGAGAGAGAAGAGGTGGTGGTGCAGAGAAGGCATATACTTGGGTTTTTGTCCATTTCCCTCCTTTGTCATTACATGAAATGAAAACTTGCCAACGTCCCCTTCACGAGAAGGACCTTTTTTCCAGACTCTGTTTTCTCCACTCTTCTATCTCCTTGTCTTCATTTCCTCTTGGAATGTGTGCTGGATACTCTCTCTGTCTCTCTCCCTTTCAATTTTATATTCTTTTTTTAACTTCAAGTAGATTTTGTTCACCATTTCGGACTGCATTTGATGAAATCAGCAACAACAAAATTAAAAATTTTTAAAACAAAAAAACAAAATCATCACAAGAACTTTTCTTCAAGGCACTTGCAAGCATTTTTCTTTGAGACGGTACAAAGGCATGATGCCAAAGTAAGAAAAAAAACAGACAACTGAAGGAGAGAATCCCTTTTTTATTTCATGGCCCATCCTAATGCTAGGAGCTGTAACATTCAGTCACTAGCTACCAAATGTAATTCAATTTCTCTTGGATTTTTTATCGCATTAAGTTTAACCAATCTGGTAAGGCAAACCTTTCTCCCCGTCACCTCTAGAAAACATGGTATCAAAGTTCAAAGACACATATAACATACCCCTTTATTAATTCCTCCATAAAGATTTCCAGCCCCCACTTGAAAATTGAACTTGATATTTAATCTAAGTACCAAAACATGGAATATTTTAATTAAAAACTCAATATAGAAACATGGTAATCTTGGTTTGGCTCAATTTAACACTTCGGTGGATTCGGCTCAATTGAATTGATGTGTTTCTAACCATGGCCAAAACCCTGCAGACTGATCATCAATGCCACAGAACATGTTGGTCAAGCTTTCTTCTTTGACCATCTGATCAATCTTCTGGCATTGGATTACTTCAGGCCTTGATGTGTTTTGAAAGAGCTGTGCCACTCCAGAAGGCGGCCTTATTAGAGAGGATGAAAAGAGGGTTCTGCTGGTTTGATTTGGATGAGTAGATTGAGGGCTGTCGATAGCTGGCGTTCTCGAAATGTCCAACTTGATATCTGAGTTGTTTTCACTTCTGTTGCTGCAAGAGCCCTCTGTCTCTTTGTTGAGGTTGATAGATTCCGCTGGTTCTCTACTTTTCAATGCCAATATCTGCAGCCATCAAATTGACCAGTCAAGTTGAAGCATACATAGCCATAGGTAGTTAAATTGTGTTTATTACATGAATATTTGACAGACAGATATAGATGAATGAGAGAGCTAGCTCAGATGTGTAAAAAAGATCTGTACTTTAAGAGAGTCATGATTACCCATTTACCCAAATTATGATCAGTTAATCAGGGCATCAAAAAAGTTGCATCTTTGTTGGAAAAGCAACTTTTTTTGTAATCAGAGATTATTGGTTCAGGGGACCCCAATCAACAGATATAAAGGTTCTGAAAATCATGATACAAGAATTACAAGTCAAAAAAGCAAAAAACCTTTGTAATGAAAAGGAGATCATGATTAATTTCCAAATTATATTCCACAGAACCAGGCACCATACCATGCAAACTTTGAAGCATTTCTACAAACTCTTAAGATTAAAAAAAATATGCAGAATTCGGTTAAATAAGTACTTTTAAAATCAATCATTATTTAAGTGAATTAACCTCTGCCTGAAGTTTTTGGTTCTGAGCTTGGAGGGCATCATTATCTGCTTTGATTGCTTCAAACTGTCTCTTAAGGACATCATAGTCTTTCTCCAATTGCTTTGTCTTCCACCTTGCCCTCCTGTTCTGAAACCATATAGCAATCTGTCTTGGCTGCAAGCCAAGAGCCCTGGCCAACTGCATTTTTCTCTCAGGCTCAAGCTTGTTCCCCAACTCAAAGTTCTTCTCAAGTGTTTTCACTTGTTCCATGTTAAGCCTCCTCTTCTTCTCTCCTGCCTGTGACCCGTCATCTGATAAATCATCTTCCCCATGAGCTTCTTCACCCAATTCAATCCCTGAAAATGACACTGATCGCTTTCCTAGAAATGATGCCACACCTGCACAAAACACCACAAATTAATAAAAGCCATTAAGGATAAAGATCTGTTTTTCTGCCCCAGAGAGAGAGAGTACCATGAAAATCTTGAGGTGTGCAGGAAGGCAACATTGGATTGAGAGAAGTGGGAGGTTGATGATCGTCATGATCGTGAGGGGTTTGAAGCATGAAATTTGCTGAGAAGAAGGCCATCCCATTGCCCGTCATGACTTAGTTAAGCTCCTGCCACCAATCTTAAGAACTGTTGTGATGATGATCTGGCTTTCATATTAAAAGAGTGACAAGAAGATAGCAGATGGCTCAAAGTGGCACAGAATCTATCTGTTGGTGAAGCAAAAGAAGACTTAATTTATGACACAGGAAATCTTTTGCTGAAGATCAAAAGGGAATATGAATTTCTTCAAATGGAAGGGGATGCACAGATTGTTGCAATGGATGCCTTATATACCTTATCGGCAGCTTGTAGGAATTTATGTATTTTCTCTCTCTCTCTCTCTCTCTCTCTCTCTCTCTCTCTATATATATATATATACACACACACAGTATCTTTTGAGTGCTGTAGGAGGGGAGAGTGTATGATTCTGATATACTTCTCTTTGTAGGATGGGATTTCTCTCTTTTTATATGAGCATTCCCATAGCTAGGATTTTTTTATTTTTACTTTATAAAAAGCAATAATAAAGACTTTTTGGTCTTTCTCATGTAAGTGAGTGTACAATATGTCACACTTTTACTTAGGTCAATTTGAATAGAAGAATTTAAATGAGGATGTGACAAAAGATAGTGATATTTTCTTAAGGAAGACAGTTGTCTTTAAAGATTAATTTTAGAAATGCAAGGGGTGCTTTTTCAACTAGCTTGATTGATTCCATTGTGAACTAAAGTAAAAAAGCACAGGTGGTTCATGTTTGTGCTTCCTTCAATGTGAAGTGGGTGACTTGGAGATCAAAAAAGAAATGTCCCTCTTTTTGGACACAAAAGAAATGGCCCTTATGAAATCTTGTAAAAATATAACAAAATCATCAGAGCATTCAAATGGGTTTGGTTGGGAACACTGGGGGTGTCCTATAAAAAAGTGAGAGACTTCTGGGTTGTATTGTATTAGAAAAATGAACAAAGAATATATGAGTGACTGATTAATTCATGTGAAGAAAAAAGAGGTTACTTGCAAGAGAAAAATAAGAAATGAGTTGGCTGGCTGTATCTTTTAGTCCAGAGAGAGAGAGAGAGAGAGAGAGAGAGAGGGGCAGGAATCTAGGGGATGGGTCCAATGAGGGGGGGCAGGGTTTGCTACCTAACCCACCAACAGGCATCGTGGATTAGGACGAAGCTCTTTCCCATCATCCATTTATCCTTTCTTTTTTTCTTTCCATCAGTTACTTCTCTGCCCAAGTGCCCAACCCTCCTCCTCATGCCTCATGCCTCTTACAGTGGCATTGCAGCATTGCAATTTGCAATGCAAGATTATGTGAAGGAGAAAGAGAGAGAAAGAGAGAGAAAACTGATGGGTTTGAAAAGCCCAAGCAAAGGCTGTTGTCATTAACCCTACTAGAGCTGGTCTTCTTTTGTCCTTGTGCGCCCACCCATGCATATGCATATATGTTTGTGTCCATCTCTATCTATATATCCCACTGCTCCTCTCTCCTCTGTTCTTCTGTCACACCAACCTCAATTCCCAAATGGCACATGTCATCATCCCTCCACAGTGTATATATACACCTCTTCAATTCAAACAATATATTATAATCACTGTAACAGATAGGTATTTATGATTTTGCAGAACACAGATCCAAAATCATCCAACCCTAGTCTTTTTTTTTTTCTCATTGAATAAAACTTGAAATGAACAAGAAAATAAATCATGACCTTGCTGGACATTTTTGGTGTGGGGGCTGCTGCATTGTATAATTTGTCAACTTGAAGCCCAAAAGCCTTAAGGAGGTGTTATCAAATCACATCATTCGGCGAAAGGACCTCTGTGACAAAGTTAATATGGGAAAAAATGCAGCAACATTTGCTCTTTTATGCATTATCTCAAAAGGCAAAAAAGAGAAAAAGGGCACAGAGCAGAGTAGGGGCTACCTCTAGAAGAATGAATGGTTTACCTAGTTTTAGCTAGCTTTGCTACATGTGTTTGACTATTAGTACATTTCTATTATTGATCAGCTTCGTTCTTTTTCCCAGATAACAGAAGAAACTATGAAGCTCTCTGGCTCTAGCATAAAAATGTAATCAAAGAGAAACAGGGGACCCCATGAAAAGACTAAAGTATCCCAACCATACGGTCCCGTTAATCCAAAACTTGTTACGTTGGCCATAAATATTCAACACGCACACAAATTGCTTGACAATTGTCCGATCACACGTCATTCAAGTGATTAAATATCGTTTCTTGGCTTCTTCTTAACATACATGATATGATTTTTGCTACCTATTCACGGATGCAATCATACAACCCCAACTTTTCATTGGTAATCTTCATCAGCAACTAAGAAAAAAAAACACACTTCTCAAGTAGTTTGCTTACTTGCTAGCTATTAATAAAACAGTAGATTACATGCATGGAGATGGAGATATGGAGGTAAAGTATATCTGAGGCGGCTGTTTATTTAATTTGACAGAATGGTGGAGAGGTGTGTCAAGTTGTCAAGTGGAGCTTTGGATGAAGAAATCACCCGCAGCTTTTTTCTGTTAGGGGGATCAGTATGATGTTTGAATTCTGATATAGGATTTTACTAATAATAGTCTACACATGAGCAACTGTTGCGCGCATGAGAGTTATAACATTACATCAACAAGGGTTGAAAATCACTCATATATATTATATATGAATATAGTCGTTTACACATGAGCAACCGTTAGGACGGGTAAAATTTATAATGCATCAACGATTGAAAATCACATATATCATATATTATATATGATATAGATTAGGAGTGTCTGGTATGGTAGAATATTGGTGATGAAGGGACATGGGGAGGTCCCACTAATACCACATACACAGCTTTAATATTTGGCAAAGACGAGCGTTTAAGCTGAATCACATGCCTTCTATTAGCATTTAGTTGTGCGGAGTGTGCTGTGTGCCCCCAAATCCAATGGAATGGGGTGGATCCATGTTCCTTTCTCACTCCTTAGGCTCAAGACATTAGCTATATCTATCTGTTGCCCATTTTTGTTTTGCCTTTTTTATTATATATTTTTAAAGAGATTCAGAGAAAAGAATGAAAGGAAAAAAAAGAAGATAACAAACTTGGTGAGTGTAGAATAAAAAAATGAGCTGAATCTTCTCCTCTCCACATGCGCTCATGGCTTCTGGTGTGTTCATGTGCCATTTCTTGCATTGCGTCACGTCACTCACTCCAATTATGAAAATCTTTCTTAACTGTTTAAAATTGAGAGGTTTTTTCTTTCTTTTATTTATTTATTTATAATTTTGTTGAATTTGTTATTGTTTTTCAGGGATTTGCTTTTGGGCAAGGAGATATGCGTTGATAGTGATTCCTCAACCACTCACGCTTCAGTTATGTTTTTATATAAAAAAACAACATCGATATTTATATTTATTTTGTTGAAATAATTTATTTATTTACCTTCCAGCTCGATGGTAGGTCGTGGGGTGGACATGTTTAGGCTTTAGTTTTCTGATACAGTGAGTGAGTGAGGTGAGGTGGGGCCTCCCATGATTCATCGGAGCCGTCCGTTTCTGCAGGACCCATGATCCGGAATTTGGTAAGCGATACACTGAACTGATACAGTCTGATGATGCTGACGTGAGAGATAAATTGGGGGGGGGCAAAGATGGTGCGGAAAAAGAGAAACAAAGAAACAAATAAATCCCACCAATTTCTTTTATATAAATAAATAAATAAATAAAAGAAATGAATTGAACTGTACTTAGCTAGCTAGAGTATAAAAGATGTAAGAGCATGATTTAGACGGCCAACCGATTTCGGGCATGGCGCACAGCGATTTATCTTTATTCAATTTGCCATTGCATGAATGCATGCATGCACGGAAAAGCCTAGCTAGGTTGAGTTACTACTTAAACATTAATTAATTAATACCACTACTAAATTGAAAACCACATATAATAAGGAGAAACACATTGCTGAGTGGGTTTGAGACGCAAGCATATGATATGAGATATGAGCGACTGCACGGACAACGAAGTGCGGGTGCGGCTGGAGTCTAGCACTCTATTGACCTTTCTTTCTCTGGCGTGAGGATCTTCAACAGAAATGGAAGGGTGAGAGTGAGGGTGATTTGACTAATACCGACCTACCAACATCTAGTTTTTATTATAATTACCATATAATCGGATTTATTTCCTTCTAATTCCTGTATATATCATAATCAAATGGTACCTGTTTTGGAACAATAAGTGCTACTTATGAAAAATGCTCTAGTTTATTCTAATTTATAGCAATATTGGGTACCAATGGAACCCATAGCCAGCCACAGGCCATGTTTATAAAAATGTCATGACAAAAGTATTTAAACAGAGCTTCCTGCAATGTCCCAAATTGTCCCAAAACAGCAGAATGTAAACTGCAAGGTAAGAGAGGCCGAGAGCGACAATATATCAACAATTGTATAATCCGGAACGTGTTGACAATATATCAACAATTAATTACGTTAACTTGACATAATAATTTACGTGCATGAGCGGAACTAGGTTTAAATAATATACCCCAAAATTTAAAAACAACCAGCCACATGAAATTATATACAATTTTGAAAATGGCCAAGAGCCCCTAAACCAGTAAGCTAAAATATGTTGATACTTAAATCAGTTCTAGTACGACGACGATGACGCAGGGATGAACAATTTTTTTTATAGTGGCCATTAAACTTTAGCATTATATGCATGTATATCCTTTTCCATGTAACTGACAATATACACTCTACATAGGGTACAGAATACATCTAACCCACAAGAAGTGGGGGAAAAAAAATGAATGAATTTGAATATGGAAGGGGTAATTCTGTTGGTTAAGTGAACGTACGCAAAATGCCAGAGCCATCACTCAGAGAGCAAATCCTCCTGTATGGTTGGTATGAATCATATACGGGGCCGGGGGTGGTCATCATCTGATGTGCTCCTCTTGTCATTTGCCAAACAGGTGAGCTGCATTTGTCATTAGCCAAAATGAAAACCAGTTGACTTGAAAGAATTGCTCGAAAGGTTTGGTAGCCTGCGAACTGCAAAAACGCCACCAGCAAGGGCAGCAAAGGAAGCCAAGACAAAGGCAGGTATATTTCCTCCCCCAAATAAAGCATCCCATGGCCCCGCACCAAGAGACACAATCATCTGAACAATCCAACAAAATTCACATGAATCATCATCAACTCAAATTAAAATTAAAAAAAAAAAAAAAAAAAAAAAAAAAAAAAAAAAAAAAAAAAAAACTATGAACTGACCGAAGTGATCACAAAAGAAAGAAAAAATCAAACAGAGAATAAGTTGCGGCATTACATAATTGTGCTAAACTAAATAGGGATAAAACAGGAATAACGCATCCTAACTACCTGTGGAACAACAATTGCAAGATTTAGCACTCCAATAGCCAGTCCTGCACAACAGTTAAAACACTTGAGAATCTTAATCACCTAAGTTCAGTATCACAGAGAAAGGAGATGCTAGATCCCAAGTGAAAACCATACAAACCTTGGCCACCACCTGCGTCCGCAGTCAACTCAGCTGTAACCGAAAAGGGAACGCTGTAGGTAATCTGTAACACACAACCAAATGAGTGCTTGCATACTTTTGGGGCAGCAATACAAGAAAACCGACATTTACTAAAAGAACACTAATACTCACAGCAAGAGGGAAGCCAAGAAGAGAAAAAACAACCAGGGAAGCAACCCTGATATTTTCATTCCCCCCAATTACGTGTTCAATCCCTTTAGAATATTCTCCAACAGATATCCAACTTATGATAGCAGTGCCTGCCATGCAGGCAAACACAATAAAATTGCTCAATGCCCACACTAGTCTTGAACCCATCCGCTTGCACATTGGCTCAATTAGGAAAGAACTGATGCCAAGAACAACCTACACCCCAGAAAAAGAGAAGCTTAAATCAAAAGGTTAGTGGCAAGATAATTAGCACATTCATTAATGACATAGATCCTTACTAAAATTTAAAATAGGCAAGACAACTTTTGGAAGTCAAGTACTGGTTCTCAATTTTGAGTGCTTACTGAATTCAATAATAAACCGAATGCACCTTCTCTGACACCCTGATCATACGCATGTACTTCGGACAAGTTCCCTTTCGGATCTCCATGATATACTTCCCTTCCCATCCAATCCGTATCAAAAAGAAAGAACGGAAACCAGGATAACTGCATGTAAGATTATGATTGCAACGAAGATAAGTCTTTATAGAACCTCACAATGGCAACCAACACTAAGAAATCCTAATGATATCAAATATGAACAAACAGGAAATTGGCGAAATGCAATTTAAAAAAGGTGAAATGGAATCATAATAACTTGGCACGTACCCAGGTAAGAGCCATAACAATGAGCACTGAATGCATTGCTGGTGGTAAATGCCTTAAACTGGTCAATAGATTGACTAAAACGGCCCCAGGTCCGTCATTAAAACCACCATTCTTATCTTCTTCAACTTTTGAGATGGCCTCCTTTAGATGTATATCCCTTTCATAGTCATTCACAGTTCTGCTTTGATTTGCATTATCTATAACTTGCTTATCAGGCTTTAATTTTGAAAGATCAAGGCCATTTTGTTGGGGATCCTCCAATAAAGGAGCAGCATCCGATAAACGGTTGGGCTCATGCGTAGTGAGTGGAACCTCATCAGCAAAATATATGGTAACAAGCGTACACAAAGTGAGAAAGAGCTGCACACATATCAGACGTATTATCTAGAGTTGTATAAAGTAGCTTATACCACACAATTCCCCCAGCTCCAAACTGCAATATTTGAATTCTCATTTGAAAGTAAAATTAACTAAAGAACAACTCTACATGATCAAGAAGATGTTTAAATGAAAATTTCAGCAAATTTATGAATTGATGTATGGTTTCTTTAATCAACCATATACTTTGGTATAAGCATATCATATCCACCAAACTTCAATATAAATCATATCAACAAAGCCAGCCAAATTTTTTATTACTTATCCAAGACATTCAATATCAATATCATAATCTGAGACCATCGTACAAGAAATACACCATCTAACAAAAGACATCATGGAAAAGATAAAATGAATCAAGAAAGAAGTCACAAATGTAGATATAATTATTCAAGGATTTTAAGCTGCACCATCGAGAAAAAAAACATGTCTTAAAACAACTGTCAGAATTGTCAATCATTCAGCACCTGAGAGAAATTAGCATGATTCAAACTGTAGAAGATGGCTTCGTAAATATGTGCACTTCTGTGCATACTGATAACTCACCACTGCAATAAGAAATGCTGCTTTAAGATTTCCACAAGCTTCACAGCAAGCTCTACTCAACAAGAAAGGAAACCATCTGTCAAGAAACAAATAGTCAGACATACAAACCACCTGTAGAAGTTGAATTGTTAATTGTGAGACTACAATTTTGGTAAAAGAAGCAGATTTCAGCGAGTGCAAACTAAAAGTTGGATTAGGTTCAGAAAGCAAAATGTTATAAACAGGGTTTAGTGGAAGGGTATTCAGAAGTATATATGAGGACTTTAAAATCATATTGAAGTAAATATTCAATTACGAAAAGATAAAAACATATTTGAGGAGTTTCACCTGTGCCAACTTCCACTTGCACCGGCAGAAAATCCTAGGATGTTACCAACGGCCATCCATGAGCAAAACACAGCATTTGCAGTGTTACGTTGTTCAGGGCCTAGAATATAGTCGTGAAACATAATATTGTGTTCACAGAAAGTATCACATACTTTAGATTCCAAAAGTCAAAAACATGTAGACATATATTGGAGAGAGAGTCACCTGCTAGATCAGCCAGAAGAGCACGAGCTGGTCCCTAAAAAAAATTACATGGTCCACTTGATGCTCAGACATAAAGACCATTACAATAACAGTACGATTTTATTTGTCAGTAGAAAACAACAGTGCGCTCCTTTTACATTGTGATGAAAATGCACACATTAATAGTCTTAGAAGGTTTACCTGCACTGTATTGTTGGCAAGATCCAGCAACCAAAACCCAATAATAAATACAAAAGCTGCCCTTGTCCGGGTACCTTTGAATGTGCTGCATTTCCTCAAATGAGTTGGCTAACAGTAAATGAATATTTGTTATATAAAAAACAAAGAATCACCAGAAGGCAACAGAAACCTGCAATGCTCCTTTGTATCTCCTAATAAGTATCCAACGTCTGCAGAAAACCCGATTAACACCACCTAAATTACAAGACTTAGTTTAGCAAATAAAGAAAGGCATGAAATTAATTTAAAGGCATAAGGGAAAAGTACAAAATTTTGGTACTTACAGAAACTGAAATCATGAGAGATCCTACAAGAATGAAGGGGCGCCTTCTTCCAAATTTTAAAGAGCATTTGTCACTCCAAATACCAACACAAGGTTGAACCTTAAGAAAATAAAAGTTGATACAACATAGAAAGAAAATGTTTAAATAAATCCATTTAGCTTCAACCCTGAACGTCACAAAATATTCCCATAGCCAATAAATTGATGAATGCATGCACCAATAGCAGGTAAATTTTGAATCACCCCATTAGGAGATACGGTTGTGTCCCAACAAAAAGACACCAGCATGATTCATAAGTGTTAAGGCATATACGTTACAATCAAAATTGTTAAAATTGTTGGAAACTAGCTGCCATCACTTACCACAAGGCCTGTTATAGGGCCACAAAGCCAAATAAATGAAGAAAATGCATGCCCTATTCCAAGTGTCTGCAACAATAAGTCAAAACAGAGGATAGTTAACCCGAAGAAGTTACATAAGCTTTAAATAAACCAAAATTAGCACAAGAATTCATGATTGCTACATGAAATAGCAAGAAACAATACACACTGAACAGATAAATGATACTATTATTGATAGTAAAGAAATTCTTGTTGTAACAACAACTATCACACCAAACAACACTATGCACAATAACAGTAAAGATGCATTCATATTCGGCATACACTACATTATTCACTTCATTTTCATTTTCTACATTGAGTTGAGATGTTTAAAAGTTAATTAGCAAAAAATGAAGCTTATAATTTGAATGAAGTGAATTAAATTGAACATTTTTCTTCCCTTGCACTGTGCAAATGTAGATTATGAATATATTTCATGTTCATCCACAGGCTTCACAGCAACAACAACAAAATGCAAATTCGTCTATAAATGTTGTACCGTGCGGCAACCAATCCTATAGAATTTTCCCGAAGCTAATTGCAATTACTATGGGATGAATGTTTTGCGTCGATATTCTTTAAAATCTAAAATTAAAAAGTTAATTAAAACACAATGCAGAAAAATGATTTGTATGCATGAACCAGATTCAAAATCGAACCTGTATATACGGAGTTAAAAGCGAAAGCTGCAAAGCCCAACCGAACTGTACACCGGCGGCGACCGTACAGCTGAGAATGAGAGTCGTAAGAGTATTGTGTTTGTGTCCGGGTTGACTCGGCGGCGGCGAGAGGTCGCCGGTCCCATTCAGAACCCTAGGGGACGAAGACGAAGAGGAATTAAGGTCGATCCGATGATGAGCCTCATCCGTTCCCATCATTTCCACCTCCGCCTCCCTCAGGTTTCTGTACGGCACCCGGATGGAACCCGAGTCCGTCTTCCCCGCCATGGCGACTCGGTTTCAGTGACTCAGTAATGGCTGCGACTCATAAGCTCAATTTCCCGCGCAACAAACTGTAAAACGGTGCGGATCTAGGTCATCGCATGTAGATCGAACCCCAGCATTGGAACTGAGAAGGATAGAGCGTGTGAGATTTGCAGGTCGGTCAAAAAATTTGGGCGGGTGTGCGATGGATCTGATCGCATTTCAGCGGTAGATTTACTTTGCATCGCAGCACCATGAAGGTTCCTACTTCGGCGCCTGCGTTCGGTTGATCAACATCGTGGGCCCTCGCCAACTTAAAAAGGCCCAGTAAAAGTGACGTTTTGGGCCACCGGGTGATTCGGACCTAAACATGTAGTTGTGTATATTTCTAGTAAGCCTATGTGTAGCATCAACGGAAAGGTGACTTTGAATCTGGGCCGTTGGATTCTGCTGGTAGAAAGTCAAGGATGTGCTTTAATCTGGACTGTTTGAATCTGGGTTGCTTTAATTGGAAGTTAAGTCCAAATTAAGTTCGCCGACATAATTCCAAATGTATAATAGTTTGACAAACAATATAATAATCTCACTCATGAGTTTGGTATGTTGCCAAGTAAATGTCATTAACGTAAGCCAATTCATTATTCAAGAAAACGATATATGTTTAATCAAATTCGGCATTAAGTATTAGAATAATGTCATCTTCTAGAAGCTCTTTTGTTTTGTTTTGTTTTTTTTTGGATTGAAATATTTAAACAGAAGCTCTAAAAGAAAGAAAAAAATGAACAAAAATTCAAACAACCATATTTACCCCCATTACATTCTATTTTCTTCTGAGTAAAACCATTATCCATCAGCACAAAAGGGTATCAAACTATGAACTGGCAACAATTTTCTGTTATATTTACAAAAACAAAGGAGTTTATGACTCTATCAAACACCTCACTGCCTAACATTCTGAGTGCCCAAATCAGCAGCAGCTTTAGCTGCTCGGCTTAGAGCATCTGACACCCAAAGAGCTCCCGTAGAAAAGTAGCTGCTATTCACCACTGCAGTTGCAGCTTCTGCTGCTTTTCTTCCTGTCTCCGACATGGCCAATTTGGTGATCTCTGATACATGATACCTCTCATCCACGGATTTAACAGCTCCAACCCCTGCACAAATCTTATCAGCGAGGCCAATTCTCTGACTCAGTTCAGTCACCCTAGCTGCTGCAGTTGCCGAAACTTGGTGAGACTCGTCCATTGATTTCGCCTGGGCCAATGCATCCTTTCCCAGCACAAATCCCTTGGACAGCATGGTCTTGACTACTTCCTGAGCCATAGTCACTACTTCTCCAGCACTAGGAACATTCTGGCTTCCTTGTGGAGGCTGCCAAGACATGGGGATGGATTACTCTCAAAATGTTTTTCATAACAATGGTTTTGTGTGTGCGCAAATGTGCAAATCAGCAACCAAATTTTGTGGACAATTGAAAGAGATAAAGTATGCATACGGATGAATCAGTTTCCTCTTCATGCCTAGGCCTGTTCCAAAAATCAAATTCATCTTGATAGTGCCCCCAGCGGGTTATGCAAACAGCTTGATCAATAATTGTGGCACCCTGAGACAACAACAGATTAAGGACAAGGCATGAATAGCTCACAAATCAAACAGGATGAAGACCCTAAGAAACCAAAGACCAATTATCCATCTTGTCATCAGTAAGATACTATGTCACTATGAGCAGTACACGGGTTAAGTCAATAAGAACTACATTACCAAACCACACAATGATCAATACAACTTTATAACTAGAGTTCAAAGGAGGTGGTGAGAACGTGATATAACCAAGGGCAGGCTACTATGATAAGCTGGAACATTTTTCATCAAAGCAATAGCATATTCAGTTAAGGTCCGAAAATTCAGCCTGTACCTAAAAATCTAAGGTTACATTTGGATAGCATCCAAGTCCCATAACTGAATTCTTTAGTATAATTTTCTATCTTCTGCCAAAATTATTCCTACAAGAGCACAAGGTGGCGATTGGACAAAATAAACGGGGAATGGGTGGTGTTATCTTTCTCTTGCTTTATATAAGCATAAATTATCCTCAGAAGTATTTGGCAAGTTCTACACAAATGTTAACAAGAGAACACGCGACAGGAAACAACTAAGAAGCCTAAGGTTAAGACTGAACCTATGTTGATTATGCTGATATGCAGAGTGCATTAAATCTGAATTTGATCATGAAACATAGGATTGCAGGAATTGAAAGTTGCAACGAGTCCAAGAAATACTCACACTGAGCAAGCAAGCAGTCTCCTGAGAATACGAATCTTTGAAGGTCACATAGGCAGTACATGCACATTCACCGGATCTGTTTTTCCCCACGACAAGAACAAAAAAATTTGACCCAAAAAACAGAACAAACAAATTATAAGCATATCATAACAAAATACCAAAAACACTATAATTATGTAGAGAATTGAGTCAAATGAAACCTGACGATTTCGACATGGTCGATGGAACCAGAGAAAGCGAAGAAGTCATGGACATCTTTCTCTGTTGCTTTGGGAGACAAGCCCGTGACTTCTACGGCATACCCACCAGAACTCATTATCACCAAAATCTCACAAACTTATAAGATTGAAACCCTGTTACTGCAATTTTACCCAAATAAAATCTCTTAGAAAACCTGTTCTTTCAAATTTCCAATTTACAATTTCACACAAACATCATTTCATCAAATATATAATTGGACACGATTTAATAAGAAATAGAAAACGTAGCTCATAGATTGACGCAGCTCAGTACCTGTTTGTGGATCAAGAACTATCAAGGAGGAGAAGGCGGTGGAAGTTCTGCGGTTGTAGAAAAAGCCAAGTAATTTGTGAGTCTATGTGTTGCGTGTCGTCGTTACATGCTGGTACCCACTTTTTGAACAAGCAACCAACCAAGCGCCAGAGACTCTGCGCTGTGCCCAGAAAACCGGTGAAAATGGGCCTACCTGCCACCATGAGGCCCAATAAAAAGTGTATGTAATGATCCCAAATAAAGCCCAATCTAAAAAATTATCAAGGCCCTGCCCTATGTAGGTTTTGGACTAACCTACATAAACCCATTCAACCAAATGGAAATAAAGACAATAAAACTTAGCTACACCTCCATATTAAATCATGAGCCAGTTGATTACATGCCCATTTGGGATTTAATGTCGACGTGTTTGTATCCATTGGATCAACCAGTTTATCATTTTTTGGCTATTAAGTTTCATAGGCGGCTTTCATAAGACGGGGTCCACTTCTATTATAGAGATAATACATAATGTTATATGCCTAGCATTTTTCATTATTCAAAATGAAAATATTAAAAAATTTAACCACTAGCATAATAAGAATTAAATATGACATTTTCAGTTTGAGTCCGTTTAAATTTATTGACATCAAACAAAACTGTGAAAACATAAATAATTAACTTTGACGTGCATACATTAGTTGTTAACACAAGAACGATGGAATTAGAGCCATATTGTTCGTAAAAGAGTGAATTTCATTAAAAATAAAATTGAAGAGTTAGGGCAAAAGACTTTACTCTTATTATACATATTGGTATTGATAATGTATGAAATTGTGTAACTTTGTGTATTTTGAGGTCAAAACATTGGACTATATAGGTGTAAATTTTTATTTTTTTTCCCTAAGAAAACATCACTGGTCTATAGTCCACTATCTGGATCCGCCCTTGATTATGTTGCAAAAATTACGTTTGGCATGTGGAAAGACATGTGAATGTGATGTCTTATCGTTTTCAATTAATATCTATCTCCACTACTATATTTGCGGGGACAGCGTGATATAATCTCACCTTGCTAAATTCGTTGTTTCCATGTGATACAGAGCAAAAAATAGAATTGGATTAAATTAATCACATGAATTAAACAGTGCTTAAGCAAATCTTCTTCTGACACTTATAATTTTCTGTTTAAAGTACCTAATCAGATATATTACCATTCCATAATTCGGTCCCAACAAATGGAAAACAGTCTTCCATAATAATGACTGCCTAACCAAATAGTTAGAGACGCAATTCATGCATCAGACTTTTCTATTCCAGATTCTTTTATTCATCATTTTGAGTTGACAACCAAAGGAATTAATCATGAGCATGGACGCCTTCAATTTGGACCTGGTTGTACGACATTCTGCATGAGCACAGAAATTTTCAACAAATAATACACGTGTTTTGCGAATTCGTGTTGTGCCTCATGAAAAGTAGCTCAATTCAAACATAATTTGTTCTCAATGGATGGAAAAATCTAAACATGAACACAATTTGCAAAAGAAATAGGTAATACGACGATATGTTTTAACATGACCCGTTAAGTTAATAAATGAAAAAATCTAAATACGAACACAATTTGTAAAAGAAATAGATAACACGACGATATTTCATCAGTTTAAAAATCTAATCATCTAGGTATATAAAGCATGATACCGTAAAGGTGAATAAATAGTAAGTACACATTTGACCCATTAGCCACCCATTTTAAAAGAAAAAATAGTTTATTTCAATTAAAAAATAACTTAAATAAAATGCATTTTTTGATAGTATAAGGTCATATTATAATTAACATTATCTCTAAGAAATATTTAAAGAAAATGATCAAATGATATGAATAAGATCTTAAGAAATAAATAAATAAATAATATATATTTCGTAACGAGCCGCACTCTAGTTCGCCTTGAATTCGACACACTGTAGTAATAATTAGCTCCCATTTAAATATTTGATTGTGTGGACCAAACTGAAGATAAGACTATGTATGGTACTACAACTTGTTATAGTATTTGAGGTTTGGGTGCAGTATCAAAATTGCCTTCCAGGACACATCGACACCCCTTTATCCATTCCATGATTCTAACTACTTCTTGATCTTCTTCTTCGCAACAGGAGTTATAGGGCACACTCTGAGAAGTTTCCTATTGAATTGATGTTGGGTTAAAGGGGGCGACAACTTCAAAGCCTTGGGGGCTGGTTTTTTCTTTCCAGAAATGGCCTTCACATGGATTAGTTGGTTGGGCAGTCAGCAATATGTGATGGGTCCCGCAGTTGCCGCATCAACATTTAACGTCCGATCAGACGGTCAATCTAACGGATTGTGTGAATGATTAGATTTATGGAAACTTTAAATATCAAATTGATGAAATTAAAACCTCATAATTCATTTCAATATTGTACCTAAACCTCGATGGACTAAAATGTCATTAGTCCTATATATATATATATATATATATATAATTAACGATATATCACATAGAACTAGAAGTAGTTATAATAACAATTAGGTATCTCTTCCATGCCAAGCTCTTTGAATTAACCTTTCATAATTGAGGATAGGCATGCATGACAATGCTTTAAGAACGAGTTGTCGTAATGACGACTTTAATATAATGAAACAAATATTAATCCAATGAAAGTCAGAGTTATAATGGACAACACAGACAGAGAGATTGTCTGCACGATGTTTAATTTTCATGAGAAAATCGTCCTCCTAGAGGAATCATTTTGGTGTAACCTCGTTACCAAATGTTTTTTCTTTTTGTTTGATGAGAGGTCGGTTACCAAATTGGTTGTGTGGGGTAAAGTCACATGTTTGTCAGCCTCAAGGTTGCCTTTACAGGTTCACATATATCTAAGATTTCAATAGAAGAAGAATGAAAAAGAAGATTACGATATCATTTTAAATAATTAATCACAATGTAGCTAGCTAGCCCTTCTCTTTTCGACTTAATTACGTGTCGCATTCAACAATAATAGATAATCTTAAAAATGTCGCATTCAGGGACAAAGACAATTGCTATATACAGAAATGTAAATTTAAATCATCACACAAATAGAATTTGGAACTCTCTAAAAGTTCATTTTATTATTATATAAGTTAATTACGTGCCACAAGTGCAAGTCGCTGTAGAAGCGATACCATCGACATGAAGAGTAACACCAAACTAGCTATATATATATATATATATATAAATAGTCTTTCTTCTGGCCTAATGAGCAAACCCTAGCTAGGTAGGTAGCTAGGCAGAAAGATCAAAGGCTCATGACAAAAAGAGAATAACATAATATTAATAACTACTGAACTTGATTAATTAGGAAGCTCCAAAAAGTATCACATAAGTAAGCTCCTAATAATGGCTGCTTGGTCGCTGTCCATGTCCGTTGAAGCCAAAAGCTCCGATAAGCGGTCACTTAGGTCATCCACCTCTCTGTGCAAGTTTTTGATATAGTTGCAAGTCTCCTGGAGGACCTTGGACGCTGAGACCTGACCAAATTAATGCATAATTATTAAATGCAAAGGCCTTAGTCAAAAACATTGAAACATATATGAGGGCCTGGTGAGGATGGCATGGGGAACATTTAGAGTCCCACACCACAACTCAAGTTGTGGCTATAGAATAAATGAGAGGGCATGCTTTGAGTGTGACTTATCTACCTCTGTCTGTGTATTATCTAAGCAAATAAAGACCACATATATAAATATATTGACAGAGTATATACAGAGAGAAGAGAATAAAATAAATTTAAAAAAAACAAGAAATAATAAATGTATACCTTGTCGGAGCGCCTATTGCGAATCTCAGGAAGAAGCTGCTGTAACTTGGATACGAGATCAGTGATCTGCTCATCGCTGATATTCCTGGACGTACCCGACTGCCGCGAACGAGAGGATCTTCTGCCTGACATTGTTAATTAACTGGAGCTTGAGCTGTGTCAGAAGAAGGAACTTGAATTGACTGAGAATACTAGAATAGAATGAGGGGAAAGAAAAAGACCCTGAAAGACAAATGAGAGCTAGATAGTATGTCAGAGAAGTAAAGAGAGAAACTGATGATGGGTTATGAGAATGAGATATAATGAGATAGAGAGAGAGAGAGAGAGAGGCAGTAACTCTACTTATATAAGAAAGGAGCAAGTGTTTTTTGAGACAAGTTATGGAGAGAGATCAGATAAGGGGAGGGAGGGCAGAAGGTAGAGAGGAATGAGGAGGAGGGAGGGAGGGAGACAAGTGCATGGGAGAAGTGGGCTAAAGGGTTGATATTAATAGGGTTTGAGAGAGAGAAAGAGAAGAAAAGGGATAAAATGATCATAAAAGAAAAAAAGAACAAAAAAGTTGGGGTTGGGGAGGGAGGAGGGGGGATGGAGATACGCCATACTGTCTTTTCTCATAGTGTCCCCAAATTGGGGTTAGAGTTCAAGTGGGTTAAGGGAAATGTGCTCGTTTATCACCCTACTACGCGGGCCTCTTTGTGTCAGTCCCAGCACGCAAGCCCATGTTATCCTTATTACTTGTTTGTCATTTGAAAATAATACGATCTAACATTAATCAATTATTTCGTTTATTAGAAGGAATTCGGATTTGCATAGATAATTATTTTTAATTACTTAAGTTACAATCTCGTTGTTATTGTAAATCACTTGAGTTACTAGATAAAAGTAGGTCCAAGACACATAATTTAATATGTGTGGCAACTATATGGAGAGTGGTGAGGAGAGAAAGAGAGAGAGAGAGGCTCCCCTATCTTTGTTGTTTGAAAACTCCAAGATGGGTATGCAAGTGTGACATTGTTGAATGTTGACCAGTTCCATGTTTCGGTTTACGACACGGCACGTGTGGTCTCGTCTCTGTCAAATTGAACCGGATTCCTAGGCTACAATTTATGTAATTAACTACACTACTCATTCTAATTCATTCTTTAATTATTACACTTTAGCATGCTTCTTATCAATTTGAACCCCATTATAGAAAGAAAAATACAAACGAACGAACAAAAAGTGAAAGGTTAAGTATGCTTTTTACACACGTTTAAAAACCTTTATGTAATTAGCAAATATTCAGAATATTATTTATCTTAATTACGTAATTATTTATCTTAATTACGTAATATTATTTATATTATATTAACCATACTAGTAATCAACAATCATGTATAAATACGTAATTGTCGACAATATAATATGGCTGGTTCACAACACAAGCTGCAATTAAGCGGGATTTTCTACTTTTCCAAGAAACAAATAATCGGGATGTGCTCAACTTTTTTTCTGGCGTGCTTCCTGCTAATTAAGTTCCTCTGTCGATCCATGTTTAGCAGAGGCTTAGGGATCATCGCTGTAAATCCTGATTTGCAGTTTTTACTGCACCTGTTTGCACGTAATTTGTACCCCAATACATTATTATTATTATTATTATTTTATTTTTATTATTTTAAACATGAACAGAAGAGAAGGGTAAACAGAAGCATTATAGTATCCAAAGAAAACCAAGTCATGCGCAGGCATGTGAAGAAGTTGTAGATAGTGAGCAGCCAAAATTAATCACCCCCACATAGCACATACCAGTCTTGGTGGCTTCTACACCTTTCGAATTTAACTTATATTTTATTGCATATGTATTGATTAAATATTAAATAGGAACAGAAATAGTATTTGTTTTGAAAATTTTGAATATGACGAGCCAAAAAGATCTGGTACCAACATCACATCCGGTCTCTATCTTTCAATATAATACAATTAATTACACTTTATATATAGATTATATAATAATTAATGTATGTTCATCTCTAGTCGCTTGCTTCCATATAGACCTTAATTAATTCTACTACTTTCACGTGACATGAGGAAACCCTTGTACGATTGACAAATGTCCCATTTTGAGTTTTTCTTTTCATTACCTTGGAAGTAGTTTCGAACATCAACTTGTCAAAACAAAAACCTCATACGCATTGCCAACATAAGATCGGAGTAATTTGCATGCCGACGGCACATGTCTTTTCTTGCAACAGCAAACAGCAAACAGCAAACAGCAAATTAGCAATCATCATACTTTCTGCATACATTTACATGGTGATGAATAAGTGATTGTGGTAGGCATCAAACATTTGGGATCGAATCTGACTTAACCCGCCTGAGGTTTTGCTTGGATTTTCACCAACTTTGTGGCCTGAAAACAACCAAAAATTTATTGTTTTTATTCTTGCAATGATCAAAGACATCACCAAAGCACCAGCCAACAAGAGAAAAAAGCTGAAACTGCGGAATAGAACCGTGGTCGCCAAGGCTCCGGCCTCTAGAAAATATAAGGCAATTTGGTTAACAAGTTGTAGGACAGTAACGAGTTTGTGTTGGCAATCTACCAGCGTGGTGGGCTGTCGCTACTAATTTGTGACCCCACTCCACTCATATTAATTATCTCACACTTAACTACTTAGATTAAATGCAAAATTATACATTAATTGTTGACGGTTAGAAAGATGTTTACCTTCAATCAATTATCTCTCGTCTTCATCTATTTTTTTCAGAATAATATCAAGAATGATCTATGAACGAAGATTTGAAAATTAGACGATTTGAAACATTGCAACTTATTTTGTTTCCATTCAACTGTAGTTGAATTGTGAGAGCTCGGGAAGAACTTGGATTGATATGGGACAGGGGCACCACAAAACAAAATTCATAAAAACGTTGGTTCTCCATGTGATAGGTCGAGTGAATTCCAAGAACAAGGAGGCAGAAACCGGAGCAGCAAAGAGCCAAAACATAAAATTTACATAATGGGGTTAAAGATTGACCCATGTTCCATAGACCTGTGCCTCGTCTCGTGTTGGCGTCTATAGCCATGTGGGCATGTTTTCCGCCCATCCGTTGAAGAAGACACAGCCATGTTTGTGAAACATCCTAAGACTTCATCGTCGTCCCCAAAAGTCAGCCAAGTTGATGGGATGGGACACAACACAACACAGCACACCGTTTAAATGCCAACCCTAAAATGCTGGAAACCGAATACAGCTGCTACCAAATTGACCATGTGCTCTAACTCTATCCTTCTAATTGTGTTCATACCAAAACCTTTTAATCCTTGATTAATTTCAGGTACTAAATGCCATTTCGGCTTCATCAACGGCAGGCAGCACATGTTATGTTTCCAAGAAATTGAAATTTTGGAACACATGGGATGGGAGGAAATTGATATGACCCAAACAGATTCAGACACGTGACGATGATACCCCGTCACGTTCTAATGTTGTTTATCATGCATGGTAAAGTAGGTTTTAACTTTTGACCATGTTTTGTTTTTGGTGGATAAATTTCACCATGCATATAGCTGACTCATGACCTGCATGCTTGTCCGTAAGGCCAATGACACGTTTTAACCAAATTGACTGACAATTGAATAATGCAACTGTATCTTTTGTTCTCGTCTAAGTCTTCATGGTCAAGGGAGATGAACACTCATGGATCTTTCCACCACACATACTGTTGCAACCAAATTGACTTGATGTACCATAATTTTTACAATCTACAAGCGTCAAGGTATTTCCAGTTCGTTAGATAAGAGTTTGACATATTTCCTATTGCAAGTAGGGGGTAGATAAGGTCTGAGTTAGATCAGTTTTATCTCAAAACTACGGCCGAACCAATAGTTTGGTTTGGTTTGGCAATAGATTTTGCATACTCAAACAGTGAAAACCAACGACTGGTAAGTTCAGTAATACTTCATATTTTTACCACCCTCAAACACGTCTATTTTTAAGGTTTTCTTTTGGGGGGAGGGGGGATGGTGGTAAAACTCTCCTACTTTCTTGGGTGATTACATTACAAATAGAACGATACCTAGCAGCCCAGCCCCAACTGCGCGCAAAGGAAATCATCAACTGTTTACATGTGACGAATCAAAATAATAATAAAAACAGGTCCTTTCATCTAACGGTCCAAACTAAAGAGCCTCATATCGTTTGTATCTTAAATCTATTATGGGCTTACCCTTGCAAGAAAAACACTTTCTGCAGTTTCACAGACATTAGGAGAAGGTCTCCCAAAAAAATTACGCGCGAGCATTTATCAACTTCCAGTATAATAATTCACTCAGGTTTCGAGATTCATTTTACAGAAGCAGTGTTAGTTTCAGAGGAGTTCCAGTATAAATCTACTCAGTGACACCACAAATGTTGTCCGAGATATTCACATGAAAGATAGTTGGGTTCTTATCTACGAACTGGTCTTTAATATTTTCTCACCATTTCCCAACTTTTGTCTCACAAAATACAAGAACGGGTATCTGGCTGGTTGAAGGCAACCGCAACATTTCTTCATGCTCATATTTGCTTGCTATATCATGGGAAGCATTTCATTCTCTGCAAAATGACACTGGATAAGTCCATGTATAATGTATGAAAATATCATGTTAAACGGAACTCCCTTTTACCTGTCTTTCAATTTCAATAGCAGATGCAGCGAGCCTCCGCTTCATAATTGACCTCTCATGTTCACAACTCTCCATCTCGGTATCTAAAAGTTACATGACCAAGCCATAAACACAATGTAAATTCAACCAATTCAAATGTGATAATCAACATCTCTAATGCAACAAACACCAGATCTGTCTTCATTTGGCGCTTGTAAGACATGTATTAACAAGGAACAAGTAATGAAGCAGAAAATTCAGCAATATACATGGTTCAGCCTTTGGTCTCAAACTATTCAAAAACCTACTGATGCTTCTTTATCCAGTCATTGAAGTTAAAAGTGCCAAGACATATCTGGAAATAGACAAAATAGGTAAATAAATAATTCCAACCAGAACACTGGAAGATATTTAAATGAAACCAGGCTTCTTTACAATTTGTATAGTCCTATATCCCTCGCCTTCACTTTTACTCCCTTCTCAAAGCCTCATTAAGTTTCTCAAGCACAGTACTAAACAAAGCAAATTTACAAAATGGTTATGTGGGTTAACGTTACCAATATGTATCATTCATGCACCACATTCCGTCAAAATTATTTCATATGAAACTAGTACAGTCAAAGATAAAATTAACAAGTGCTTGATTCTCACCATAGTAGTATGATGACAGAATTGTAATGCGCTCAGTGGGCTGGGGAAAAAGAAAAGAAAAGAAATAAAGTTAGAAATAGAATAATAACCATTTCACAGCCAAGATTGCAGTGATGATAAATCTTCATCAAAATGATGTACAAGTGTTGAGACACAGAGCATATATGATAAAAGCATAACTGGAAGCATAAATAGACCAGTAAGCTGGAGCAAGGAGCAAGGCTGATTAACCACATGCAACTAATGAGAACCCTGTATAAGGAAGGAAACACTAATATCAGAGACACTGGTCTTTATTGAACACTACCCTTGTTGCATAGAGTCAAAGTACAACAATCCAACAGTTACACAGTCCTATCCTATCCAAGCATGAAGATAAAACATTCATACCAGAGAATGATAATCAGATGACTCCACTAAATTCATTATGATTAAAGATTACCCATTGAAGGAAAAATTATAATTCTAAAGTTTGTAGGACTGATACAATACTATTGAAAACAGGAACTGGTGAAAGCACATGCATCTGAGCATACCATCACAAAAATCCCCTCACGGCGAGTAGGGAGTTCCTCAAGCGCCTTCAAGGTCTCATCACCCTTAGTAACTTTCCCAAATATTGCATACTGGAAAGGATTCGTTATGTGAACACATTATTAGCAATCATGAGAGATGAAATGCAATGCTGAATTGGTGTGCTCGAATTGTGCTAGCAAAGAGTAGTTAGCATACAAACCTGACCATCAAGATGAGGGGAATCTCCAAGAAGCATTGAGAAAGAGGATGCGGCACTATTTGGGTCTTCATGTCTACCCAAAACAAAAGCAAAAGCAAACGCAAATAATCACAACCCAGAAATTGAATTTGATATAGCTTAAAAGCTAGAAACTTTAACAGTAGCAAGCATCACCTTCCCATTGAGAGAATGCCCCTGACATGCTTAACTTGACTGAACTCACCGATCACCGTCTTCTCAGCTTCTCTTCTCTGCTCCTCGTTCATGGGAGCCGATCTCCCGCTGGCGACGTCAGCCACTTGGGCAACGAAGCCCTTCTCAACCCTAAAGAAGTGGTTGGTGTTATAGCCTCCGAGACGAACCAGCTTGTAGATGTGCTCAACGGTTTTTGGGGCGACGCTCGGGTAGAACCCGAATTCGATGTCTCCATAATTGGTCTGCAAACACACACAAACCAAAATCTGAGTGCGTCATCATAAATTCAAAGCTGTTTTGACCATTTGCACTGCTTCTACTTCATTTCAATGTTCTTTTCTTTGTACCTGAAAAACAACGCGAGCGGATCCGAGTAATGGGTCGTGAGATGAAGCAGCAACAATACTACCACTGAGAAATGTGGAAGAAAAACAAAAGCAACTGATGAATCCGATCAATGCTGATCTACGGTTCAACATTTTCCCCCCGAATGTGCCCTTCATCGGATTTCAGCGTCAACTACCAAAACAAAATGGATCTCTTTTCTTTTCTTTTTCTTTTTCCTTCAGAGTTTTGGGGTTATTTGGGCTTAAACCCAAGTGTTGCTGGACTGGGTCAGTGGCAAATCTCAGATTTATAGGTGAATTCATAACTGGCTTTTAACCAACGATTTGATCAATGCACCTAGCATAAAAAATAAAAATAAAAATTCTAGAACCTCTTGTCATCCGTTTGGGTGTACTGATTAAATATCTTTAAAAATTAAAGGAATGTAAGAAATATAAGCTAAAGAAATAGGCAAGTTTAGCCATCTTGAGCAATTGCGTGTTGAAAGCCATCTCTTCTTTTGTCGTTGGTCTTGAGTTCTTTTTCCTCTCCTCCAATATCTTTTATATTGAAGAAGTCCCTTTATTTTTTCAGTGGGAAAATTTAGTTGCAGATGGAAGCCATGGGCCCAACAAGTCTACGGCGTTGAGCCTTCTTTTTCAAATGGTCGGAAACCCAAAAGTTTCCTTGAGTTGTCAAGCCACGCATGGGCTTCTCTTATGCGGAACTATGATAAACAACATGTTTTATTATGTTCACTCGTTCACCAAAAACTGAAGAAATACAAAATTAGATTATTTAAACGCAAGAAAATAGGAATTTGACTGTATCTGATTACATGACAACGGTTGTCCCTGTCTATATCATGATATGTATAAATTCAATGAGATTTGTGAAAATTTTCATACAAGCTGTTTAAATTTGATAGATGCGAAGTGATGTGGTTGTAGATCTAAACTGCAATTAGGGGTGGGCATCGAGAGCGGAAAACCGGAACACCGAACCGAACTGGTGAAAAAAAACTGGAAAAAAATCCGGTTGACCAAAAAAGTCAACAAATCGGTACCAACCTATTTCGATTTTGGTTTTACACCCCACTGCACCAGACCGGACCGGTCATATATTTTTTTTATTTTTACAAATTTTGAAAATCTAATGCCATATTTTAAATTTTATAATCACTATTTTTCCAAGTTCAACTTCAAAAAATTTATAAATGTATGAATTGGATTATTTGTTAATTTTTAAGCAAAATAAAATAAAATTATTTATTATAATTTTTTTAAAAATAAAAATAAAAAAAATTAATAATTAATAATCTGGTTCAAAACCGAATCGGCCGATTTTTGAAAATTTTTTTGCCTAAACCGGACCGGTTAAATATTACCGATTCCAATTCCGGTTTGAGATGAGAACCGGACCGAACTGGACCGCGCCCAAACCTAACTGCAATGTCATATTTGCAGGTACATTAAAGAAGGAAGCACATTTACTATAATGGGAGTTGTCCAGAGAAATGACAATGTGTTGATGATCGTTCCTCTTTTGGAGCCGATCATGATAGGATGCCAATGGGTCAAATATATCTTTCCAATATATTTGGTATGATGTTGTGAGGGCTCTTTCGTTCCAGCAACTATAAATGGGCTAGGTTGCCGTAAGGAGCTAACAGGTGAAATTACCCCATGTGCCTAAGTTCAAGAATCAGGCCCCAAGAATGCTTCGAAAGGATAGTGAAACCTTAGGAAGCACCCTGGTTATCTTCACCAACAAAAACAACAACTGCATACAGGTAAATTCTTAGCTTGTCATGAGAGGCTTGTGACATGAAAGCAAAACAGTCATGAGTTTAGCATTAAAGAGAGAGAGGGTTGTGATTTCCTATGAGAAAAAGGGATTTAAGATAAGGGGATAAAGGTATTTTGAGAGGATTCGTTGAAGAGAGAGAGAGAGAGATATATATATATATATATATATATAGGAAGAACAATGAGTGTGTTGAGTAATTTTTCGGGAGCTTGATAAAAGCTATGTCATACTCTAGAATGGCTTGCCATAAGAGAAAATAGAAGGAGATGGAGGAATATGGCACAGAATTGTAGAGGTTTTAGAGATGAGAGATTAAGCTTACTCTTTGGATGTGGTTGTCTATTGTTGGGTAGGAGGTGCCCCATTTATAGCCGTTGGAAGCTCCTCCTTTCCAAGAAACCCTAATGGTTTCTATCCAATTTGGCCAAGTCTTTCTTTTCCTTTCTCTTCTCTTCCTTTGACTCATCCTTTTTGGTGAAATCCTCTCTACCCAATTGCACAAAGACAGGGTTTTTGGGAGCTCTAGGCTTTTCCCGCAGCTGTTTCAGTAGGGGACTCTCATTTCCGGGTATCTTCTTTCCTTCTTTCCTTCCCTCTTCAATGAATAGATCTGGTGGGGGAAAAGAAATAGGTATGTATGCTGGTTTGAAGGGTGCCCTCCTCCTAGCAACCTATGCGCGCTATTATCCTCTTGATCTTTGAATGTTCTTTTTTGAAGTTTGCTATGCCCATGTGCTGGAGGCTCTCAGCAACTCACCGACATAACACTTTGGCTTTCATCGTGGTTCACGTTTCCAGCTAAGTGCTTGAGACTAGATATTTTTCTTGGCTTGCTTGGGCCTTGCTAAAGTGATGAGTTAGCCCATTAAGGGATTGAGCTAATTTTCTTAAGTAATGGGCTAATTTTCTAGGGTATTTGGCTCCTTTTTTCTCTCTTTTATGCTTACCCACATATTTGGGCTCAAGAAATGGGCTTGAGTTTCGGGGCTCCCAAGTAGCCCAACCCACTCAGCAAGCCTCGGGCATTTGCGTGGCTTAGGCCCACTTAATCTTGTAGCGTGGCTACGTCTGAAATAATGGTTCCCTGCTTGGCATGGCATGTTGTGCTTGAATGTTATCGTCTTTGGCATGATGCTTGATGGAATAATTAGTATAGGCTTGTAGAGCCAGGGCCTTTTATAGGCTCATTTTAATTCTTAGCGTGATGGATTGCATATTTATTTGGCATGGTACGTGGTCGTGGCTGGTGCAAGCGTGCATGACGAATTTCGCGTGCTCCGAACCAAGTCTTTTCTTAATATGATGTCGTACTAGGCTGAGAATATATTTAGGCCTAGCCTTAGATTTTTTAGTCCTCAACATTAGCCCCCTTAATTATTAGAACCATGAATGAGTGTTGGAATGGGCCAAATAATTAAACTTAATCCAAAAATCAAATTTATAATTGCAGGGTGCCCTTTCTCTTCCCGCGTGCACAATGGCGGCATGTCATGATGGGCTTCAAGCAGTTCTTTGCAATTTCCCAAGTACCAAATTATTCCTCCCTTCTTTTCATTTATTATTTTCTTCTTCTTTTCCTTCCTCTTTACACGCACCAGAGTAAATCTTTCCCCATCACCTTCATCTTCTTTTTCCTTTTCTTCTTCTGAGAGAGAGAGAGAGAGAGAGAGAGCTCCCGCATTCAGCCGCTGGAAGGGAGCTCAAGCCGAACCCGACTCCATCATCCCCAGCATGAAGAAACTCACTTGTTATTGCTGGAAGAGATTGTCTCTATGTAGACTTTTCTTTCAAAATTCCCAATTTCTTCTTTCTTGGTGTATCTGAGGCTATCATTTGAGAGGATTAACAAGGTATGCCCTTTTTTGTTGCAATTTCTTGAATCTATTGAAGGGTTCATTGGGTTCGTCATGCCTATGGGTTTCGCTCTTTGTTTTGGCAGCCAAGCACCCACTCCTTTTGACCCATCCATCTTTTGTTGGAGTAATCGTTAGCAAAGAAAGGTTTGCGTCAGTTTTTTGGGGTTATCCGCTTTTTGATTTCTTTCTTTTTGTAAGCTGCTGGAAGAGTGCGAACTTTATGAGAAGAAATTGTTGATATGGATTGCATCCTTTTCTTTTCTCCATTTTTCTTCCCCCTTTTATCATGTGTTAGCCCTTTTTAAGCTGGTGAAAAGGCTGAACTTTGCACGATGCGCTTTTTATATGTAGGTGTATACGTCTCTGGCACAGGCAGGGGAAGGTGTGGGAAGCCTGTGTCGTATTCCCTGCTGTTGGAAGTTTCAAGTGTACCGATTTCGCAACTTGGCAATTTGGATTTCTATCTCGATTTCTTAGTAAATAGTTTTGCTCCTTTACTAGAATCGTGAGTCTTTCTTTTGGCTTTGTAGGAATAGACATAGACTGGTGTTTGGCCTAGGCTCATTCTTCCTGTGAACACTTGCTTGATTAGCTTTGGGCTTTCTCCTATGTCACGGGAAAATGGCTGTTAAGAAACTGACAGAATGCATGCTTTGCAATGCTTGAATTTTGTATTATTGGGAAAGAATTTTTCTTGCCATGGGAATTGCTTGTCAATCATGGAACGAGAATTTCGCTTGTCATGGGTAAATTGCATGCTGCTTGGACATTTGCTTAAGCGTTCCTTTTGGCGTGAGCTTGACTTGCCATGCTTGGCGTATATTTTGCATGTGCTACGCTCTTGACCACCCTTTTAAAAAAAAAAAATTATTGTTGTTGAACTATATGCATCACGAGCGTATAACCGCATGATTAATACATAGGATTAGAGGCTGTTGAAAGCTTGGGGAAAGCACCATTGGTTTCTTTTATGAGCTTAGAGCTTGAACATGGATAACTATTTTTATTTTATTTTTTTTGGCTTTATAAGGATATATATAAATTTTTTTGTTTTTGTGAAAAAAGGTTACCATGAGGTAAGTAGTGTTCAGTTTGTAACACTTGCTTTGTGAAAAAAGGTCTGCTGGAATGATTGATTGAGCATGGAATGAGAACTTTGCTTGTCATGAGCTTGAGTAATAGATTGCATGATGCTTCAAATTTTATTTTTTTTGTTATTGTTTATGCATTGGCTTATGAAGTTTATATTGCTTGGCTTTAACACAGAGAATTAGCTTTATACTTTGCCCATTTGTAGCATATTCTTTGTTGGCAATTCTGGTAGGGATTCATGTAATAAGTCATGATGGCCTATTTCCCCTTGCACGACGGGCTGAAGAAAAGACGACTACCTTCATCGCTTAGAAACACTTGCCAAGACTTGATCATAGGCATTGGGTAAGCTTTGGAGGCTACTCTTATTTTTAGGTGCTATATAGAAGAAATGCATGTTTCTGGCGGCCACTTGATTTTTTCATTACCCTTGCAGCATCACTAAGGGTTGGCCAGAGTGATTCGATTGTGAGTTAGCAGACTCAACTACTGAAGATGTTTTGTGAATGATTGAAGGTTGCAAAGGAAACATCGTTTTCGACATTATAGTAGTATGCTAAAAATGTTTAAGCATGTGTCTTATTAGGACCTCACATGGACTTCCTGCTTGATACTTAAAAGAAGTTATAGCACACACTGTTTTTAAAGCATGAGCCGCTTGTAGCATAAAGATGCATTCCCAATCCCCTTAAGCAAGAGTTGTGGTTAATCCGTTGAGCCATAAAGAACACGAATTGAAGAGCCAGTGTCATAAGCTACGAAACCTTCTCCTTGACAAATGAGCTACTAGTAATGGCACTTTGGTGTGTGGTGGAAACATCAAAATGGTCATCTCTCTGAGCTTCTTTTAGTCATGCACCGTGATATAGTTGAGGTACCTAATTCTCCTTGTTTGCACCGTGATATATACAAAATTTCTTTTCAGCAAGGCTATATCTTCTAACACCCTCTTTCTCTAACACCTATCCTTATTTCACCTTGCAGGTCGCATTTCTTTATTGTGGGGGGTTGGTTGGCTCGGTGCATAGTATCTTTTCCTTTTGAAACTGCAAGGTGTATCGATCATTAGCATGGTTGACTACATTTTAGCTTGAGTTGTAGCCTTTTGTTTTTTGGAGAGCCTAAAGCTCATGTTGTTGGAACCTTGAAACACAGCATTGTTACATACTTTCTGCCAAAACTTTTCGATTTAGAATGCTTGAGATATTAAGTTTCGGCCTGTTTTGTACACTTTGCTTAGTTGGAAATAATGAAATGAGTGAATTGTTAAGGTTTGGAATGCATTGAGATAATGATTTCCAGTTTGTTTTGTACACTTCGCTTGGTTGGAAATAATGAAATGCATGAATTGCTTGAGATTTTAACAGGTTGGGTTGTGGTAGGTGCAAGGTACATGCTGCCAATTTTTATAGGATCACAAAAGTGTTTGCCCCATTGCCTCTACAATTTTTTTATCTTCCTCCACAAAGCCTTCCTTATGTGATATGATTTTTTTTTTCTTTTCACAGCACCCCAACACATACACTCTCTTCAAATATTGCAAGGGCCGAGATGATTTTCCTTGATAGCATCCCCTTTTTTTTTTTTTTTTTTTTTTTTTTTTTTTATTGACACATAATATTGTTTGTACATGGTGCTTGTTAACAGCTTGGGATCCAATCTAAGTAGCTTTGCTTGGTATAGTTACTACTGAGATGCTTAGCTTCGTAAAGAAAAGTTTGCTTGTCTTTTTTTATTTTATTTTAAAGAACATGTTTTGCAAAACAAAAGAAGATAAAAGCAAGGAAAGAATTTTAGAGGCTTTTTTATTTTTCCAAAATACTCCATGCTCATTGCAAATATCATCTTGTACCTTGGCATGCTATAATAGTGGTACACTCTACAAAAATTGTGAAAACACAAAATGAGTTCATCTTTAAAATAAATTTGAAAGGCCAAAAACAAAAGGATATGTGCAAAAGCAACTCAACAGTATTAAGACTTTGAGCCACTTTGCATTGATGAATACTCCAATCAAATCAAGCCCCCAAGTATTAAAGGGACAAGGAGTGTGCATGTCTTGCAATAGCATGAAAGCTTGTGGCTTAGGTTGACATCTATTTGGCATGTGTTGTACTAGGCTGCCATGCTCTATAGAGATATTTAACATAGCCACAACTGCTGCTTTACTTGCATGCGGCTTATAACCCAATGAGTCAAAGAGTGATTTGCAGCTCATAACCCATTGTACTTTCTTCAACTTCTGTGAGGTTATGAAAGGTTACGGCAACTGTCTCTTGATAATCTTGTTGACCAAATGAAACCCCCGAGTGAAGTTTTTCCGGCATGTCCAATGTGAATACTTCACAGCTGGAACCATTCTCTCATCCATTAGCAAGCAACCATGGGGTGTTATAGCTCGAGGATTTTGAATATTTATGCCAGTAGGCTTTCTCCATGTTTTCGCAAGGCTCCCAAATAGTCTTTGATGGCTTCGAGTCATTCTTCCACGGGTGGCACAATGCATCGTCGTCGAGCAAGTCATCAAAGCATGTAATGACAGTAGCCATCTCCTTCCCCCTTCATTTCAACATGGGGTCTTCGTCAATGGCTTGTCTTTTAAAGGGTAGCTCAAGAGTTCCATCATGTATCTTGGCGTGCAAGATCTTCCTCAAAGTTTGACAAGCGATGATTGGATGACCCACAAACTGATGATAACGACAGTACCTAGGATCACCATTTTCCTCTATGGTAGGGACTTTATAAGGCTTAAAGGGTTTGATTGCACCATGAACAAACATTGTATTAAGTATGCCTGGGCTCGGTTTGGGTTGGTTCGATTTTGGGCTCAACTTGAACACCGAACCATAGGCTTCGGTTGGGCTATTTTGAAAACCGAAACCAAACCATAATTGATGAAAACTGACCACTTCGGTTAACCGAACTTGGTGGTTTGGTTTGGTTTGGCTTCGATTTTTTGGCTTTCTTAGAGAGAGAGAGAGAAGAAAAAAAAAAGAAAAAAAAAAGAAGGAGAAAAAAAAAAAAAAAAAAAAAAAAAAAAAAAAAAAAAAGTGACAGACATAAGAAGAAGGAGATAAAAAAAATAGACAGAGAATGACTAATAAAGACAAGACAAACAGAGAGATTCAAATAGAAGAAAAAGAGAATATTAAAAACTATGTAATATATATATACATTTTTTATAATAATATTATATATGAAAAATTTTAATATCTTCAGTTTGGTTTGATTAAACCGTAATTTTGAATATTGAAAATCGTACACTAAACCATATATTTCGGTTTGGTTTGGGTTCAAACTGATGACCAAAAAAAAATTGGAAAAAAACCAAACCAACCCAAACCATCGGTTTGGTTTGGGCGGGTTTGACCGGGTTACCGGTTTGAATGCCCAGCCCTATTAAGAATGGCATGGAATTCTTCATCTTTGAACGGCAATGGCGGATACATCTCCCTATCTTTTCTTTTGCATAAATTGCAATCACTGGATGATTAGGCATCCTCATCTAATGTCTGGTGTGCTTCCATCTCTTCATGCCCAGTTAGTTTGACTGACATGTTGTTTTCCTCACTGCTTCCAGCAGCCAAGAAAATTGGCTGATGCCAATATTCCCCAAATAAACTCTATAATCTGTCACGATGTTGTTGATGCAAATTTCGACAAGCGCCTCTTCATCCTTCTCATCATAGCAGTTCAGAGCCAGGTCCTGAAACCTGCACAAGAAGTCCACGGGATCTTCCCCATGCTTTTGGCGCGTGTTGTTGAGTTGAGTGGTAGTAACTCTTTCCTTATGCTGGAAGTATTTTTACATAACCTACTTGCCAAATCTTCCTAAGAACGAACAGAGCAAGGTGATAATGTCGTACATCACATATAAGCACGGTCGATAAGGCTTTTTGAAAACTCTCGGAGATGGAGATTATAATCACTAGCGTGTGATCCCAAAGCATCAATGAAGCGGTTTACATGCTCTTTTAGGCTTCCTTTTCTTCCATCAAAAAGGACGAAGCTTGGTGCCTCATAGCCTTTAGAATATGGTTGTTGAAGTAAGCTTGATGGAAACAGCGGCTGAGGAACACACTTCCAATCTTCTTGGCTTCGACTTAGTTCATTCTCCAACATAGTGATGACATCTTCTTGGGTGATAAAAGATGACCTCTTTTGTTCAGAACCCTTTTTCGACAGCAACAGACTCATCTTGGGGAAGTCTTTAGTTTTCTTCGCTTAGCTTGGTGACTGAGCTTTTTAACTTTTTTATTGTGTTTGTCATCTCCCTCTGGATTTCCCCCATAGCATGGATGGCTACAATGAGGTCTGAAAGGGTAAAAGCTCCCTCACTTGCATGTTCTTCTTCTCTAAAAGATGTATTTTGCCTTGATTCCGAGTCACCATGGTCCGGCTAGTCGTGGGAAGCCATGGTATTACTTCTGGTCTTCTTCTTTGGAGGCATCAATGAAGATAATGACCTAATCCCCAGTAGAGTCGCCAGTTTATGTGGGGGCCTTTTCGTTCCGGCAGCTACAAATGAGTTGGGCTGCCGTAAAGAGCTAACAGGTGAAATTACCCCATGTACCTGAGTTCAAGAATCATGCCCTAAGAATTCTTTGAATGGGTAGTGAAGCCTTAAGAAGAACCCTGGTTATCTTCACCAATAAAAACAACAATTGCTTACAGGTAGATTTTTAGCTTGGCATGAGAGGCATTTGGTATGGAAGCAAAGAAGTCATGAGTTTAGCATTAAAGAGACGGCTGTGATTTCCCATGAGAAACAGGGGTTTAAGGTAAGGGGAGAAAGGTATTTTGAGAGGATTCGTTGAAGAGAGAGAGAGAGAGATGGGAAGAACAATTGGTGTGTTGAGTAATTTTTCGGCAGCTTGACAAAAGTTATATCAGACTCTAGAATGGCTTTTCATAAGAGAAAATATGAGGAAATGGAGGAATATGGCACGAAATTGTAGAGATTTCAGGGATGAGAGATAAACCTTGCTCTCTGGATGTGGTTGTCTATTGTTGGGTAGGAGGTGCCCCATTTATAGCTGCTGGAAGCTCCTCCAATTTGGCCAAGTCTTTCTTTTCCTTTCTCTTCTCTTCCTTTGACTCATCCTTTTTGGTGAAATCATCTCTGCCTAATCGCACAAAGACAGGGTTTTTAAGAGCTCTAGGCGTTTCCCGCAGCTGTTTCAGTAAGGGACTCTCATTTTCGGTTATCTCCTTTCCTTCTTTCCTTCCCTCTTCCATGGCTTGATCTGGTGGGGGGAAAGAAATAGGTATGTACACTGGTTTGAAGGGTGCCCCTCCTCCTAGCAACCTGTGCGCGCTATTATCCTCTTGATCTTTGAATGTTCTTCTTTGAAGTTTGCTATGCCCATGTGCTGGAGGCTCTCAGCAGGTCACCGACTTAACACTTTGGCTTTCATCGTGGTTCACGTTTCCAGCTAAGTACTAAAGACTATAGATATTTTTCTTGGCTTGCTTGGGCCTTGCTAAAGTGATGAGTTAGCCCATTAAGGGAATGAGCTAATTTCTTTACGCAATGGGCTAATTTTCTAGGGTATTTGGCTCCTTTTTTTTCTCTCATTTATGTTTACCCACATATTTGGGTTCGAGAAATGAGTTTGAGTTTTGGGGCTCCCAAGCAGCTCACCCTACTCAGCAAGCCTCGGGCATTTGCCTGGTTTTGGCCCACTTAAGCTTGTAGGGTGGCTATGTGTGAAATAATGGTTCCTTGCTTGACATGGCATGTTATGCTTGAATTTTATCGTCTTTGACATGATGGTTGATGGAATAATTATCATAGGCTTGTAGAGCCAGTGCCTTTTATAGGCTCATTTAATTCTTAGTGTGATGGATTGCATATTTATTTGGCATGGCACGTGGTCATGGCTCGTGCAAGCGTGCATGATAAATTTCACGTGCTCCGAACTGGGTCTTTTCTTAATAAGGTGTCGCACTGGGCCAATAATATATTTAGGCCTAGCTTTGGATTTTTTGGGTCTCAACAGATGCATCACTATTATACCAAATATAAGGGCCTAAATTATATAATAAAAAAACACTATATGAAATGGACGGCTATACTCTTTAAATATATTCAAATATTTTAGAAGTATAGACGTGCGGTTATACTTATACGGTTTAAATATATTTGAATATTTGAATAGTATAGCCGCCTATATTCTTTAAATATATATATATGAATTCTTAAATATATTTGAATATTTAAAATATATATATTCTAATATTTAAATCAGTGTCAGTCTTTCTCTCCGTCTCTGTCACCGTCACTCTCATCTTCCATGAGTATTATTTTGTTGGTTATGAAATTTTTCGGGCTATATCCTTTTTTATTTATTAAAATGGTATGTTGCTTATTTTTTTTAACATCCAAATTTTCATGATTTAGCACATTACTTTTAACTTAACCCTGTTGAAATGAAATCATGTAGAAACTGTAAATGGTTCAAGATTTTTTTAGCACTAGGGTTTGGGGAAGAATTTGGTGAAGAGGTGGTTGTATCAAAAATTGCTACATGATAGAGAATGGTTTCTATTCTATAAAGCATGAAAAGAATTGGATAAGGATATCAAAAGCAACTGATGAATCCGATCAATGCTGATCTACGGTTCAACATTTTCCCCCCAAATGTGCGCCCTTCATCGGATAATGTCAACTAGGGGTGGGCATCTCGTCCGAATTCTCCGCGTACCGACCGTGCCGTACCGACGGTTTGGTTTGGTTTGGTTTGGTTAAATAATTATTTTTTAATTTTAATTATTCTGATCCAATCCGTACCGAGATATTTAGTTTGGTTAACGGAACAATATCTCTAACCTGACGGAAACCCATACCGATCCGATATTTATACTTATTCTATTATTTAAATACAAAACAAGAAACTAAAACTAAATACAATCAGCACTTTGTATCACTCCTTTATCATTGTTGTATCACTTCTTTATCACCATTGTATCACTGCTTTATCAACATTCTATCACTTCTTTATCACTCGGGTATTGTAGCACTTTTTGGTCAGAGATGAATTTATGAATTTCCTATGTTTTCCAGTTTCAACATTTGTCCCCTTTTATACCTATAACTTTCCAACCGTTAATCCAAATTTTATTTTCTTTATATGGTTGGATTCAGCATGAAAAACTAAAGAACCCTAAGCGGAACAAATGTCAACATCATTTACATAAATGTAGAGAATTCAGTAAAAATAACACTCCAATGTTCAAACAACAAACACAAGTGGCTCCCATTACATCTTGAGTATATATTGAATGATATAATGACTAAGTTATTTGATTTCATACTTGGATGAATTAGACTATTGGATTTTTATATTTTACAAGGATAATTTGGTGTATTTGTTCAAGAACTTATGTTATATGAAAGTATTATAAATTGTATTTTTAATTAGTATGTTTTTATTACGGCACTACCGACGTACAGAACTAATCCGAACCGAATATTAGGTTAACCGATCCGAAGTCTACCGAAGTCTTTGATTTGGTTAACGGAAGAGAAAATAGTCTACCGAAATCTTTGGTTTGATTAAGGGAAGAGCCTTCTACTGTTCCAAACCAATCCGTGCCCAGGTGTCAACTACCAAAACAAAATGGATCTCTTTGTTTTTTTTTCTTTTTTTAAGAGTTTTGGGATTATTTGGGCTTAGACCCAAGTGCTGCTGGACTGGGCCAATGGTAATCTCAGGTTAATGGGTGTTATTATAACTGGCTTTTTAAACCAAGGATGTGACCCACCTTGCATAAAAAAATAATTCTAAAACCTCTTTTCATGCGTTTGGGTGTACTGATTAAATATCTTTAAAAAATAAAGGAATGTAAGACATAGGCAAGGTTAGCCATCTTGAGCTATTGGGTGTTGAAAGTCCTCCTTACATTTGTCTTTGGTCCTGAGTTCTTTTCCCTCTCTTTCAATACCTCTTTCAGCCGGGAAATTTTAGTTGCGGATGGAAGCCATGGCCCACATCTTTGGTTCAACTAGGCCCGGGCACATACTTTCTGTAGGTAAGCACCGGGCCCAACAAGTCTACGACGTTGAGCCATCTTTTTCAGATGGTCAAAACCCAAAAGTTTCCTTGAGTTGTCAAACCACACATGGGCTTCTCTTATTGAGTATCCGGCCCACACCACAGGGCAGGAAGAATATATGTCAATCACCTTTTGAGGTCTAAGTTGTGTTTCAAATGCGGAGTCCTAATCACCTCTCACCATAGTGGACTCTCAAAACAGTTTGATCAAATGTCAAATTTTACGACTTGAAATCAATTGGACCAAACAATTCGTTTGTGAATGCATTTATTCTTTCGACGGCTCTCACTCACATCCATTCGATTTTTTTTCTTTTTGGGTTTTTTTTGTTCTATGAATATATGTCCCAATATGCCATGCATGCAGGTATCCAAAAAAATATCCACACAAAATAAAAAAGCAGTTTTTGTGAATATATATATATATATATATACATACATACACTTTGGTCAGTAGCTAGCAATGATATTGATCGATGCCCTCTCTCTCTCTCTCTCTCTCTCTCTCTCTCTCTCCTAGCTAATTGATTCCTCTCTTTGATCCTCTCGTAAAATAAAAAAAACTGCATCATTTGTCTGTCAATCAAAATCAATGAATTGAATTGGATCCCCCACAGAATCCGATTCTTACATTTCTTTCATAATCTCCAAAATGGGTTCAAAATCATTAGGCCCTAGCAGCCGTGCGTGTTTTCTAGCCCAGCCCACTTTTGTTTTTTCACATTTGTTTAATCTGACGAGAAAAGAAAAGTTAATTAATAATTAAGAATAAATTAATAAAGCAGAGCACAAACAGCACACACAGCTATCAGCTATTGGCCTATAGCCAAACTGTGAAAGTCTATATTGAAATTGGACCTATCTTTTTTCTTTCTTCCACTTGATAATCATGATTTCGGCTCCGTCCATGACACCTTTTGCTTACAGCCTGTGTTGTGTTGTTGTGTTGTTGTGTGTGTTTGGTGGATATAGATAATAGATATTCATTATCATCAAATGCCCTATTAATATTATCATCTGTTTCTCATATGTCAATCTTCATATTGCCTGCCGACCATATGCATGTTCTGGCACCATAAACAATTTCAGAAAAACTTAGGTATCCATGGGAATCTAGAAAAGAAAAGCATTCAACGCTCTCTCTCTCTCTCTCTCTCTCTGCATACACAATCAGGCAAGAAGAGGAAGAGGTCCAAGCACAATCAAAATTGTCTGCTCAATTTTCTAATACAAGTTACACAAACCTCTCAAAACCACATCCAATATCGATATTGGATGCAAATTCTTTGAAAAAAAGAGCTAACTTAAACTAACCATGTCTAGGAAGAAAAATCAAACTTGAGTAAAAGGAGCGGGTGTACTATCTTAGCCAACTAACTAGAGTTGGTTTCTTAATTAAAAGGCCATCTAATCAAAGAAATTGAAACCTCATCAACTAAAACACTAGCTATAGCTGATCAAATCAGGACCATGTGACAAGAAACTGCAGAAGATGCCCCACTTCTGCAATGAGGTAGACATTTAGAATGGATGCCATCTCACGTAAAAGTTTGGTAACATCCACACCATTAAATTGACCTAAAAAAAACCAGAAAAAAACAAAAGCAAGCAAAGAAAGAGGGAAAGACATGACCTAGACCTATATAATTATACGCATATATATAACTGGCACTTTCAAGTTTCAACCACCAGTTATTCACACGCATTCTCAACATTAATGTTGCCGCAGAGCCTTTGATAAACTTTAATTCGATTGATAATGTAATTTATGATACATTTTCATATAGCGTGCTCATAAAATTTTTAAAATAAATGTATTTATATCTTTTCAGCTTTGAACATTAAATTTCAGTGTGGAAATATACAGAGAGAGAGAGAGAGGAGAGAGAGAGAGGGCTTAAATATATGTATTTAAATGGGAGATCATCAGCATAAAATTCTCCCACTAGCATCATGTACATGAAGAAAAAAAATGCTAAAGAAAAAGTAATTGCAACATGGTTTGTCTCTCAACCCCACTTGATCTATCATTTTATGCAAATAATGCTTCTGGGACACTACAATTCTTATAGTTTAATTCAATAACCCATATACATATACAGGAAACCCAACTAATCTTGCATCTCCACCTGTCCTCCGGGCTTATTAAATTTGCAAGATTTCATTGACAAATTGCTCTCATAGGAACATGCAATATTCGCAAATTATTTAGCATATTATAAGCTAAAAAGGAATAATGCATTTACCAATATAAAAAATATAATTAATAACTTGATTTATCAAATATATAAATGCGGTGCATGTCACAAGCCAGAATGATGCTCCTCCACTTATTATACCAGCAATCCATGATTAAGTAAGAGAGAGAGAGAGAGAGAGAGAGAGAGAGATGGGTTATTTGAGGCTACTCTACCATTTTGAAAAACCCCAATTTGGAGAAAAATTTAGTTGCCACCGGAATGATACTGTTTTGCTATTCTCAACCAATAATGTTATGACATATGATATACTGTTTTGCTATTCTCAACCAATAATGTTATGACATATGAAAGTGTTATCATACGTATGATAAATTTATTGGCAAGAAATAACAAAATAGTGTTATCCTTGTTTCATGAAAGTCTTTATCCCTAACTTGACACCAAAAAATCCTAAAAACCAAAAACAAAAGGAAGGGCTTCGTTTGATTTTGATAGGCAATTGTTTTTAGGCTCAGTTTGGGATTGTTGTAACTTTAAAAAAAAGTTGTTTCTGTTGTGCTTTGAAAATAATTAGATGTACAGTAAATCAGCTTCATATTTGGTAAACAATAATTTTGAAGTGTTGTTGGTACAAAAAAACAATGTCAAAACTATTTGGTAAATTTTAATATAAAACTATTGAAACTGTGAATAATGAGTAAATTAAACATGATGTTGAAGTGTTATGTGTTAATCATGTGGGGGTGGTGGTGGTGGTGGTGGTGTGGATGTGGTGGTGAAAGAGATGGAGGTGAAGGTGGTGATGATGGTGAAGTTGGTGATGGTGGAGATGGCGATTGCGGAGGTGGCAATGGCAGCATGGTGGTGGTTGTGGTTGTGAAGGTGTGTGGATGTGGAGGTGGTGGAGTTGGATGTGGAAGTGGAGTTGGTATCATTTTTAAAAATGAATGATGATATTTTGGAAATTAAAAAAATTCATTAAAGGCTCATCTTTGTTTCTTTTGAAAGCAGTTTTGAAAAACAACTCATAACCTACTTTTTAAAGCTATTGTAAAAAAGCCACTACTTTTAAAATAATCGGGATATTTTATTTTTACCAAACACCTTAAACTACTTAACTTTAAAATGAAGCAAATTTTTGGCCAAAAATAAAATAAAATTCCAAATGGGGCCTTAGTTATATGATTAACTGAGGACAAGCATCTAAATCTTTGGCTTTTTTCAACAAGTAATAAAAGGCCAATAAGGGAAATTTGTGTTAGGTAAAGTTTAAAAATGAAAAAGATTCTTGTTTTTTATTTTTTCATATACATATATATATTACGATGTGTAAATCTTTTCCCGCTCCCTTAATGGACCGAAGTCATTGTCATGAATGTGGTCATTTTACATAGTATTTGGTTTTTGGGTGGGGGGGGGGGGGGGGGGGGGGGGTAATGGTCGGTTGCTTTGGTTTGGCGAAAATTCACGGATTTTTTGTTCCCCTCTTTTATTATGTGTGAATACGACATAAAGCTATCATATGCATCAACAAAGAGTATGTATAATGTATCAGAAAACGAAGATTGAGAGAAAACGAGAGATGGGGTTTTTGAGGGTGACGTTTGCCTAACAACAATGTTTTTCTTTTTCTTTTTATTTATGGATTATATTCCTTCTTGTGGACATGGGAGGAAGAACAACACGAGGAATACGTCTCTTCTGTTGACCTTTCCACTTGGCTTTTTATGCTCATTGTCGACTTAATTGCTCTCTAATTGCAGATCAGAGAGAGCCCCATTAAACTTGTAATCTCTCTTTAATTAATAATTAAACAGATCTCATCTTTGTATCTGCCACCTTATTGATGGGATCGCAGATCATGAGTAATAAATGTACAAAATTATATGTAATACGAGATTGTCACGTCGTAATATGCAGCTATATAATATATATAAGCTCCTTTTGCTCTAGAATTTGGTTGATTTGAAAACGATATACAAAACTTAAAGATGATTGATGTTGATCGCTTGAAGGGTTTAAAAAGAGTTGTGTATGAAATTCGCTATAAACAATTATTACAATTCACTCATAGAAATATATCACAAAGTAAACAATAAAAATAGTCCGTTGTTTGTAAGGTAAAAAAAGCACAAACTAAAATAGTAAGAGAAAGATTTCACTATCAAATCAAATTGAGAGAAAAGTAACTGCACCAACGTTTGTGTTGTTAATACTTTGATATTTACAGATTGCTTTGTACGCTGTAAATGATATGTTCTAATGCAGTGAGTTTATTTGGTAAATGATGTGCATATTTGAGATGTCGTTTGTTGTAAGGGGCCCTTCACGTATAAATAACTCAAACTAACATGTCTTGCAAACAACCATACATGTCACATGGGTTTGCTTCTCCTCCACAGTTGCACTACTTCTCTTCCGCTCCAAAGCAAAAGACTCTTAATTAGCAGATTTGAACTTAGTTAAAATGGCTAAAGCAGATGTGTGTTTCCACTATGCACTCGAGTTTTAATTTATTTTTTCGTAATTTAGATCAGATTAAAATAGAATATCGCTTGTATGAAAATAAAATTAAAAAAAAAGAAAGAGCAAAAGACCCTTATTGATATTATTTTGCCTAAACCATTAATTGCAAATATCAATTACAAAGTCATCCCTCTCAACAACTGGGTGAAATTAGTGAGTTTAATTAATTTGCATTGCCCTCCTAATTAGGCCCAACAGCTAGCTAAAACATCTCAGTGGTTACTAGATTGCGTGCTCAGCAACCCTACATATATAAAACCACTACAAGTAAGTAATATACAATATGCAAAGTTAGAAATAAACACATGTACTTATAAAATAAAAAACGTTAAAGTCAATGACCTAGGCACACATCATACGCTTGAAATAAATTGAACAAGAGGATAAATTTATTTATTTAGCTGGCCTGGGCATCATCTTTTGGAATGGAAAGGCGTATTTTCTTTTTCTTAATTTATTTTTAAAAAATGAATTAGTAGCTATTAAAATGTAATTAACTTGGTAATGGACAAGTTAAGTTAAGTTGAGTTGGGGGTGCAGAGGGTGCGGAGTGCAGAGCACTTTTGAAGTTCGAAATGTGTGAGTTGCGATTAGTGAGTGATTAAACAGCTTTCTCATCGTCCAATAATGCTCCACATGACCACACGTCTTTACACAAATGAGCGACACGTGGTCGCCGCATTGGAGAAAAGACTTGCCTCGGTTCGTGAATATTATTATAATTTTTGTGAGTGCACGCCAGAATCTTTTTGTTTTTGTGGGTTCTTTCTTTCTTTGGAGGAGGAGGAGGAGAGATAGTGGAGTTGCTTGGTTTTGAAGTCTGTTTCTTTATCCTATTCCTATTCCTATTCCTATTCCTATTCGACATATACATTTTATTTTTATTCATTTATTTTTCGTCTTAAGATCCTTAAAGATGATGTTTGCACGTGGCCTTGTTTACACCACTTTTTTCTTATGTTTAATTAATTAATTAAAACAAGCAATTAACAAGTACAATCCCTACTTACAAATTACAATAACAAGGTTTAATTAATTGATAAATATATATATATACATATACAGTAACAGTACGATCCCTACTTAGCTCTATATATCCCACTTTCGACCACCTTTGTCTTTTTATTTATCGTTTTCTGTTTCGAGCCATCCAAGAAAAACACAATTTCTTTTCATTTTGTATTTTCCAAATCAATCGAAAATATAATCAATTACATTTTGGGTTTTAATTTCTCATACTTCCAAATGTAAAAAAACCATAACACAAAATATTGGACACCTTGCGTTTTGTTGTTGTTTAACGTTTAATTTAAATTTCTGATTTGCCAAAATCGCCTTGGAAATCTCAATCTTTGCATAAAAGAAGACGAGTAAATAAAGGAAAAACACAAAGAAAAGAGAAAATTTGTAAAAGAAGCCAAAATGGACAAAATTGCCCTTATTTATTTTTGGATTTCCTAAGGAATCCTTTACATTTGCATGTCTTTGATTTGAAAGTTGAGAGGTTTTTCTGTCTTTTTTGAAAAAGCTTTGGCTTTTTCCAAAAGTGAAAATTTTTTTTTGGCTAAAACCTAAATTTACTAAGCATTTATCTATAATAATAAAAAGTAGCTGAGCAAAAGCGGTGCGCAAAGTTTGACACTTGGATCTCAAGGGATAATGTTAATCTCCCAAAGGATTTAGAGACCAACACATGGAAGAAAAGTAGCAGCGTTAGTCATAATTCATAAACCACCGAAATCTCCACTTTCATAATCATGTGACTCATCATCATTATCACCGTCCATCATTTTCCATATTTTTTTTAATTTAAAAAAATACAACTAAATTGCTTTGGAGAAATTAATTTTCAAACACAAATTAAGGCTGAAATTACTCATAATTTTCTTCATATGAAAAGAAACAAATCGAAGTTTTCTAATTAAAAGGTGTATGAAAAGTAAAAGTCGGGTTAGGACTTATAACTCAAGTAGTTATCTAATAAGAAACATTTTGGTGGTTGAACATCCTTTCGTATGATATATATGGTAAAAAAAGAAAAGAAAACACAAAAACAAAAGCCGGTACAGGCGGACATTCTCCCACGTGTTTAGCTTGGTATTTTCCGGCTTGACCAAAATAATAGAAGCGGCCGTATTAATTAAGTGGTAAATAACGTTAATTTAACACACAGAAAGATAAAGCATCGAGGCTTTTTCGAACATTTTAGCGTCCACTAAGAGCCACCCACGTTCAAAATAAAAAAAAAAAAAAAAAAAAAAAAAAAAACCACCCGTGCAAACGCCGACACGTGGCTCGTATTTTCATACCAATGTCTTTGGCCTCAAATAGGCGCGCGCAAAATCTATGGAAATATTCTTTACACAGCTTTAGCCTATCGAGAAGAAACAAATAATTTTGTATATAATTTAATTAATTTTTTGTTTTAACTTAATAAGAAGTAAAAGTGATTACTAAACTTAGAGCATTCCCCCGCACGTGCATCAGTGCGTGTTTCAGAACTATTGGATAAAAAATGTTTTAAATCTCAATTAAAAAAAAACCTTTTATTTTATTAATTTATTATTATTTTGGCCTTACTCATAATATCGTGAAACTCATAAAATAAATTGAGGGAAGAAAAAAAAAGGAACAAAATCTTTGCCGTACTTTACCCATGACAATACCATCAAGTCATACAAGCAAAACCCATGCATTCAGAATAAAAGCTTACCCTATTAGAAATTTATAACAACAAATGTTTGGTTTAAATTCCCCAATTACGTTTTTGAAATGGAGAAATTATTGTAAGATATTGGAATTTGCAAGTTGAAATATACATTACCGAGTATTCTTTCAGTCAAAATCACACTACCCATCAACATACATTTATTTATTATTATTATTTTTAAATCGAACTTAAAATTTCTTTCAATATCGTAAAAGAGTGAGTCGGAATGATGTAAAGTCTGTGGGAGTCCGTTAGGATTTGGAGCTACTTGTTCACATGGAGCTCATAGGTGACTCAAAAATGATAGTCACGCACACGCTGCAAGTTTTTTGGTTGTGAAATGTGAAAGGTTTATAATGTAGGTTACCTGTTTTTTGTTTGGTAGTCGGTGTGTGAAGGGTGTAAGAAGAAATTGAATGCTGATGAATGACAGGGTTCATAATCAGATTATGACACGTCCAATCCAATCCATTTTATCAGCCTCGCAGTATCCTCATCACAAGATAATCTAAACTAATCCAAACCCTACCCGTTTTTTGGTTTACCTTGACGTGGTCAAATGAGGCTCTTTTTTCCTCTTTTTTTTTTAAAAAAAAATTTGGAATTTTTGTTATCTCCTAGTTCTTATCCTATCCAAAGGGGCAAAGGGCCCTTCTTTTTGGAGGTTGAAATTTGGGACTTAAAGACCAATAACAAATGGCAGATGATGCTTTCCACCCTTTATGTGATTTGACTTAAGCTTGGCTACTTGGAGTTTTCCACCAAAAAGGCCAAAAAGCTTGTTTGGTTTTCAATTTTTATTTCTCTTTATTTTTATTTGCAAAAGTCTAAAGACAGCTGCGGGAATTAAGAGGAAAAATAAAAATAAAATAAAAGGTACATATGATGATTAAGTTCATGGTTATAACTTATAGCCTAGGTGGGAAAACTTCCAAAGCCTATTGGTCCTGAGATGGTTTATAAATAGTGAAAAACCCATAATTAAAATTTGAAAGTGGATCGTCCAGAATCTAGGCATAGTGAAAGTTGATCGAATGCAATGGATTGACCCGTCTCTCTACGTATGAATTGAATTGTTCTAATTTGAGTATATGTCCACACGTAATTTTCAAGTGCAACTGTCGAAAATCAAATTTCAAAACATAGGAATAAAAATTGATTGCAACGTTTGGAAGTAGGAGCGTTCATTGTCGATGCCGCCGAGTAGTAATGTCTCAATAATTATGCTGTTGAATTATTAATCGTCATTTTAATTAATATTAAACAACTTTTTCTAACGCTCTTTCCGCCATTCATTCTTCCATCTATCAATATAAATGTTAGCTAGGTTTTATCTAATTAACATAACAACAATCCAACCCAAAAAGAAGTAACCATAATATACTTATGGGTTTGGCAAAATACCCAAAAAATGTAAATTTCATACCATTTATCTAATGTGTGATTGATGTATCAAACATATTCTTTTATCCGAAAGAAAATAAAAGAAGTAATCAATAATGTTATTTATACGTTACACAATTAAATCTAATAATAGAGCAATTAATTTGCCTAATTTAGATAGAATGCAAGAAAAGGACACACCGATTTTGATATTAGGGGAAGAACATCGAATAAGAAATGCATCAAATGGGAGACGTTTAAAAGGGACACAAACCCAACAATTCTCTTTTCACATCACTGGATGGCTCGCCCTAATAGTTTTTTACGGAGACTTTGGAAAAACACAAAGAAGAGAGAAATTTTGTAAAAGAAGCCAAAATGGACAAAATTGCCCTTATTTATTTTTGGATTTCCTAAGGAATCATTTACATTTACATGTATTTGATTTGAAAGTTGAGAGGTTTTTCTGTCTTTTTTGAAAAAACTGACTTTTTCCAAAAGTGAAAATTTTTTATAGCTAAAACCTAAATTTACTTAGTTTTTTATTTAGTTGAATTCATCGATTGTCCCCTCTATAAGTCTATGGCCGTGTAACATACCCCTTACCCCTTACCTCTTGTAAAAGAAAAATAAAAATAAAAAAATAAAAGAAAAAGGATTTTTTATAATTAAAATGGATCGAATCCCTCATAAATCTTGATTTAAAAGTGGCCCTATCATAAGTTTCCAAGTAATAATGAAATTAACAACCATGCATGAAACTGAAACCCAAAATTAAAAACGGATTTGACCGGTCAAATATGGGATAATTACACCCGTCGTTTAAAACAACTCGTAACGACCAAAAAAGCAACGAGTGTAAGAAGCTCCTCATCCCATGCATCGCAGACTATCGCAGCCTCCATTACGAAAGCCGAAGAAGCAAACCGGAAAGTCCGAGAAATTGACTTAAGCGCACACGAGAGAGCGAGAAATTGGATCTTTCGCGGGCTGCAAGAGACGTAAGAGCTACGGAGTCGTCTCACAGCCCGTAGACACCAGAGAAAGACAGTCGTGAGGCTGCCCCCAGTCAACACGTGTCTCTACCGGCCCTAGCCTGTTGCCGGTTTCGTAATGGCGACCTCAGCACAAAAAAGAGAACCTCTCAGGCTTTTAGCGGGCCCCACCTCCACCTCCACCACCACCTTCTGCATCACATCTTCTTTCTCCTTCCTCCCATCTACATTAACCAATAAGATAATATTATTTTAGGATCTTAAAAATAACGTAGAAATATTAAAAACGGAGAAAAAAAACAAAATTCTGTTTTTATTTTTAAATTTTTTATAAATGTTAAAAAGAATGGTTTAAGAGAGATAAAGGGGGGGCCTCACTAAAGATTTCGCTCCAAAGCTGAAGCTCAGAGCTTTCTCTGATTTGCAGAGAGAATCCAAAGGACAACTAGAGAGACAGAACGCGAAGAACAGAAACAGCAAATACACACGACACAGAGTTTAAAGGGAGAAGTTAGAACTGGAGTTAGAGAGAGAGAGAGAGAGAGAGAGAGAGAGAGAGAGAGAGGTTGCTAAATTTTGAAAATTCCAACCGGCTTCTTTTTCTTCTTATCCAATCCGTAAGTCACTAAGTCCCTCGCATTTCTTTACTCTTTTCCTTCTTCTTTTTTTAATAAATAAATTTACTTGGCTTTGAGAAAATTTGTTGGATAAAAAGTTTGTTATGAATCAGCAATTGTGAAGAGATCTAATTTGGGTTTTAGGTTGCTTATTGTTTTTGGTTCAATTGGAAGTTCAAAATAAGGTTCTGATATTGATAAATTGTTGTTGCTTTGTATCACTGGGTTGGGTTTACATAGCAATCCAATTTTCATTTTTTTTCATATACAAAGGATTTTTGTTATCCTTGAAAAAAAAAAAAAAAAAAAAAAAAAAAAAAAAAAAAAAAAGTTGTCTCATTTTGTTCTTTCTGGGAATTTCTTGTTTTGCGTTTGTTTCCCATTCCATGATTTTGGCTCCAATATAGGCAATTTGACTTTCGCACATGTATAAAAAGGCAAAAAATAAAAAAATTCATTGAAAGATTAGGGTTTTTTTTTGTTATCCTGAATATAATTGAGCTTGATCGTTGGTTGATTGGATTCGGAAAGCTGAAAGTTTGACAGATAGTGCTGAAAAAGTTGGACTTTCTTCATTTAATTCAAGCAATCAGTGATAAACATTGTTTAAAAAAATATTTTTGAGAAAGAAAATCCAACATTCGTTTGAATTCAATTTGTTTCAATTCTGTCTGAATAGGTTGCCTCTGTATTTTGACCGAGTTTCCTGAGGGACTTGGGGGCTTGGATTGTTAGAATTTAGCTGTGGACTTTGTCATTTTTACCCAGAAAGAGGCTTTGGTTAGTATTGGGTCTGTGAATTTGGTGCCTTTCCATTGATTGTTTCACGGAGACATGTTGGAGGGTCGGTCCTGCTTGCTTTCGAGGGTGTTTTCGAGCTCTTGCCAGCCAGAAAGCAAGTGGCCTTACATGAGTTGCCGTCGGCTCGAAGATTTTGCAAATGGCAAGCGCCCATTAGGATTTGATGGTGAAGATGACCAAGAGCGTCGAGAAAGGAAGTTGTGTAAGCTATTGAATTGTTGTGAGGTGGTGGAGACGACCCAGTCTTCATCTGAGCAATCCGAGGACCAGCAACAAGCTGGGGTTCCTTCGGATTCAGATTCCCTTATACATCGGATTGGTCGGGACAACTCGATCAGCTGCCTGATTCGGTGCTCCAGGTCTGCTTATGGTTACATTGCCTGTTTGAACAAGAGCTTCCGCTCGTTAGTTAGGACCGGGGAGCTCTATAAACTGAGGAGGCAGAATGATGTGATTGAGCACTGGATTTATTTCTCTTGCCACCTACTTGAATGGGAAGCCTTTGATCCCAATCAACGCCGGTGGATGCACTTGCCGAGAATGACGTCCAATGAATGTTTCATGTGTTCAGATAAGGAGTCTTTGGCTGTGGGAACTGAGCTTCTTGTATTTGGTAAGGAGGTGACTTCCCATGTAATCTTTAGGTATAGTGTTTTGACAAACTCCTGGTCTTCTGGAATGAGGATGAATGCCCCAAGATGCTTGTTTGGGTCTGCTAGCCTCAAGGAGATTGCAATTTTGGCAGGTGGTTGTGACTCACTGGGAAGCATACTTAGCTCCGCAGAGCTATATAATTCCGAGACTCAGACTTGGGAGACACTCCCGAGAATGAATAAACCCCGGAAGATGTGTTCTGGGGTTTTTATGGATGAAAAGTTTTATGTTATTGGTGGGATTGGGGGTAGTGATTCAAAGGTTCTTACATGTGGGGAAGAATATGATTTAAAGGCGAAAACATGGACAGAAATACCTAACATGTCTCCCGGACGTACTGGTGCAGCGGGAGAGCCTGATATGCCTGCAACAGGTGAGGCACCACCTCTGGTTGCAGTGGTAAATAATGAATTGTATGCGGCTGACTATGCTGACATGGAGGTGAGGAAATATGACAAAGAGAGAAGATTGTGGCTGACAGTAGGGAGATTGCCTGAGCGGGCAGTCTCAATGAATGGTTGGGGTCTTGCATTCAGGGCTTGTGGAGACCGGCTTATAGTTATTGGCGGGCCTAGGGCTCTAGGTGAAGGTTTCATCGAGATCAATGCATGGGTTCCCAGTGAAGGTCCTCCACAGTGGAACTTACTTGCACGAAAGCAATCGGGTAACTTTGTCTATAATTGTGCTGTGATGGGATGCTGAAGACTGGGATGTATAAGATTGGTTTGTACCTCAACACAGGAGTCTAGCTAATTGGTAATTCCCCCCCTTTCTTTTTTGATTGTTAAATCCCTTTTGGGGTGGGGGAGAATGGGGAAGAATTTTGGATTTTACTCAAGATTCAAGTGAATGTTTTCTTGGAATGAAATCTTGAGTAATTTTTTTTTCCTTTTTTCAGTTTCATTTTCAAACTTCTATTGATTTTCCTCCGTTGGAATTTGTCTTCCCCCATTTTTAGTGACATGAGAAATTTTAAAGGTTGGCATCATGTAGGTTAGGAACAGGTTCAATAATATGTTGTACCAACACATTGGTAGGTTGTCAGTTATTGCTTGCTGAAGCTTTTTAAATACACACAACTAGTTGTATGAGTTTCCCGTTCTTAATTGTATTTGTGTTGTCTTCCAAAGAGGAAATAAATTCTGAGAGGTTTTTTATCTTTGACGCTGGCTTATGTACTTGATTACATTACCTGATGAAATCGATGGGCGATATATATTTGCAACTTCAAACCCTTGTAATTGTAATATGAAATATTTAATTTTCTTCATAAACGTTTATGGCAAGAAACAAAAAGTAATATGATGTGCCATATGTAAGCTCTGATTCTATCTGAAGAACAATATAATTGAAGGTGTTTACGAATTGGAAGGCAAAGAAAGCCGTCGTCGAAAGATGTGATGCTGTATGCAACATTTCCTGTTATTGGCAAAACCAAATTACTCCACTGGGAAGTTAGAATGTCTCAAGTCAGCTAATTGCGGCCATTATGGATTCCGAGAAGCTGGAGGAGGAGGCTACATGGGAGTTGGTTGTATAAAATTTTAGTCGTGATAAGACTAAAGAATCCGTTATTTTTCTAGTGTGTTAGTGTTACTGTTGCTTCTAAATATAGTTGTCTGTATATCTTGTTCGATGCTCTTCTCAAAGAACAGAGTTCTGGTTCTGTGTTGTTTTTGTTTCTTCGGTGGTGGTTGCCTTATCCACCTCCGTGCTCTTTTGCTTAAAAAAAAGGAACAGAGTTCTGGTTTGTGACTCTAAAACCAGACGTGTGGAATTATACAAACAAACAAGTTGCTATGATTTCATTTCACTTGTATCTTCATCCAAGTTCTTTTTTGTTTCGTCTACGATAATCGTCTTACTTGAAGTTTCGCAAGAGGAAAAAATGGATTATGCTCGTCTTCTCTTCACTGAGTGTTGAGTTTTGCAGTACGATTCAAAGTCGGAAACCCAGTTCTTCTCTTTTTGCTATGCGTTTTTCTGATTTGATTGGTAGGTTTAGAATTTCCATGAAGTAGCACGCGTTGACTTGCTTTTTTAAATCAGACAAGATATAGATGTGGTCATGTCTATGCACGTTTAAGCTGCTTGACGTGATAAGATAGCTATCTGTTTCTTCTGTGTTGATTAGGGAAATTATGATATGATTGCTGTTCAACTTGGGCTACTATGGTCCCTCCCTTTTTCTTTTATCCTGTTTAGTGGATGATAAAGTAGGGTGTCGTCTAATGCTCTCATAAGTTAATCTATTTTTTATCCTTTTTTCCGGAACGTTGTTTCGAACAAACAACAAAACAACATGCAAGCTTTGAATTTGAAGTGAGACCAAAGCACAAACAATTCGTGGGCTTTTATAATGTGTGTGCGCTCCTAAAATTGACCATTGCATTGCAACTTAGTCCAATAGCTCCAAAATGGGCTTGTCACCTTCTCATATGTTAATCATATAACCAGATACATGGCCTCTACTTTTACAGCCCATGGAAACCTTCTAATCAGACTTGAAGTTTGGTTGGCAACCAAGCTTGGCATCTCAATGAAGCCCAATATGATTTGTGCCCCACAAAAGATTACTATCCATGCTAAATGAAGCCCGGTGGTTCGTACTCGCCTAATATATAATTTGACTTCCATGGAAGAAACTTGTATGAAATGGGGATAGCACTATACCCGTCAATCGCAAACTGTCACGTGTAAAAGTTATTACGCATAGCATACAACAATTGGCTGGGGAAAACATATCGAAGTGGTAACAAGTTACTGATCTCAAAAACTTAATGGGAAACAATCGTTTTCTGGAAGCTGATATGATATGGCAGGAGCTAGAAGATATGATATGGCAGGAGCTAGAAACCAAACCCAACCTGGAGTGAAGATCATATGGTATGGATATGGTCTGCACTGTTAGCAAATCAAACACACAACACGTATGAAACAGCACACTTATCAACTTGTGTCTTCCTTTTTGGTTTTTTTCTAATCAAAACCAGGTGGTCGGGTGTCAAAAGGGAATATAAATTATAATGTAAATCATATGTATCAAGAAAATCGTCAGCGGCTAATTGGCCCTTGTGTTGGGTTTCTTCTATAATGTCTAAATTGACCACTCCAAAAAAAGTCCATGTTTTCCACGAGGAGCAGTTAAAAACTGTTAGTGCATAATGCAGGTGGCCCATAATCAAACGTAAAGTTCAAATGCCAGCTATTTCTTTAGGGGTGGATAAGGCCACCATCACCATGGATTTAAATTCCTTTTGATGCCCTAATAATGGCTTTTATGTCCTTCTCCCACTAATTGAAGAACATGGGATGGGAGATGGTAGAAGAAAAAAAAGCAGATTTCGTTTCTCCTTTTTATAGTATCTTTCAAGACAATGGTGGGTGGTGGCATAAAATATCTGATAAGAATTAGTGGTTTCAAATATTGGATTGGATGGCCCATTTCCTCCAAAAGTAACCCCCATAAATATCCCAATCTTTTTTCTAATCTTCTGGTAATTAATCTATGGGAAGCAGCCCTTGCTCTCTTTCTTTTAATTTTATTTTATTTATACAAGCGATAGTCTACATTATAGGGGAATGAGAACTGCACACACACAACTATGAGCAGATGCTACAATGAGGAGTTTAAAGTGACGAGGCTATTTAAGAAGGCCAATCCAAACGTCAAAACATTGAAAAATATTTAAGTCTCGTAATTTCTTTACATTTGTTGAAGGTGAGATTGACATCTTCAAATAGTCTCATCACTTTAAACTCTTCATTATAGCATCTCTGCACAACTATGATGCCATAAAAATTTAAACCTAAGACCTTTAGTCTACAAATTAAAGTGATTTTCCATTAGTTTAGACCCATTAGCGAGCAGCCCTTACTTTAAACTTCAACCACAAGCATTAAAAACCCACGTAATATATGTTAGGTATATTCGAATTTGCAGAGGCATCTACCATAAATTTTGTCCCCAATTTTACCACAAAGAAAAGAGGAGAGCATTGTCATGGGAAGAGGATAGCACCTATGCTTAGGTGACACCTCAATTCTATGTCGGGCCAAAAAAAGTGACACCTACATTTCATGTTTTTTCTTGGGTTGGTTTAGGACTTTTTAAGATCTTCAAAGATATGATCACTATACTTGGTGCCTACTAATCTAGAATGCTATGAGCCTATATGCGAGAATAAGGTTTTTTAGGTTTTAGACATAAAAAAATTTTACTTTTGGAAAAAGCTAAAGTTTTTATAAAAAAAAACAAAAAAACCGCTCAACTTTCAAATCAAAGACATACAAATGTATTAGATTCCTTAGGAAATCTAAAAATAAATAAGGGTATTTTTGTCCATTTTTGCTTCTTTTAAAATTTTTCTCTCTCCTTTTGCTTTTTCCAAAATGTCCCTATGGAATATCAACTCAGCTATAAATCATGTGCTGGGACTAGCTATAAGATTCGCTCCAGTGATTGAAAGAATGAATGAAATTGACATCAACGGCGGAGAACCTTCAGTGATGGTGCCACATGATTATTCTATAATTAGGAATTAACAGCCTGAATTGTTAATAAATCATGAAGAATTCCAGAAACTCTATTTCATTTTATTTCAATGTTTTATTGTTTAGAATTTTGTCCTAATTACATTAAATATTGTCTTAATTTGTAGCATCTTAATCAAGATGACAGTCATACACGCCATGTTCAAACATATGTTATGATTTTGTCATTTGTTTTAACAAGTAAGAAATCGCCATTTGTGTTGCTTAGAAACTTCTTCTACAATAAATTTTGGGCCACTTTAATTTTTTTCTTTTCTTGTTGTTGATAACAAGCGATATTAAAGAATAGGGAATTCAAATACAAAACCTCGGGTACATAGATAACTGCTCTTAACATTAACTACTTGAACTACAAGTCCGTTGCAATTTTAGGCAACCTTGTTGAATTTCATTATGGTTGAAGTTTCTAACAAAATTGTGTTGCTAAGAATATTCAACAACTCTGACGGCATTTCTTTATCTTTGAATTTCTAGTAAGATTTTGACATTTCCAAATTCCAATTTCCAAGCGTAGGGTGGTTTTCTCCATTATTAGTGGATTTTCTTTTCCACGAAGATATATACATATTTGTTTTGCCATATCCATGAAAGCAATGGTTTTCCTCCCTTTTTTCCCCGTACATCTCTTATCCCTTTCTCTGTTCCGTGTGCATAATAAAACGATGAATAATTTATTTCTGACCGAGCTAGAAAGATTGGGGGACTGACATGACATCATGTGCATTATTGAACACAATAGTGTGTGTGTGTGTGTATATATAAATATAGCCATAACCCCGCAAGCACAAGACAAGAGCGAGTGACATCATTGAACCCTGCAAGCAGAGGAAGCCCATGCAACCAACAACATAACATTATGATATGCGTACAACTTACAATCAGAAAAAAGCTAGGAAGAATATCATATGGTCCATATCTGCCAAGTGGTTGAGGCACACACATTATGGAAACTTATAACCAAATTTTCATGCACCATTTATTATGACTCAGCATTTGACAGACCACACCAGACCACTTCAAAATTAAAATCAAATTTTATTATAAGCTTTTCTTTATTTATTCATTTCAAGATACACCTAATGTGTGTGTATGTGTGACAGCTCAAAGCCCTCAATATATATATATAATCAGTTGTTTGGGAATTAAGCCAAAGGAAGGGAGATCCATGTTACGAGGATTATGTCATGAAGCACTAATTAGAAAAGAAAATGAAATTAGGTTCACTCACCACGTGCTTTGCACCAGCAGATGACTCAGATGATGACCTCCTCCCACACCCACACCCACATGGATCTTTCGAGTTTTCCTTTTGGCAGATGTCGCACGTTCCTCTCTCTCTCTCTCCCTCTCTCTCTCAAAATTCGGATACATCTATCTATAAATCGATTCATGCCCTTTGTCCCCAGTTATATTCATTCTTTTATCTGCCGTTGGTGCTTTTTTCTGGTCAAACCTCAAGCTGGAAGGAGAAGAAAAATCTTCCTACAAGGCTAGTTAATTAATGTTAGAGCTTTCTGCACTTGTGATTATGAGTGGATGATAATCTCCATTATCCGATTTAGACCTAAACCCCAAACTTAAATATAAACAAAACCTCCAAGTACACGAGCGAGAGAGCGAATGCTTTTAACTACTTAAACTAAAAATGTATTACAAACTATCAACCTTTTACTGTATTCGATGGCATGTTTTTTCATTAGCAGGGGCTTCTAACTTAAGCTCGCCACGAACAAGAAGATTTCAATTCTTATATCCTCCATTTTCTTGAATAGAACTGAGAAATTTATCAGTTGAATTCATAATGCATTCATGGCATATTTTTATTTGGAATAAAAAATGCCGAGTTCTATTGGTCAGAAGACGAATTTTAAAAAAAATAAAATGAAGCGGGGCGATCCAGCATAATCCAGACAAAGCGAAGTGTGTCCCCATTTTCTTAATCTTGATTGTTGCTTGGGATGCCTTTTACAAATCGTAATTATTTCATCTCAATAATTAAGTTGAACATCTAAATCTAAAATATATAAAAGACACTGCCAGGGATTAGAGGATGACTTTAATTCCTGCTCGACAAACTGTTCATAATGAATGAAACAAAATAATATTATTTGGGGTTAATATATTTAAGTGAGATTAATTTAACGCAACAGTCCACGTGATTAAGATCCCATGCCCCTATATTTGGGGTTACTTTAACTAAATAATTTGGTCAGGCATGAAGCATCAACTCTTCAACATGAACCTTCTCGGTTACTTAAACATTTATATATTTTTTCTTGGGTCAGGGTGACTTTAAAAATTTAGTAATTAATTACATAAAAATACTATATTTGATACACTATATACATACGTGCTGTCTAAGATGCAGACTTTGATACTTTAAACTTAGTTGCGCAAACTAAATGGTTAAAAAAATAGACAAGATAACATAATGATCAATGAAAAAGAACTTGGGGAAGTTGGCATCGGTGCTAGGCTTTTGTTGTCTTTACTGGAATTCATGAGCAACTTCTTCAATACGGTCGGCCGGCCTAATATAAAAACATAGGGCATGTACATCAAGATTGATTATTGATTATTAAAGCATGGCATAATCTAATTAGAGAACCGCCCTTAACATGGCAAGTGGCGCGTTAATTATTGATTTAGAAAAGAGAAAAAGAAGTGTGACAGAAGTTACGTACCTATATATAACTATATCTCTATTTCTCTAATCACATGATTGAACATATTTTATTCTAATTTTTCATTTCCGTTTAATAAAAATAAAAAGCGACTAAAAGAAAAACGAATTATTATTATAGACCCGTATAGATGAATTTCTAATAGATTTTACAGGAAAAAACCTAAGAGAATATTTTTACATCATGATTCATTATTCTTATGTCCAAAAATTTGTTATTCGTGTTATAAATGAATATATGGTTGCATGCTTAACAAGTTTTCTGAAAACAAATGACGCATATATATGTTATCATTATTGAACAAGATCAAGTTGTAAAGATGGAAATGACCAAAAGTATTGTTCAAACTCCAATTCTAATTGGAGAATCTAGATCTCTGATTTCTTAATGCTCCACAAAAACTGTTTGACCCGACTTGTTCGTTTTTCTATCACTCAAGAACAATAGAAAAGGTATATTAATTTGACTTTAATGATAATGTTCATCCACACCATCTATCTTGTTTCATGGGATTCATACAAGAAGGGTAGGGATGGTAATTGAGCATCCTTTTGGGAGGCCAGGGTTTGGTTGGTTGGCTGAGTTAGGGCCGGCCGACCGAATGATGATACCGAGTAAATGTGAACTGGTTGAGAATGCATGGTAAATCCACCAAACTGAGGTCTTTGTTGGGAGCTCAGCCGCTGTGTCTTTTGTGCCAAGAAAAAGATAAAAGAAAAATGCACATATTGTCTCTTTGAAGTCTAAAGTTTCAAAGTATAAACCAAACCGATAATTTTCTTTCTTTAATTCCCACTTTGTCTTGCCGACTGGGGCTTGCCCTCTTTTTCTAGTTGGAAGTTTGAAGAAAAACCCTAGCGACAGAGACAGTCCAAGACAAACAAAATTGCAGTAATTAAAATAGAATAATTTGGATTTTATGCAGTGCAACATTTGAATACTGCCTTTTAGTAACCATTAATTCGTCTGGCCCATCGTTTCTTCAAATCTTATCTTCATCTTTGTGGTGTGTGTTCGTCTAGACATAAAAAAATCTAAGTGTTGCAGCTGTTGCTCAACCTCAACTGATAGAACATCTCCAATTGATTTGTTCAATTGCTACATGGATATGAAATAATAAAAATTAAATGTTAAAGTTGCTTTAATTGAGTAGTTAAATTATACATGAATTTGAAGGCTGAAAGAGATATGTCAAAAATAACATATTAAAAAGTTTGATGTGAAATATTATTTTAATTATAGACCCCACTATAATTTACTTTTTTTTAAACTTTATGCGTTTCATATGAGTTCCATTTGCTTTTAAAAATGTAATAAAATACAGTTCTAATCTCTTGGACTATAGGGGTTTAAGAGATTTGTGGTCACTCACTGTTGGATATAAATTCAACGATTCACTCACTCTTACACTCATTTTAAGAAACTTTTTTGAATCATTAGATTAACATCCAACAGTGGGTGACCACAATCTCTTGGACCCCTGTGGTCCAATAAATCAAAGCTGCTATAATATGATATTTAGTATATTGGGTGGAGTTTATTTTTTTCCAAAGTGTCAAATTGTCACATAAGCCATCAAATTCAAATATAATATTTTGCTTTTGACATTTCCTTGGAGATGCTCTTAGCTAGTAATTAGAGCTAGATATATTAATTAATTAAAACAAAGTTAATTAGGTTAACAATTTACCGCCATCAAATACAAAAAGAACTTATATATAACGAGAATGCTTCCGTAACAGTATCTCAAACCTATTTCTTATTGTCATGTAAAAAAGCTAAATCACATGACAGTGAGTTATTAACCTAAAATAAGTCACAGTAGTGTCCCCCTTTCATAAGTTTTTCTCATGAAACACGTCACATCGCATGCCTGGGCTAAAAGCTTACACCGTTTTTCCTGCTGCCATGCCATCCATGGCAAGCAAAAACCAAAAAAACAAAATTATTAAGATCCACCGTCAAGGTAGATTGACGTGGGGACACGTGGCTCGTAACTACTCTTTCATATTCAATAAATATCGTAGCCGTTGTAAAAAACTAAAAAATAAAAATAAAAGTAAAAGTATAGTCAGCAATATTTATTATTGATAGAAATAATAAAGTTCACATTTTTTCTGCGTCTAAAATTCGGGACCATTAAAGAAACAATTTAAAGAGATCTGCCACTCGTACCACTCACCGCTGACATGTCATTACTCTCTTTTTCCTCATTGCTTTTGTCACTGTCTTTGGGGGCCTCGATATCTTCCTCCTCCTCATACAAAACCCCATCTCAATCACCCACCGCACATTTTCCTCGACAGCACCAAAAGCCAATCCAACGGTCACGCAGGAAACAAGATCATTAATTAATAATATTTCAGCTATTTGTAATGACTTTTTATATTTTATATTTTTATTTTAATGAGTTAAGTAGTTTCCCAAGCATCTTTTTCCATTCCAACACAGCACCAAAAAAATGCATTAAATAATCGCAGCTTCCATGTTTTACTTATTTTGAGCCCTTTTGACCGGACCTCCTACTTTCCCCCCTTCTCTCTATATAAGGACTTTCCATCCCCTACTCTCTCTCTCATCAAAGCCTTTTCTTCCTCCTAGCCACTTGGTATTTCCATTTATCTCTGCTCTTCCTTCTCTCTCTTGCAATTTACTTTTGCTGTTATACTCTGTCATGGCTTTGGCTGACCAAACACCTTCAAAGCGCCAAAGGGAAGAAACCCTGGCAGACGACTGCGAGGACCCTAAGCGCCAGAAGTCTTACAACCACATACTCTCTCTTCTCGATGAAGAAGAAGAGGAACCCTCACAAGACTTGTCCTCCATTATCACAACCCTTCAGCAAGAGCTCTCCTCTGACTCTGCCGCTGAGCCTCTCACTGCATTTCCAAACTCCGACGCAGACCAAGAAATTAATCAGTCCTCAGGTTCCACAGCTGCTACAGCCTTTGAAGGATATGCCTCCTCTTCCTCAGGCTCTTCTTCACCTTCTTCTTCGAATACAAACTCGGGGTTTATGAAGGAGGGGGATGAGCAAGAAGATGACGGCGAGAGGGTCATGAGACACCTTCTAGAAGCTTCTGATGATGAGCTGGGGATTCCCCAGAGAGAGGAAGTTAGTGGGTTCGATGATGCAGAAGATGCTGGGTTTAACGGGCTGATGATGGATGGGTTTTCTTTTGGGGATGGGTTATGGGAGCTTGAAGATGAAGCTGCCAACTACTACACCCTGGTGCAATCTGAACTGTTCATGTAGTTCATTGTGAAGGGTATGGTGGGAAGGGGTCAAAATTGGAAAGAAAAATATATATCTTTAGGGGAGTTTGGTTGTATGGGCAAATGTTTAAGAAGTAAAGAGGGACAAGATAGTAAAAATGGAGAGAATTTTAAATTTTCATTTTGGTCCCTCTTCTTTTGTAAAAATATCGTCAAGTGTCCTCTGCCAACTATTTAGAAGAAGATTAACTTGTAGAAGAAAAGAGATTCAAATTCCATGACATTATTTACCATCAACTGTCCGTTTTATTTATATTTATTTGCCCTAGTTACTCAATTTTTCCCATAAATATTTCATTCAAGAGGATGTGATGTGACCCCCCAAGCTGAATCAAATTACCATTAACCCTTATTTAACATAGTTTCCCTCCCTTTTTTTTTCTTGTTTTAAATTAATTAAATATCCCACTAGTGGGGTTTCAGTTGGGAGGTCGTTAAATTACAAGTGGGTTTAGGCTTTTGGTGGGAAAGTAAAGGCTTTAAGCAGGAAATGACGCTTTTGGGGTTTTTGGGAGTTGCTAACATGAGCGATGCCCTGCGCACCACGCACTTGATAAAAAAAGAAGCAATCTGTATCTGTATTGTATATGGTACATATGGTGTACGTAAATCCGACCAAAGTTGTATTTAACGTTGTGACTTTGTTTTTGAACATTGGATTCTCCATGAGTTTGTTTGATCTTCCTTCTCACGGGTCACTTCTTTCGCGCGTATGGGTCACCGCTATCTTTACTGATTGAGAGTGACGACACACCGTTTCATAAAGGTTGTGTAATATAAAATAGAAATAAAATATGGGTAAATCGGTTGGAGAGTTGTGGTGAAACACGATGCGAGTGCGACGAGTCGTACGCAAAACAGTGGCTTATTTCCGTGGGGTGTAGGGTCCATTCGGGAGATGAAAGCAAATCTAGTGCGACAAATTATTTCCAAGGGACCCAGAGGGTGGGGCCGGAGAGGAGCGTCCTCGATGCGAGAGGTGTGGGGCCCAGTAATAAGACAGTGAGATACTGACGAGGCAATGCGTTGTCTGCCATGGCCACTGCATATAAAATATATGCATCTCGGATATATTTAATAATAGTACTATAATAATGAGGTGTTTGATGTGATGTGATGTGATTTGGAGGGTGAAGATATTATAGGGGATGGTCCATGGAGGAGGGATGGCATGGACCATGGGATGCATTTGGAGTGACAAAGACTGGGCTGCCATGATTTAGGGCCCCGCAGAGATATTATTAACTGGGTCAGAAAAGTAGATATCAGCATTTATGGTGAACGTCACGTACCGAGAAGAACTTAGTTGAAACGGCAAAGCTTCTCGATCAATAATGTCATATATTACGTGAAAGAATTATTATGAGTATCATAATATTATAGTGTTATCTCCGTTTTACACTCATCACATATCATGTGTGGCTTTGAAGGTAAATGAATGTGGATATGATCTTTGGTTACTCAATAGTATATTTGTGTGGTTACATATTCTTCCTCTTTAGCATCGAAGTCAAATGTCTCCTTATCTTTCAGGCGAACAAATATCGAAAAATAATATTGAAATTTAAAACTAAGAATGTCATTTTCTTAACCATTTACATTCAGAGTTTGATAATCTCATATTGTAGTCTTCATGGGAACTCAAAAAATGTCCACTAATCGTAAGTTCATTTGGATGGAGGGATGTTAAATCTATAAATGATGTTGTATGGTAAAAATGCGTATATAGACTATTACAATTCATGTTTGCCAACGTTTGAACAAGAAAGAAATTATGAAAAGAAATAGATTTCAAATGACTCATTACATACAGTTATTTTAAGGTAGTTCTTGTTAGCATTAATGTCAAATCCAAATCATTTCATTGAAACCCCTTATTCAAACGGAGTCTCAAATGTTACCTAACATCGTTTGATCAAAACATAAGAATTTGGGAATTGAATTAGAGATGCCCTAACACATAATGCATAGTTTGAGAAATGTCCAAAATATAAAATATTATTAAAGATGTCATCAGACAATAAGATTGGAAGTATAGAGAATTAAGATGCATAGATTTAAAAAAAGTCCAACAATGACATGGCTCAATTAGGCCTGCGCTGTTTGTTTAGATGCTGAGCTTAAGAACAAAGTAATAAAGACAAAAAGAGATCTACGTGGGTGGATAGATGGATGGATGGATAGGTAGATAATTTTGAAAATGACATGTAGGTGTGGCTGCTGCTGTCATAGAAATTAGGGTACGTCTGGTTCTAGAATGAGTAGAAGAAAAGAAAGAAGAAGAAGATTGATTTGATTTCTTTTATTAGCCCATTATTTACTCAAATCCAGTTTGAAAAACTGATACCATTTTTATTAGTGCGCCTCAGGAAAATGGAATAGACCCGGTTTAGAAGAGTAGACTTGACGACAATTTGCAAGCACCGTGCCGTACCCGTTATCTTCCAACAGCGTCACCACTTGGCATGGCGGCATGACTTGCACTCTTCAAATTTTATTCCAAAGTCTTTGAACAAATGACCCGTTTTTTTCCAATTTTGAATTTTAGAACCACACGCTGACTACGTTTTTCATACATAAGTTTTGATCTCAATTTTCATCAGGTGTCTTATGATTCACGTGATAAGAAACATAAACAAGAAAGATTTATAAAGTCATTATGTGGAAGTCTTGTTTTACAATTGTGTTGCGTCAATGTCTTAAAATGCCTTTCTTACCAAGGTAAGCGACTAATATAATTTCCTTGACTTGATTATTAACGTTTTTTTGTTGGATTTTGACTACTTTATATTTTTATTTATTTAAATGATTCAAATAATAATTTGAGTGTAAATGAAGAACCTTTGCATAATTCTATTCATAGTCAACCTTTTACAATATGATGAATTATTAGAGCATGTTTAACCGATATGTCAAAAGTGCCACGTTAACATTTAACGGCTAAAAATAAAATCACATCACTCCAACTAAATTGTCAAAGCTGAGGTGGAATGAAGGCTGGAGGTTCATCCGTTACTTTTAACATCTCAAAAGTAAGATGTCAAATAAATATTTTATTATTTTTTTAAGATAGCTGACTGTTACTTTCATTTATTATTTTTTTCTTATTTATCTTAAATGATTTTAAATGATTTGACTGTTGCAATAATTATTTATTTGACATATCGGGTAGACTGCTCCACTCCACAGACAATTTGTGCCAGCCCACTCGTACGGCCGCCGGGCCAATTAAAGCATACTTGATCAATTGTGTTATATAAAATAAAGATCACGATGAATCTTTTATTGCGTTTTACATCTACACATAATGAAAGCTCTATAACCATCACAGACTCGGTCTTTGCTCTCAATTGTATATGCCGGCCACTTGGTCAAAATAAGGCCGTCCAGCTAACTTAATTAGCAACACAAAGTAACTTCTTTTCTTGTTTTATTATTTTTCAAGGATAATGGAATCCTATAAGTTTTTAGTTTTTTTAGTATCGAGAAAAAAATATTAATCATGTAAATCACGAGCTCACGAAAAAGCATAAAAAAATATAACGAACAAAACGAGGCAACGCAATGCTAGTGTCTAGTCAAAAAGAACCATCAACATATTTTCCATTTCATAGTTTTCCTTTATATTACGATAAAGTCGTACACCATTATTTAGGTCTTAAAAAAAACATTTGTATCAAAGTAAGCATCATTATATTGTATGCACAATAATGTATGATAAAGATGGGGATGATGGGTGAAGCATGCCATTATCACACAAAATGAATGAATAAACAAGGACACACAAATATACTTACCCATTATACAAGTCATTGACTGAGCAGTGGTTGGCTGAGGGTTTATTTGGAACAGATTCTAAATCTCCCCCCACACAAATATAAGTGGAGAGGACCTTTACCAAAGTACGTGTACGACTTTGTTAATTAAATTTAAAGATACGACTAAATAGAGAGGTGAGTTGCGGTGTGGGATCCATCGATGTGGGATGTGGTAGGAAGCTTCCTGAGACATACATTTGTTTTTTTTCTTAAATTTTAATGTAAGCGATGCTCTGAATTATTCTAATAGAAAAATTCAAACTTAGATATAAAAGAGACGGACTCACTGTTTTGACCAATAGATATGTAATCTCGAAATGCTTTTGCCCCCACCATTTTTTAAATTTATTCCTTGCGTTAGACTCAACTCACCACCTTAATTATTTGCAACTTGCAATTTGATGGCGATCAACCCCGTTTTCCAGTCTAGTTCTCTCTCTTGAATTTCCATTTTAAAAAAATCTTAATAAGGAGCGAACGATACTCATCACAACCAATGAAATCCACAGTTTCTTCTTTGGGGCGAGGTGTTTCCACATCTTCAATAATACTACTATGGGAGGAAATGCTTGTATTGTCAACATCGTTAATCTGCACCATAATCAAATTCGATTTTTATTTGAATTTGTATTCTAAATTCAATATCCTAGCAAGCAACCACATATAGGCATATTATGAAACGACCTGACCCAATTTCCACTTTGGAATCCGGGTCGACACCTGTTTAAAACTAACACCTGGTAACCGTGGTTCTTAAATGACCAAAATGCCCTGAAAACGATAACACAAACTCCCTTAATTAATATTTAATTATTAATTAAGGACCGGGTTGTTACATATTAAGCTAACTAATAAAGAGAATTGTTATTTGTCAATCAGATCTACCTTAGTGAAAAACGACTTTAACTTGTAGATTAGTGGTATTGGGTTAAAAAAAAATACAAATTTATAAATAAACCCAATCCTAGACATGTATTTATAAAAAAACTCAAGAACTATTTAAACATAGAAACACACCCAAAATCAACCCCAAAGTCAACTTTTTGGGTATGTTTATAAATGAGTTTTGAGTGTGTGTAATGATGGGTTTTGGGTGTGTTTATATGTTTAAATAGTGCTTGGATTTTTTTTATAATTTCAGACCCCATTTTGGGTGTTTTAGTGAAACTCCCAAAAAAAAACCCCCTCTCTTATTTTTAAGACCATCACTTGTACTAAAAAAAAAGAAAAAAGATAAGTGTTATTTATATTTTACAAAAGTCATTGTTTTGCATCAATTCAGAAAAAGTCCCCATTCATATTATTGATTTAATATGTCCCTTGGATTGGGACAGACTTGGGCAATAATTTGCTCCATGGCTGTGCATGCTTGTCTATAATGATGTATTATCTCTTAACTGTTAGATCAGACTAACTAATTTGATCTAATGACTAACTAATTTGATCCAACGATTAAGAGATAGGGCCTCACTTAAGGTCATATATAAAGCCATCACTATAGAAGTCTTGATGTTTTCATGTCCTATACATATGCAATATTCATACCATGTTGGGCTAAACTCAAATTTCCACCATCCAAACTACAAACATTCATGCATTTTCAGGACTTAATTTTTTTTTCCTCCAACCTTGCAGACTCATAATTTGAGTATGCAACTTTATTAAATTGTTTAAGAATGATTTACCCCTAAATTTTTTTGTCGTTAATTTTTCTTGACATTATTTTTGTTTCAACATTCGTGATTTAATTTTCTTAGCATTTTAATCTAAAATGATTGAAATTCTGTAAACATAACATTTCTTTTTCAGTTAAAATTAAAATGAGAATGCCATTTGTAGAGTTTGAGAATGGGATCTCCTTTAGATAAATTAAAAATATTATTTTAACCATTTGATTTTAATTTTGACCATTGGATCTTATTTTTCTCTTTAAAATCAAGTTGAACAAAAATATGAGCCATTTATATTATTTGAGAAAGGTTGAAAAATCCAAAAAAAGTTGGTTCCCATTGCTTGAATGTGGCCAGCTTTGAAAAATCACAAAAAGATTAGATTAAAGAAAAAAAGAAAAGAAAAAAGGAAAAAAACAGATGCATCATTGGTTTTCAAGGGGAGCCGTTGGATTCCAACGTCCCTTTGATGTGAGCCTTCGACGCGCCTAGCAAGTTGGCTTTGTCTTGCCATTCCTTCACGTGTTGCGCAAGTTGGCTTTGTCCTGCCATTCCTTCACGACTTGCGCAAGTAGGCTTCAACTTGGGGCCCACAGAAATTCCGCCCGGACTGAAAAGTTGGGCCAAATTCTGTCCACAAAATTTCACCCCTCCCTATACAAGATTGGAGATGGTCTAACAACATACAAAACTCAGAACCCAGTGGGCTGCCAGTGGCCCATCCCCTGACTTACGTAAGGTTTATAGTTTGAGGGGCACGGGGGCCCACCAGCCATGACTTATTTGTTAGAGCGAAACAAATAAAAATGAAAATGAAAATGAAATACAAGTCATCAAAAGACATCATATTTCACAGGCTAATTGTGACAAAAATAATTGGATGGGTGGGTGTCCAGAGATTAGCCTTGCGTGTCCATAGAATTCCTCAAAATTTAATTTGATATGGCCCAATACGAAGAATTCAAGTCCATTCAGCATTTTGGGCTCTCCTTCGGTCTGTGTGGTCTTCTTCGTCTCTGTGTCTCTGCTTTTCTCACAACAATACAAGGGTTTAAGCTTTCATTTCTTCGTTTTTCTCTTATTTTCTTCACTGGCTCCAAAAGCTATGCAGGCCCTTAAACGCACAGCAACAAATACCGAGTTGCGGAGACTCTCGTCCACAATCACCAAAACCCATTTCATATCCAGCACCAATTTCAGACCCTTCTCCTCCAACTCAAAGAAAGGCGACGACGACTGGAACGACGCCTGGGAGACCGCCTGGCTCCCGCCCGACCTCTCAGGAAGTAGTAGCAGAGCTCCATGGGAGACCGACGTCAATTTCTCGTCTTCAGAGTCGAGCGTAGTGCTTCCGTCAGACGCAGACCTGGAGACTAAGGCGTTCGTGGAGGACATGAATGAGAATTGGAACGAGAGAAGAAAACCCAAAGAAGAAAATCCGCAGAAGCAACAACAGCAGAGTGAGAATGGGTCGTCGCTTTATAGCTTGGATAGTATTAAGAAGGACTATAGGGTCAAGAAACAGAGGATCCATGCTGGCCTTTGGATGAAGGAGATTGAGAAGCAAGAGGAGGCTAAGTTGGCCGACTCGAATTCTTTCGGTGGCGGGGACGATATCGAGCGATTGCTCGATAGCTGCTCCGAGTATGCTCTCCTTCTGTTTTCTTTTTTATTTTTCTCATCTTTACTTTGTTTTGTATGCAGTTTGTGTATTCATTTTTAATGTGTTTAGTTTGTGGATTGGGTTTTGGTTCTTGTATTTGATATGAATACCCTGTGGGTTCTGTGTCAAATTTGAGATGTTTCACTTGCACACGTACCTAGTGTCCAATAGTTATTTCATTTGTTATGATTTAATGCTTTGAGTCTGATTGATTGTTTTCCAAGTCTTGATTTTTCTCTTGATGTCACTGGATTAAATCTGCATTCTTTACTATCTGCCTGTGTTAATGTTCATAGAAAAAGTTTTGAAGGCTGCTTGTTAATTTACTTGTTGGGTCTACTATCGGGATACTTGCAGCATTTTTGATTCTGCCAACAACGATTTGGAAAACTCTAGAGTCCCAAGTGCTTCCGACTTCAAAAACAAACCGGATGGTTGGGAAACGACATCCAAGGCTAAGGATGGAAATGTATGGGAGATGACCCAGAGAGAAGAAGATATTCTTCTCCAAGAGTTTGAGCGTCGAATTGCGTACAATAAATTTCAGGTGTGTAAATACACCCAAACAGACTTGTATTTTCCTTCTTCCTTTATACAGTATGTTCCGAGTGTAAGCATAATATAAATGAAGAGCGCAACTCGTAAGATTAATCCCAAGTTTCAGATTGTCTCTATAAATTTATATCAAATCTTAGACAAGGGTGTACAAGTGTTGCACATGGCTGTGGTGCATCAGACTTGGTAAAAGAGAACTTTTGAAATTTGACTCTTATGTATGGAATGATGCTACGGTGTCTCCCAGTATTTCTGGTTGTGAATTCAACCCCTTGTTGCCTGGTAAAGACTGTATTTTCTGCATAATGGCACCACACCTACAGTTTTTCTGCCGAAAAGAGTTTGAATGTACTCTTTCATTACATGTATCTTAATCTTATTGCCAACGTCTTCCTCTCTTACCTGTCTTTCCTTTCTTACCATTGGTTATCTAACATTGGCACGCAGATTGCTAGTTTTATCAAGACTCACATATTTAGCCGGAGGAGACCAATTGATGGGTGGAAATACATGATAGAGGAGCTGGGGCCAAATGCAAGGAAAGGGAAGGGTTCTGTTACAAGATTACCGAGTCTATCTGATGCATCAACCCAACCCTTTAAGGAGGAAACCAGTGCAATGAGCAGCAGCAGCATTATGCCCTTTAAGGAGAGGTAGTTTGCTTTGGACTATGATCATATATTCCCTTTTGCTTGGAGATTTCGGAGATTGGGCAGTAATGACCTTCCTTTGTTTAGAGATGTCAGCCTCGAAAGTATTCATACCTACCATATAAATTCTTGCAATTTTGATCTCTGGCTTTCTCAATGTATGATCATACCATCCTGTAGACAACTGAAAGTGCAATTAATTTAAGTGAAAGAATGTGTGCATTTCCTTCAAACCTGCAGTTCCAACTTATGAATGGCATATTATCTTGTAAGCCTTCAATATGGTTTCGTAGTCACTTCACCAATGACCAAAGGCTTCCATTCCACGATAACCTCTTGTATATTTGCTTGCGAAAAAGAACTTAAGGTGCATCAGATCAGTCACGTTGACTTGTTACCACATGAAATTTTAGTTGACTTGTTACCACATGAACTTTTAGTTTAATGGTCCCAAAACAGGTGAAAAGAAGAAAGAGAGGAATCTCATTTTTTATGGCCAATCTTATTCATTAAGAATTGCATCAAATTTTTTGGGAGAGCAGTTGTTACGTTCCATCTTCAATCCAAATCGAAACCCAGAATTAAGAACAAGATAAAAGTGTGCAAAATGCCTGTCATCGTGCCAATATTATGGATAATGTATCGATAACATATCGGCACTTTTCTTTTTATGGCATGTTATCGACAACATGCCATAAACAGACTTGACTTATTAGTTAGTTGAAGTAAAAAAGTACTAGATTTATTAGTTAGTTGGGGTTCAAGGCCTCTATGCAATTTGGTCTCCACTTTGACCCAATATATATAGTGCCTAATTTCCTGGCCCCAGTTCAAAACAATTCAAACGCTCCCGCTGGTGCCTGTGCCGCATGGCTGATGACATTGTTAGCCAAGTCCTCACGTCTGGGGCATAGACTCGAGCTTTGGCCCAAACACCACTCTGTGTTCCCCGACGATCTGAAGGTAATTTCTCTATTAGAATCTTGCAAACTAACCTCAGAAATCTCTCAAATCCATGGCTCTATGGTCAAGACTGGTCTCGACTGCGTTCCTTTCACATTGAGCAAGCTTCTTGTCTCTTCCATTCATGACATTCAATATGCGGCCTCCATTTTCAACCACATACAAAACCCAAATCTCTTCATGTTCAATACCATGGTCAGAGGCTATTCCATCAGTGATGATCCAACGCATGCTTTTCGTGTTTTCAATAACTTGAGGGCTCAAAATATCACGCTAGACCAATTCTCTTTCATCACGACGCTCAAAGCTTGCGCTCGTGAATTGGCCATTGGGACCGGTCAAGGGATTCATGGGATTGTTGTGAGGTCTGGGCATGGGATGTTTGTCAATGTAAAGAATACCCTTTTGCATTTTTATTGTATTTCTAGGAAAATGGAAGATGCACATAAGTTGTTTGATGAGTTTCCTCAAGGAAATGACTTGATTTCATGGAATACTTTGATGGGTGGTTATCTTCATGTGTCTCAGCCTCAAGTGATTGTAGATTTGTTCAAGCAAATGTGTAGGAGCGGTTTTGAAGCTAGTGTTACCACCGTTTTGAACCTTTTGTCTGCCATTGGTGATTTAGGAAGTTACCTTGGAGGAGAGTCTCTTCATGGGTACTGCATCAAGATTGGCTTTTGTTCGGATTTACATGTGCTTACTGCTTTGATTGATATGCATGCAAAGAATGGACAAATTGATTTAGGACGTCGGATTTTCGATGGAGTTGCTGTGAAGGATGTTGTATTATGGAATTGTTTGGTGGATAAGTATGCAAAATGTGGCCTGGTACAAGATGCAGTAGCTTTGTTGCGGTTGATGAGACTTGAAAGAATGAAACCCAATTCATCTACACTGGCAGGACTGCTTTCGGCTTGTGCTGCTTCTGGGTCTGTAAGTGTAGGGAGTTGCATTAAGGATTATGTGGAAGAAGAGAACTTGGTTTTGGATGCGGTTCTTGGAACAGCTCTGGTTGATATGTATGCTAAATGTGGGTTTTTAGAGAAGGCACTTGACATCTTTGAAAGCATGGAAAGCAAAGATGTGAAATCATGGACAGCCATGATTTCGGGTTACGGTGTTCATGGGCAGGCAGGCAATGCCATAAGGCTGTTTCATAGAATGGAAGAGGAGGGCTGCCAACCTAATGAAGTGACTTTCTTGGCAGTGTTAAGTGCTTGCAGCCATGGAGGGCTGGTGACAGAGGGAGTTAGATGTTTTGAGATAATGGTTTGCCAGTATGGATTTGTGCCAAAAGTTGAACACTACGGTTGTATGGTAGATCTTTTGGGTCGTTCAGGATTGCTGGAGGAAGCACATACACTAATTGAAAGCTTGCCCATCAAGAGTGATGTTACGGCATGGCGTGCATTGCTTTCAGCTTGCAGGGTTTATGGGTACGTTTCTCTTGGGGAAACTGTAAAGAGAGTGTTAATACAACTTAATGATGATCATCCCACCAATTCAATGCTATTATCAAGTACTTATGCGATTGCTGGAAGGTTGCCAGATCAAACGAGAACACAGGAGAGGGAGGATGAAAAGATGGTGAGAGGAGAGAAATTCAGGCAAGTTCGAAAAGAAGAAAACCTGATAAAGGAAGCTGGACGTAGCACAATTGAGATGGATAGTCAAGGTTGAAAAAATAAAAGTCAGCAAATGACCTGGTATATATTCATATATTGGTTTTCGTATGTTCGAGAACTGTATTAATAACTTGAAGTAACAAACCTTTCAAACAAAAAAAATAGATTTTGATGTAACAATTTTGGTACAAAATTTGAATCATAGTTTCATGGTATCAGCGAGTAAGCTTCTTAACGACTTAGGTTGGGCTCCATTGGATTTAACGTGAGAATTCTGGTTGGTTTCCATCAATTACAGTCGGGAGTACCAGCAAAAACACACATAAAAGGCCTTAAAAAGAAAAACATAAAGAAAAAAAGAACATCATTAACTGCAGAATATCTAGATTCCTGAAAACGTCTTTCATCTTATGGATTCATCTTTTTCCAATTTTTGGAAAACCATCCCCTACAGTTTTTCACATTCTAATACCTCAGTCTACCTGCGAATTCTGACTCCAAATACTTTGATCGAACCCCAGGGAATGATTTAGGGGTAAACAAATTTACACATTCCAGTGGAGAGGAAGAGGATGATGGGATGTTTGCTACTGGAGAGCTGACAGCATATTATTACTCAGCACTTTTTATATTATGCCGCTCACATAACTTGGCCCCGTTTTCAGCCCACCATCTCTCTGCTGCTTCTTCAGTGAAATGTCTCCGACTGTAGAACAACATTTGAATTTTCAGCACACAAGATTAATCCCACCATCTCTCTGCTAAGATAGCTGTTAACTTGGTTGTATTTGGATACTTTGAAAAATAATGGTGCGGAAGGGAAAGCGGGGAGGGGGAGAGAGATATACCTGAAGCGAACACGTCTGAGTTCATTACCACCATCTGGCAAGGAGCATAAAGTTATATATACACCAGGCTCATCTTGTAGCACCCGCTCTGCCTTTCCAGTTTGTCCTTTAGTTCCATTAGCTAAGATTCGATCCATTGAATTGCCATTGGACAAGTCTGGAGTAGTTATGTTTGTCAGATGGCTCTCTTTGGATAACTGGTCTGCAAAATTGATTGCATGGCCAGCCATAGAACCTGAATTGCAGCTGCCGATCTGTCCTTCTGGCATTCTTTCAGCCATGTCCTTCAACTGTTTGAGAAGTAAAATCATTCACAACATCAGAAAATAGTTAATAAATAGCATAGCATAGTTGCAACCCCACGCCCCAACAACCAAATAAAAATAGTGAGGAAAAAATGAAACATGTTGAGACAACATATTTAAAAAATAATCCTGAAGATGGGAATTGGTTTTATACGTATCACAATCAGAGAATTCACCAGTTGATCTTGAATTTATCATTAATCATAAGTTTTAAGAACATTTTTCCTGATTGACATCAAGAATCCACTTTGCAGTTAGACAATATACGTAGATTCTCTTACATATATGACAAATTAGCATAGAAATGCCTGAATTGGAAACTGGATTGAGAATCTTTCATGTCCATTGCAAGCAATTTATGCCTTTTCATATTCAAATGTGAATGCATCTACAAATTTCTCAATTAAACCCATCAACAAATATTTTTCAAGTGAAGCAATAAGTTTATCAACATGTCTTCTGCACCACATAAAAACACATGAAATTTTTAAAAGTTTACAACATGATGATGTAGATCAAATGGTGTCTATCCTTAATAAGTTAACTTGCTCTCAGGTTATTCTTTTTAGGATCCATCACATATTCAGTTCAAGTCTGAAAACTCAAGATCTTCACAATATTGAAATGGAAACCCCTTCTGGGGAGTAATATACTGCGTCTTTATTAATGTATAACTAGTTGGATGACTATGCTTGCTTCAAATTAGCTTATTATGGGAAAATATCACATTGATAATATAAAATTGTATGCATGGTACTGGTCAGTCCCAGCCAATTCCATGTGAGGCACTTTGCTCCCAATTGAGTATATAAATCGCAGTTATAGTGCTAAAATCACAAAAAGCAGAATATTTAACAGAGAACATTTCCAACCTGAGCAGTTAGAGACTTAATAACTTCCTTTGCAGATTTGCATTTTTCAGCTTCATCTGCAGCTATTGCAGATACCTCCTTCAATTTCTTTGATGTTCTTTGCAGTTCAGCTTCAAGATATCGGGATTTGGAAGTAAGGTCTTCTACCTACATGGTTTTTTGGATCACTTTCAGCTTTGTGTAGAGCATGCATCACTTCAACCCATTTAAGGTAGAAAAGGGAATGAAAGAAATTAAAATCACTTAATAGTCAATGCAAAAATGAGAAACGAAAGCCCCTAATTTTCCTATTGATGTAAACTTTAACCCATTGCCTCAGTTCAAAATCTATGGTAGCTCCTCTCCCTTAGTAGTTACAAAAGGTCTAAGATTCAAACTCCTGAACTCACCACAAGGAGGTTCTTCTTGCTAGACAGAGAAAAGTACTAATAGTGTCCAAGTGTACTTTTTCTGCTATATTATGTTGACCTCCAAAAATAAACCACCTAGGATGAATTAATAGTTTGAGACTATGTTAAACTCTGTCAATAAAAGAAATAAAGGAGAGGACAAAGTAAGGAGGAAACTTAAATTTTTTTGTTTTGTTGAAGAACTGGTTTATAGAGGACGAAGTAAGGAGATAAAATCTTGTCAGAGTTTATAACTGAAGCAAAAAGCCTCAAGGATTAGGATAGATAATAATTTTGCAAGAAATTGAGATAAGACCTTTTTCTAGAAATACCCATGAATAATGATGTACTGCCAACAGTCTTTGGAGATCAATGATGGTCTACTTTTGGAGTGCTATTCCATACAACAACAAAAAAGAGTGTCCGGAAAGAGAAAGGATATAGGCATGAAGTAAAGAATACAAAATACTATTAACTCTTAGAAAATGAACGGGGAAAATTGATGTTAAGAGCATTTAGATCTCAGAAACATATATTAGTCTCATGTTACGGCACTGCCTGAGAGTACACATATTTGATTAGGATTTAGCTGTATGGAGGGATTTAGTTGAAATATTAGATTGTAGTCACTAAAACCAGGCTTACCTGTGTCCTTAAGTTTATGATTTCTTGGCTCAAACTTCCATTTATAAGCTTGGAATCCTCAAGAATATCATCAGAAGACCGACGTGGGCTTGACTTTCCTGAAACAGGAGACGTAAACCGAGAAGCCTTTCTGGAAGCAGGAATTGAAGCTGATACAACTTTTTCTGAATCTCCAGTGAGAGAAGTTGATGCTTTTGTCAAATTAAAGCCCCCTAACTGCAACTGTCCATTCAGCATGGGAAAGACTCGAGTATCATGCGCTTCTGGTTTTCTGTCTTGCTTTGGATACTTGCTTTCACTCTGATTGGTTGAGCCAAAAGATGAGAGTCTGGAGAGTGTTGCTCGTAACATAGGGACCAGAGTGTCTCTATCTGCCACATCATTGGCTTTATGACGTATATTTCCACTTTTAATTGTAGGACTTCGCAAAGCAGAACTAGTTTCTGCAGCCTTCTTTAGTTTAGCATAACACTCATCACACACCCGATATGGCTTGTTCATATTTGGAGCTAAGGCAGCTTTCAGAGATTTCTTGCTGCTGCATGCTTTGCAGAAGACTAGTCCACAATTGTAACAATTATGACGTTTTCTTCTGAAACCAAAGGGATTATGACAACCAGAGCAAACAGAATGGTCAGCACTAGATGCCCATTTATGAAGACAAATGACCGCTGTAATGTTTGGACCACATGTTACACTCTTTACTTGCTTATCCTTTATACAATCTACAAGGGTAGGTGTATTTCTATGATCATTGTCCCCATGGCCTAGTTGCCCATTTGAACCCCTTCCCCAAGTAAAAACCTCTGTCTTGGAAGTCAAAACTGCAACATGATAAGAACCACAGGCAATATCTTCAACAAAATTATCTGCGATTTTCCCCTCAACCAGAGTGGGAACTTTCCCATCAGCTAAAGGACTGCCAAGCTGTCCATAAGCAGCACTTCCCATTGTATATACTTGTCCTGAGGTTGTAAGGGCAACTGTGAGATTATGGCCACATGCTACCTGACAAATATGTTTATCAACCAATGCAGCTACGCATTCAGGAACTAGTCTAGATTCTTGATCACCATGTCCAAGTTGGCCTGTATCTCCATCCCCCCAGGTGTACAGATTTCCAGATGAAGAGTTACTAGAAGTCTCAGGACTAGATAATTCATTTGTTACTTCAACAACTGCAGCAGTGTGCCAAACACCGCAAGCAACCCTTGTTGTTCTTAGCCCTCCCAAAGTTCCCACCTCCCGTGGAGTATTTGTGCTACTATGATCCCCATGGCCCAAGGCACCGAAAGAACCGTCCCCAAAGGTAAATAACTGGCCAGCTGATGTCACAGCAGCTGTATGCCATGGTCCGCAAGCGATATAGGATACATGTATACCATCCATGTGACCACTTACCTTTTTGGGTATCCAATGACTAACTTCACTTCCATGCCCAAGCAGACCAAAATTATGAGTACCATCACCCCATGTATAAAGATCTCCAGAAAGTGTAACAGCACAAGTGTGATATTCCCCGCATGACACTAATTCAACATTAATGCCACTAAGAGTGTCAACAAGCTTTGGGTGGGAAACATCTGCCTCTACCCCATGCCCAAGCCTGCCTCCTGACTCCTCTCCCCAACTGAAGATTTCCCCTTGCTTGGTGACCAGCACCGCATGTCTGGCGCCACAAGCAATTCCATGAACATCTACGACCACTGTTGATTCCAATACCTTAGGCAGAAGAGCATCTGTCCTGAAACCATATGAACAGCCTACTCTATCTACACCACCTCCTAGTACTCCACCACCAATACCTTCACCCCAAATGAAAACATCTCCTAATGCATCAAAATCATCTTGACAAGAACCTTGACTTGACGAGCTTACAGCACTAGATAAACTAACTCGAAAACCTTCAGCTGCAGCAGAACTTCGACCATTTGAGTTATCTACAGATGCAGGTGATAATGAGGAATTAGAAACTGATTCAACTTGAGTGGCACTCTTGGGGGTTGCAGTATATGTAATTATGTCAGCAAATGCCTTTCCTAATCTACTCTGTGGGATATTCTCCAAAGGCACTCCCTCAGTATCTCCTACATCCTGTAAGTTTTGCAGAATACCAAGAAATACTGTAAATGCTTGGTAAATAAAAAAATGTATGTTTTTTTTTTTTTTTTTTTTTTTTGAAAAGAATAAAAGATAAGTCACCGATACATACAAATGGTGTGACTGATGGAGAACTTCGTCGAGTACGAGTATGGGGACTATCTAGTGATGTGCTGTCCAATCTTGACTCACTTCTCCAGTTCCGGTAGTTACCTCGACTGACTAGTGCTTTAAGACCAACAAACCAAACTTCAGCTTCATCCTTGTCTTTACATATCTGTCCAATACGGTGGTAATGTATTAAATACAATTCGAAGTTTAAAATTTCAAGAAGCTCACAATACTAACAAATATGACTTCCTATGTTTTTTTTTTTCTTTTTTCTAGAATAAATTTCTTAGGTTTTGATCTGCCTTGTACACGCAGTTGCAAGAATGAACCTTGAGCATGCTGGCTGTGAAAAGTTAAATTTGCTTTATCTTGAAAATATATCCAGCAAATATACTCACCAAGTCCAAGGACCTATCGTTGTATAGGAGTGAAAATGATTGATACTCCTTTTCAGGCCGTGGATACCGCTGAAATATTGCCTGGAAGAAAAAAGCCACACTAGTACTTATCAATATTTTTGGAAAGTATGCAAACAAAGGATACAACAATTCAGTAAAGGAAAAATAAATTAGGATAAAGGTAATTGGTGACACCATGAAAGAAAAAAATCTAAAAGCTTTTTTCAAAAGCAGGCATAAGCATTTAAGAACATTTTGACAGTTCGATAACATAGTTCAGCTTTGCATTGAGATTTTTCTTGCAAAAGAGAATGAAAATGCAAACTTACTGTACGCTGGCCCGGAATAATTGTTGAAACATGACTGAGTTTAAGGTGTTTTTCTTCTTTGCCAGAGTACCATATCAATAAAGACTCATCCTGAAAACCAAAATTATCAGAGTCAACAGAACAGAAATGAAAGAAGGCTACATATGGCAAGGCAACTTACATTAGAAAGCCGGAATGGGCAGAACTTTGGCTTCCCTCTGCGCCCATATTTTAACAAAGTTGCACCTTTCTTAAGTGCTGTTATGGCCTGTAAATAGAATGAAAATATGGAAGGAGTTTAATAATACAAGAGCACAAACTGCACTAAGGAGGCTAAATGCTTCATGGTTCAATAGATCATGTAGGCAAAAATAATCGTGATCATTCACTTGAATGTCTGCATACATAACTCTAGACATATACTCAATCAATTGCATGCATCATGTAATCAGTTCAAACCTCAAGTGAACAAAATGTTCAACTGACCAGGACCCAGCAGTCTCACAATAACTGTTAAATTCATGAAAATAGTTTATGAAAAGAAATGGAAGCGGAGTAAACCTGCTCGATATCCCTCTCGACAGGACCGCTTCTCTGAGGACTAGCCATTCAAGTTGAAATATCAGGTTTTGCCCAGAAGTACAAGACCCAACACCCATTTGAACACCACCACCACCTAATATTTTCAATACCATAACCCAATTCCCAACTTCTCCCCATCAAATCAACAAAAAGAAAAAATTACTCTGTTTTTGAGCCACAAGAAAATTGATTTACTCCACCTCTAACCCATTATAATCACAAATGGGGAACAGCCCTCAAGAACAACCTTGCAGCTCAAGAAACTCAACCCCAAAGCCTAAGAATTTCACAATGCTGCAAAACCAAACCCCAAAATGCCACACAGGAAGGCTCCACTAATCAGCACTCAGCTCTGAAACAGCTCAAACGACTTCCTCAGAAATCAAAGAAACCCTAGAATTCACATACGCGGTCGAATGCCTCCGGGACTTTTGGATTTTCGCATTGTCCGACACCAAAAAGACACATTCTAAAGCGGAAGGAGCAAAGAAACGAAGATTGAGTTTACCTACATTGCGAGAAAGTTGCAGAAATTCGCCGAATGTGAGCCATATTCCAAAAATCTGAGGTCGTTCAGTTCTAAAAAGAAAAAGAGACACAGAAAGAGACACAGAAGATTTGAAAAAAGAAAAGAAAAATGAGAGAACTAAGCACTTGGTGATGTCGGTGAGGTCGTCGTCAATGTCATTTTCCCCGGAGCTTTGGGGATTGTTGGTGTTTGTTAACTAACGTGCGCACCTCTCTCTCTCTCTCTCTCTCTCTCTTATTTCTTTCTTTCTTTCTTTCTTTCAAGCTTTAACTGTTTGTTTTGTCTCTCCTGATTGCCAAATCAATTTGGTGTCGCTTCATGCCACGTCACCAACTGAAATCTCCGGGATGGGGATGGTTTGCTTTTGTCTTTATTTGTGCCAATAAGCATGTGTTATTTGTTGACCAAAACAAAAGCTTGTCTTAATTAATTAATTAATTTGGTTTGCTTTTGATTTCTTTGTTGAATTATGTCCCCTAAAACTATGATAAAAAAGGATAATGTCCCCAATACTTTGATAAGAAAAAAAAATGTCTAATGTCTCCTATTTTTTTTTTTTTTTTTTTTTTTTTGGGTAACAAGGAGGGCTAAAAGCCCAGAATAAACAGACTAAGCACAAACAACACGGGACCTAGACACCCCAATAGCATCCTCAGCCAAACAAGTCAAAAGAAAAGCAGGCCCCTCAGGCTTTCTTTTCTTGTTTTGGTTGAAAATAATCATATTCTTAAGAAATAATATTTTAACAATATAATATTTTGGGAATATTTGAGGTTAAATGCTAAATGAAACATTTGTTCCAATTTAAAAACTAATTTTTATTTTATTTTTATGTTTAAGGTTTATTACGAAATGAAAATTCAAAGTAATTTTTAACAAATAAATAATAAAACTAAAATTAAAGTTGTGACCTAAATTAAGAGCACTTCCATCTATTTGTCATGGCAAAAGATAAAGATAAGTAAAGGCGGTTACTGTTCACCTGAATAGTATCTGCCCTAGCAATTATTTTTTGCTTTTCCACCTATTGCAATGGTAACCCAATGGCAATTACTATTCATATGAGATTAATTTTATTTATACGTATGAGATTAATAAATAAAAATTGCTAGGTATTTATTAAAAAATTCATATATATTTGAATTTTTGGTTTTTTTTTTCCAATTTTTTCCAATTTTTTCTTTGCTGATGTTAGTGCCCTCAAGCAGCAGCTCATGTTGCTCTTGCCTTCGGGCATGCCCAGTCTTAGTGGAGCCCACCTCCTTCTTGGGCTAGGTTTGCTTCGTGGAGTGGGTTTTTGCAGCCCTTTGGGGGGGGGTGGGGGGGGGGGGGGGGGGGGGCCGAAAAACCAAGTTCCAGCGGGCCAGTCTTGCTTGGGTTGGGAGTGGGACCCACAAAGACGGACTGGCCCGAAGGCCAGTTTCGCCCAAGCTCGAACCCAAGGGGAGAAGATGTCATCGTGCAGTTTCTAATTTTTTTACACGCGCCAACGGTAAAAAAAATTTGAACTCGCGTGCGATGACGTCAACCCTGCGCAATCTCCAATAGCTAGAAGACACGTGTCAAGGCTTGGGAGCTTCGATATGCTTCTCTCTCCTCCTTCACCAACGGCTGGCCTTTTTTTGGCAATAAAATTATGAAACAAAATCGAAATTAAAAAAAACAAAAAACAAAAAACAAAAAATTTTGATTTTTTTTTCTATAAATACCTATCAATACCCTTCACTTTCAACACTAATCCTCATACATTTGCTTCTACTTCGACTATTATTCACTCTTTACTCAACATTTTCCTCTCTTTCAAATTGTATTTTTATTTCTTATCTTTATGGCTTCTTCTATCAAAAGTGGACGGGCGTGGAGCACCATGGAAGATGTTTTCTTGTCTGAGTCTTGACTCCAAGTTAGTCATTGTCCCGTGTCAGGCAATGAGATGAAATTTTGTCATATGTGGAAAAAAATTCATGCCGAATTTTGTGAAAGAATTCCGTGGTCGACTCGTACGGAAATGACATTGTCTAGTAGGTGGAAAATTCTCAATAAAGAGTTGGCAAAATGGAGAGATGCCTTGACAAAAGCGATGGACAACCATAGAAGCGGGGAAAATCTTAGTAACGAGGTAAATATTTTGTAATTTTCGTTTTATTAAGTTTAATGTATTTTTCATACCTTTTATTTATTTGTATTTTTCATATTTTGTATTTTTATTTGTTGTAATTCTTGTATTTTATTTTAGTAGTAGTAATTCTTTATTTTAGTAGTTGTATTGGCTTTCTTTATTTAATAAACAAAGCATTCAATAAAATACTTTTTTATTCAACATATTCCATACATCAAAGAAAACATAATTAAAAGGAAAAACTACAACCAAACCATAATAAATAAATAAATAAAAGAAACTACAACCAAAGCACAATAATAAAAACAAACCACAACCAAACCATAAATAAATTTTTTTTTAAAAAAAAACAACACAACCAAACCATAACTAAATAAAACCTAACCAAAGCATCTATGCTCCATCATTCACTGTCATTGCCTTTCACCGCCCAAAGATGCTCCATCAAGTCAAGTTGACGCCTTTCATGAATATACAAAGATTGCATCTCTGCATATCGATCTACCATACGGGTTATGAAACGACCATCCCTAACCAACGGATCTGGCTCCAATGGTTCTCCACTTGGCCCCGCGGGCTTTTCATAAATTCGTGTCAAGGCCGTGTTCATGGGATCCGGTTCGTAGACCTCTGCAGCATCTTAATCGTACTCATCCTCCACAATCATATAATGGAGGATGATGCAAGTCATCATAATGCTTATGAGAACCTCATCATCAAACATACGGGCCGCACCTCGAATAATCAACCACCGAGCTTGAAGGATGCCAAAACACCTTTTGACATCTTTCCTGTATCCTTCTTGATACGAAGCAAATAATTTTTGCTTCTGGGATCAGGGATTCGGAATGGATTTGACAAATGTGGTCCACCTTGGGTAGATGCTGTCAGCTAGATAATACCCCGTCTGGTAGACTATATTGTTGACTTGATAAGTGATATTGGGGCATTGGCCTATCAAAACATCTTTGAAGACTGGGGATTGACCCAACATGTTGAGGTCATTTTGGGATTTGGCAACTCCGAAGAAGGCATGCTAAACCCATGTATCGAAGCCAGCAATGGCTTCAATGATGATACTTTTTTGACCTTTTCTATTTCCGTAATCTCCTTGACAGACAGTTGGGCAATTCTTCCGTTGCCAATGCATGCAGTCGATGCTACCAATCATTCCTGGAAATCCTTGAGCTTCGGCTTTTTGTAGAAGTCGTTGGAGGTCCCTGGGAGTAGGTCTGCGCAAGTAGTCCCTAGTGTACAGAGTTTCGACTGCATCACAAAATCTTACCAAGGCCTCTAACGTAGTAGACTTCCCCATCCGGACAATCTCATCCACCTGATTAGCAGATGAACCATAAGCCAACATTCGTATAACAACTGTAAGCTTTTGCTCTGGAAGAAGTCCCAAAACCCTAGCAGCATCACACTTTTGAACAAAGTATGCATCATAATTGCAAATATCATGCATGACTTTATTGAACAAATGAGATTGCATTCTATATCGCCTTCGAAAATCAACATCAGAGTACAAAGAAGTTGGGATAAAATAATCTTCCAAAAGATTCTTACCCCGAGAATGCCTATATCTGTCCACATTCGGGCCACGACCGACTTGTGAACCACGACGGCGACCTTGGTTCTCTTCATCAAGCAAAGTCATTGCTATGACAACTTGTTCATCTTCTTTTCTCTGCCACCTTTGCCTTTCAGCTCGTCTATGACTTCTCTTATTTGTTTTTCGCTCTTGCCTCTCCAAGCATCTCCTCAAATCTTCAAGTGAGAATGGAGTATGAATTCTAAACTCTGAGAAATGAAAATATAGAAAGATGTAGTGTGAGAGGTATGAGCTGAGCATTTAATTTTATAGAAAATTTTGGCCAGATAGAGATGCCACGTGGCTTGATTTGATAGGATGAAAATCTTATCTGAAATTTATCTGAATTTTGAATTTTGAAATTCATCCAAAATTTGAACCCAAAAATTTATCTGAAATTTGAATTTTGAAATTCATCCGAAATTTGAACCCAAAAATCTTATCCGGAAATTTTATTCGATTATGAATAGTCTTAACATGTAGGAACCCGAAAATCTTATTCGATAATATTATCAAAATTAATTATTGAGGTAAAAAAATTTGTGAAAAAAACAAAAAAATGAATAGTAATTGTCCTTTGCTATGGCAACGGATGGAAACGGAAATGGCTTTTTGCAAGGGCAACCACTATTCACGTGAATAGTGGCTGCCCTAGGCCCCCCCTTGCCATGGCAAAGGGCAAATGGGTGGAGTTGCATTAATGGGTTGAACGCAGGCAACTCAAGTGAAAAGAAAAAAAAACAATATATGGTTTTGTCAAAAAATAAAAACTCAAAGTAGTATTATCTAAAAAGTTTATAATTTTTCATTGGAGTCGAACGGGAGGAAGTTTGAGGCGGATGTTCTCATTGGTGTTGGATGAGTACCATATTGTTCTAGGGTTTGATTATAATGAAATTATTTGAGCATCAGAAAAAAGATGCATGCATTACTACAAAACCTCAAAAATGGGCCACTAATAATTTGAGGACAATGATCATAAAGTGTAATCGTGCTCATAACAGTGGGTTGGGCACGGACAAGACAGATCTACATGAAAATGAAATTCTGGTTTTTGTGAATAGGCCTAAATCAAATGAATTGCTATATATATATATATATATATATATATATACACAGAGAGCTTTCATTGAGGGATCTTATTTGAGGGACACCCCTTGTAGGGCCCACTCCGGATTGTATTTCACTAGTCCAAACCGTCTATTTTGTAGATAGACATTCAAAGATCATCTCTACAAAAAATCAATTGAATCCGATATCATTTGACCATTCAATTGAGTTATTGAAATTTTAGTACTTTCTTGAAGCACCGTGTTCATTGATTTTGTAAGACACAATTGGATGTCAAAACGGTTTCCGATTTGTCTAATTTTTTATAAGGATGATCTATGAATGAAGACCTAAAAAATAGATGGTTTGGATCATTGGAAAAAAAATTGTAGGATACCCTAAAGGACGTCCCTCAATAGAAGGAGACTGATATATATATATATATATATATATACAGAGAGCTTCCATTGAGGGATCCTTCAAATAAGCTTATTTGAGGGACACCCCTTGTAGGCCCCACTCCGGATTGTATTTCACTAATCCAAACCGTCTATTTTGTAGATACTCATTCAAAGATCATCTCTACAAAAAATCACTTGAATCCGATATCATTTGACCACTCAATTGAGTTATAGTACTTTCTTGAAGCACGGTGTTCATTGATTTTGTAAGACACAATTGGATGTCGAAACGGTTTCAGATTTATCTAATTTTTGTAAGGATGATCTATGAATAAAGACCTAAAAAATAGATGGTTTGGATCATTGGGAAAAAAATTGTAGGGTACCCTAAATACAGTTCTAATTTTTTGTATATATATATATACAGTCCCCTTCTATTGAGGGATTCCTCAAATAATTTTATTTGAGGGACGCCCTTTAGGGTACCCTACAATTTTTTTCCCAATGATCCAAACCATCTATTTTTTAGGTCTTTATTCATAAATCATCCTTACAAAAAATTAGACAAATCGGAAACCGTTTCGACATCCAATTGTGTCTTACAAAATCAATGAACACCGTGCTTCAAGAAAGTACTAAAATTTCAATAACTCAATTGAGTGGTCAAATGATATCGGATTCAAGTGATTTTTTGTAGAGATGATCTTTGAATGAGTATCTACAAAATAGACGGTTTGGATTAGTGAAATACAATCCATAGTGAGGCCTACAAGGGGTGTCCCTCAAATAAGCTTATTTGAGGGATCCCTCAATGGAAGCTCTCTGTATATATATATATATATATATATATATATATATATATATATATATGGGAGTGGATCCGTGGCACCAGATTTTTGACACAAGTTCTTGACCATAAGATTAACACATTATAAATGGCTGAGATTAAATCTCACAACTAATTTATTATTATCTTGTTAATAATAATTTTATTCCAAAATTATTATTATTTTATTAGAATAATTAAGATTGGCATAGGTCCCAAAACTTTCTCTCTCTTTCTCCATGTAAATCGCCACATCTCTCTTCCTCCATGCCCACCCTTGGGTATCAATCACATGTACAACCTAAACTCTCCATTAGATGCTTTGGCATCTTGGGCGAAGAGGATGATGCACGAAGAGGTCTGGGTGGACCGACCTTCATCAGTCCTAACTCATGTGGATGAGCTACCATGCCCTCCAAGAAACTGAAGACGAAACAAGGGCCATAAGTCAGCTGTATTTTTTTTTCTAGAGCTTTGTTTTGGTTTATGTTTCCTGTTGTTCTGGTTTTGTTTCTTAAAATGATAAAGGTTTGTTAAAAAGTACTTGAATTAATAATTTAAACTCATAGGAAAATTCTTAATTCTTTAGTTAATTACTTGCTGATCATTGAGCCTCGGTAAAACTGCATAATGGGTGGTAAGATGTGAGATAATTGCTTGAGAATAATCTGCAGGGGTTGGTTCAACTAATCCATTGAACATGTTGTTCAAGCTTTCACTTTGAATAATTTGATTAACTTTGAGGCATTGAAGATATGATCTTGATGAGCCTTGTAGGAATTGGGTTATGCTTGTTGGCCTGATGAAGGATGGGAAGAGATTTTTTTAATTTATAGATGGTGATTGTTGATTGTTGCTAGTATTCTTGATTGATGTAGTCAATGGTGGCCATGGAGGAAGAAGGATAGAAATACAGCCAATGGTGGGCATGGAGAAAAGACACGGAGAGAGAATCATGGGAACTGTGCAATTCATAATTAGTTTATTAAAATAATAGTAATTTTAGGTAAAAAGTATTATTAAAAAGATAGTAATAAATAGTAGTGAGATTTAATCTTAGCCATTTATAATGTGTTAATCTAATGGTTAAGAACTTGTGTCAAAGCTTATGTAAAAAATATGGTGCCACGGATCCGCTCCCTATATGTGTGTGTATATATATATATATGTTGCATTATTGGATGGTGTTTGGAGAGAGATGGTAAAAACCGTGATGAAATATCCTTAGATTTTGGTTTGGTGGCTGATTGATCTTGTTTACATGCTCAGGTGTTGAAGCATTTCAAAGCTGCGCATATGTTGCGTGCTTAGTTGACACTCAATTCCATCTCATGATATTAAAGATATATGTAGCATACGAAATAGGTTCAGGAGAGAGACAGCATACAACATAAACTATAAACCAAATGATTAAGACAGACAATGCACTGATTCAGTACATATAATCATCATCAAAGATCATGTAATTGTGGCTCTTCCTGCTTCTTGCTTCTCTATCAGCCTGCAAATCAGAAACACATTCAAAAGGGTTTGATTAGAATGCTCTTCCTCTTCTGCTATCAGTCAATGAGCTAATAATAATAATTAATGTTATATGTAGCTCAGTCAGCTAGGAGGACAGAAAGATTAGTTGAAATAATTAATTAATTATAATTACCTTGGTTATGAGCCTTTCAAAAGCTTCTGTGCCATGCTCTTCCATATATTTTTCAGCAGCAGTTAAAACGTCATCCGGTTTGCTGAAGATGTTCTTCTTCCTTGGGATATACCACATCTGATGAGGTGATGGTGGGTTCATATAGTAGGGTCTGATAAAGTGCCGATAAACATATGCTGCTCCATTGAATTGTGGCAGCACCAACCAGCATGTGAAAATCAACTTGGCATACGGCCAAATGGGAAAGCTGACAGTAAACATGTATATATATAGGATGATTATGATTATATATGTAGTTAATAGTTAACACTTCATCATGATTCATATCTTTAGTGTTCAATGACCAAGCTTTCAAATCTTCCTAAACTGGAAATGGGAACAGTCTCTTTTCAGCTTATTGATCTATTATTCTGTTCGTGTATTTTTTAAAGGGACTGAAAATTTTCGAGATGGAGGCCGTTCTCTTACTTTTTAGTACTTTTTGGCATGGCATTCACTCAAGCATGTTGCAGAGTGCATCACCCTCCCCTGCTTTTCAATGCACCTGAGTTTTGACTCAGCCCAATCAACAGGTTCCAAATGCTCACCAAAATTTCCTACTAAGTTGAAAATGCATATAAATGTGGCTGAAGTTATTTCTATTTTGCTACCTAATTTTTTGAACATCCTTGTAAAGCATGGTAACCAGGTAACAAAACTGAAATCTACCATTTGCAAAGGAAAAAAAGAAAAAGAAACCCAGCAAGGTAGGTAGCTAACCATTCAAGGACTTTGGAAAATGTGAGCTCAAAGATTGTCATCAAAGAATACAGAACCCAATAGGTAAGCCATTGTTGATCATCGGTACGAGACTTGGTCTCTATTGCCTTAATCGAAGCATATCTGTCGAAAACAACACATTCCATGAGAATCATAGTGGCTGCATATACATTGTCCACATAATATTGAAGAAAAAGCCACAAAATCATGAGACACTACTTACAGGGGATAAACCAGTGTGATCAGAGGCCTGCAGATGAGAGACAAAGAATAAATTATTTAACAACTACAATGCCATATAAAATCTCAGTGTAAATTATAATTCATGTGTGTGAGTTATGAACTTGTGAGAGGGAGAGAGGAACATACAAAGCAAGAACATCAAAGTTGCTAGCCACAACTTGGAGAAAATTATTCGAATTCCCAGAATTATTGCGACCCATGTCTTGCTGGAATGGTATCTTTGTTCTTCTATCTGGTTCTTAAAAAGATTGAGAAGGGTTTCAAAAAGCTGCCTGAAAAAGGTAACAAGAAAGGAACGTAAGTGGAAAAGTTAGTAGCAAAGGGAAAGCTGATTTTGCGGAGAATCTAATCATACGCACAAGAAATGAGGCACCGATTTTTTGGATTTCGGGCTTGGTTGACAATAGCGTCTCCATTTTGTATTTTCTCTGTTAAAACAATGCCTATTATAATAAAAGGAATTTACGTCTCAAGGCCATCGCCATAGTGAGAAAAGTTCAAAACTTGGCATTTAAATTAGAATGACAATTAAACAAAGTTGTAGATATTAGCGTAGAAACTAATCTAATGTTGTTACAAATTATATGGTTTTGTACTAGGATTACCGAATTACTTATTCCAACATCATTGATGTGTAGTTAATTAACCTATTTGGTCAAGGAAGGAGCTTGGGAGCTTTGAGATGGAAGTTTCCAAATAATATTTTACTCAACTTCTGGTAACACGTGCGATTGGTTTCGATGAAAAAGCTCAGTACCAACTATATCTATTGGTCTAGTAGTACTTCTTTCTTTCGCCATATATTTAATGGATCTCAAGTTTGATTCCCCTCCCAACGAAAGATCAAAAACATTAAAAACATAATACAAAAGTTCAAGTAATTACATGATGCATGTGTAGTTTTACAGAGGAATATAATGACGAGATGGAGATCAGTAAAGCGTATATAATTTGGTGGGCTGGATAAATTACAGTGAGATTTTGGTAGTGCTTCGGCCCAAAGCTATAGAAAAAGTGGAAAAGCAAGATATATTCGGGTAATATCTTCTAAGGTACCAAGTAGATGCATGGAGAAAAAAAAACCTCTGTTGACCACCTCAAAATGGAAATGGATGATATGAATTTGATGCGTATTCTTAATAGATCTAGGCCCCATTAATTCCTGAAAAGCTTTACGTACTTCCATAAGTTTAATAGCCTACCTTCCTTCAATTTTCAAGTTTTCTTTCCATGAGCAAAGCATGGCTAAAGTACAGTACAGGATATACATGGTTGTCTGTTGAATTAATGTTGATGAATAAATGAAGGAAGAACTGCAGCCATGTGATGTGAGGCCTAAAATTACATGCACTTTCTAACCCAGCACCAAAAATATGCATATCAATTAATATTAATTATTTCCCCTTTTTTTTTAAAAAAATATCATTAATCAAGTTTAGGGCTTTTTTTACCCTATCCAAACCCAGCAACTCTTACAAAGTCATAAGTGATGAAAACCAGATACCAAGTTTAGGGTTTTACACTATTGTAGTGAAGCATCTCGATCGGTGCTCCAATATGATGAGCAATTTTACCTTCCTGGCATATACAGCAGCCGTACATAAATAACTAGCCATATACGTATTATCATACAGCTTGTGCTTCATCTCCCTCCATATATATAGCAATAATATCGATGGGGGCCTGCAATATTAATATCGTCTTACCTACCAATGCAATGCGCTATGAAGATTTCAAACTCCTCTTCTTGTCATTCACTCAAATTCAATATATAAATTAAATGGAAGTATATCAATACAAGATATCACTCTAGCTAGCTAGCAGCGAGCTAATATACTACATATCATCTTATTAACCGCCACCATTATCTGCATGGTAGGTTATTAGAACCAACTAATTAACCTAATTTACCATATAGTCAACTACTTAACCACAACAGATGAAGCGGGGCAAAGAAAACAAACATGGTTAATCATTTTCTCACAATATATTTATACATGAAGCCAATTGCCAAAGGATCATAACCTTAATAACATGATTAATTGTTTCACATCGATCCCTAATTGTGATAGCCCATCGGGAATTGCACTAGTAAGAGGAATTAATGGCACTAGTATGATATTAATTAAGAGGAAAACACAGGCAGGACAACCCATCAGGAATTGCACTAGTATCAACTGCCATGTCCTGGCTATCTGCATATATATATATATATGAACCAATTATGATTAATGGTCCACGTCACATGGCTATATTTAGCTACAAATGTCAAATATGTACATGTGCACGAGCTATAGCCACAATTGATCAACTCTTCTGATCAATACACCTACCATCAAATATCTCTCTTTCTCTCTATGAGGTAGGCAAGCAGTGAAGACCATATAATTAATAGATACTACTTGCCCTCCTTACCGGTAAGGAGACACTCCTCATTCCTGCGTAAAAATAATTTATCAAAAAGAAAAAAGAAAAACTTCCACACACATGTCACACTGCTATTGATAGAAATGTAGGAACTCTTATTTACCTGATAATTGAGAAAGTATTTTCCATAAGTAATTATACATGAAGAAGTTAAGTTTATATACACAGTACTTTTTACAGAAAGAAGAGGAAATGCATGCAGATGCAGTACTCAGCCGCTGCTTCTGCGACTGTACAACAGTATATTATTGGTTTTAATCAGGCAATGGTCAGCTGATCTGGGCTCACCACCTGACCAGTCACCAGTCACTGATTATATATGCGTACGTGGGCTCCTTCTCCCCATGGCCTAGCCCCTCTCTCTCTCTCTCTCTCTCTCTCTCTCTCTCTCTATATATATATATATATATGTGTACAGGTGCCACTAAGAAACTAGCAGTATAATATTTATATTATATATACACACATATGCCAATCAGAATGAGACAAATTTCTTAATGAATTTGGTGCATATGATATTAGAAACTAGTGAGAGAATAATCAATTTTCTCACTTTCCACCACATAATTATAGTAGGGGTATGGAAGGAAGTTATGTTTCTGAACCACATTAGAGATCAGAAACGCATTGATCCATGAGAGAGAGAGAGGGCCTTACGATCGTTCATAGAGTTTATGTTGATCAAAGCTAAAGAAATGGCAAAAGAAAAATAAACGTTAAAGAAATGCATGCATGTATATATAGAGTTTCCTTTCCTGCTGAGCTCGGAAACATGATGAAGCTAGCTCTATGTATATCTGTACATTGTAAATTAATATTTATGAGCAGTTTAACCATGAAGTCATTAATGATTCACCAAAAAACGGGAGGAAGAAGAACCACAAAGGCAAGAAGTCAGTTCAGTCACACTCAAAAACACCTTAATTATGAATTAAAATTCTCCTCAATTCATCAAACCCTAACAAAATTTCCACACTAGAATCGAAAATTAAACTCAAACTCAAAGCCATTCTGTCAAGCTTGCACCTTCGTTGAAAAACAAACATATTTACGCACTTAATTAGGAAGTAGTAATTATTTATAAAAACAAAAAATAAAAGCACCAGTGCCACACTATTTGTTGTAGTACTTGACCTAGGATTAGTGGTAACTACCTAGCATTGCTGTCACGATCATGTCCCTCGTCTGCTCCATGGTGTGAATGCTGTCCATTATTCCCACCCGGTGGCTCCGCCATGACCCCACCGAGAATCGGCCTGTACGCGTTGAGCGCAGCCATCACACCCAAGTGGCTGTCGGCAATTGAGCCTCCACCGCCGTGAGGAGTTGATCCCATGTGGCTAGGTAATATGGCCGCCATTGGAGGTGGAGCAAAATTCATAAAATGCAGACCATGCCCGCCCCCAGAAGACACCGAAGCCCCCCTATACATATTGCTGTTAATACCATTATTAATACTAGGAATTGTCCACATGGGATTAATGGGAGGCTCATGGACATGATGACCGCCGCCTCCGCTGCCGCTACTAGGGTTATTTGCCACCATCCAAAATGTCGCCGGAATTGTACTTTGACTCGCCGGAATTGACCCCGTGCTGGCTGATTGCAACATGTAGCTGTTCGATATCCCCATCTGATGATGACTACTTTGTGATGACGAGGACGAGGACGACGAAGACGATAACAAATCTTGCTCCGGCCTAATTCGCTTTCTTCCCATGGTGCTGGCCTCGCCGCCCTCGGACACCTCACCGAGAGAACCGCCCTGATCACGTAACTCGCGCTTGGCTTCCAACATGGCATTGTTGAAATTCAACAACATAGACGACGACGGGGAGCTCTCAGACGACAACAACCCAACGCCGGGGAACAAAATCCTGCCGCGCTGCGAGTTCTCGTCCATAATCAGCTGCGACGCAGCTGCTGCACCCAAGTTGTTGGGGTTGAAGTTCATGAAATAATTACTGCTGTTTGGCCTCAAGTAGTGAGACGGCGCCGACATGCTAGAGCCGGAGCTCCGCAGCGAGATGTTGAGGGAGGTGAAGTTTGCTGGAATGGTGCCGGTCCCGGTGGCTGCGATGACGGCGGGTTCGGCCTGCTGGAGAAGCCACTCAATGGTCTCACCGTCCGACTTGTGCCCTAGCTCCCTAGTGAGCTGGAAAACCCTAGCGGCACACGTGGCCGGCATACGGATCCGGCGGCCTCGCCCGTCCACTTTTGTGTGCCTGTCCTTGGTGGAGGTCCTCTTCGGAGGAGGCTTCTTGCCGTTGTTGGGTTGCTGCTCTTGGGTGAGGGAGGAACCGGGTCGGTTCTGGTTGGAACCCGGGTCTCCTGGAGCTTCTTGGATGTCATCATCTTGGTTTTTGTCTAGAAATTGTAGTGGAAAATTGGGCCTGCAGCGGATCCCATTTTCAGCTTCCATGATCATATGGAGGGGACGGCCTTTCTTTCTCTCTCTCTCTCTCTCTCTCCTCTCTCTCTCTCTCTCTCACTACTTTTTTAAAAAAAATATTTTTTCTTTTTCGCTCTCTCCTGGTTCGTACAACTGTAGCTGACCCAGCTGAGCTCAATTTCTATCACTTAGTGGTGGCCTGGCCTAGTAGTGGGTCTCTCTCTCTCTCTCTTCTCTCTCTATTTTTTTCTTGTGGACTGTGGAGCATGAAATTCTTTGTAGATGGGGGAAGGTGGCAGCTCAGCAGCTGATGAGTTGTTTTTTCTCTCTTTTGTGAGAGAGAGAAAGAAAGAAAAGGATAAGGGTCAAGAGACTGGAGAGAAAGGGCAGGCAAGCTTTAAGCAACAAAAATAATGAGTGAGAATTATATGGATGGCCTAGCCATGGTATATGATATGATCAACATTAAAAAGCTAATTTTCTTTTTTCTCTTTTTTTTTCTTTTTTTTTTTGGTTTGATTTTCTGAATGAAATTATTGCCTTTCATTCATGAGGAGGAGGACGAGGGTTTGTTTGTAAATTTGTAAGTTTCTCATTTTTGTTTTGTTTTTAACATTATTTTTTTTCCACTTCGTGTCATTTTTTATTGTGGTTGGACAGTTCCTTGATTCAGACTCCACGTGCGGTGCTCTTTATCATTCAATCCATAAAGACAGTGGTGGCCGGAGGTGGGGGCCCAGTCTTCCAAGTCAAAAAACCTAGCTCAGAGGTTCATTGGTTCAACCAAAAAAAAAGATGATCAAGTGGCTCCCATCGCATTCATTTAATCATTGCTGTTTGCACCTTTGCCTTACTTTTTACCTTCAAGGGCTCTCTGTAATTTCTCCAAGGTTATTTTCTCTTTCCTTTCAAGGGACCTCAAAAATTCTGTTATTTGATTTAAACTGCACAATCACTTTTGTGCATGGTGTGGATAATACGAGGAATAAAGTTATTTTTTGAAGGAAATTAATAGCACAGTAAATAAATTTTATCTCAAAGATCCAACTTAAAATTTTATTCCATGTATTAATTTTTCAAGAAAAGAAAACTATGTACACATATATTTTCTTGGCTAATATAGGCATACATTTTTCTGGTCCTTTATCGTATACACGTGAACCACATTGCGCAGGATATATATGTGGTCCTCATCCCTCAAGGACTTGGATTTTGAAAGTTCAAATTCTTAAAATTTGCTTTTTCTATAAAGTTATAAAGGAACATTAATTTATTTATTTTTCGCATCACAACCAATTAACGGGTTACAAAGATTAGCAGAAAAAAAGTAAGAAGATGATAAATTATCACTAAAAGAATGACTAGTACAAATAAGTAATTATCAGATTTTTTTTTTATACAAGCGATATTGAAGAGGGAATTCGAACACAAGACTTTGAGAGAATTCCATATGAAACAAAGAGAATTCCATTAATGTGAATTTGAAACTCATAGTCTCAAACTCAATTTCATTTTCCGAAATTCAGAGAACTCAATTCATGTCCATAAGTTCATCAATTTTTTTCATTCAATATATGTTTTCCAAATGGTTATGACGAAGAAGAGAGGGAAAAGAACATGGAAAAAGAAAATGTAAAAATGTGCTGCAATTCTGTTTCTTTGTGGCCACCTAAAATTTGTTTCCTTTAAAAAAAAACTATGGTTGCAAGGTTTATTCATGGGGCATGAGTTTTTCCAGGTGGACTATTTTGTTTATACAAATATACAGTGTTAATTATTTCTTACTCGATTAAAGGAAAAAAAATTGAAAATTGAGTGCAAGTTGGAAAATTAAGTATAAAGAAAAATAAATAATGTAAAAGTGAAGTAAAAATAAATTACTAGAGGGTAAGGGTAGAATAGAAAAGAGAAAGAACAAAAAAGAATAAAAATTGATTAAAAAATATTAAAAAGAAAAGGGAGTGTAAGTGGAGAAAATAAGAGTGGGAAAATCAGCTTCCTTTTAAAAAATAAAATAAAATAATATAAGCGATATTGAGGAGGGAATTCGAACACAAGACTTCGAGCGCATGGATAAACATTTCTAATCATTTTAAGTATAAACTCTTTAGAAAGATAAGTGACCATAGGAAGAAAGAATTGAAAAGTTTTAAAAGTCTTGGAGTAAATTAATTGAGAAGTTTGTAGAACTCTGGAGGATCTCAACTGTGTCAATTCTGAGAGAGAGGGAGAGAGAGAGAGAGAGAGAGAGAGAGAGAATGACATAACGTGCGGCATGTGTAACTTAAAGTGCCTAGCTAGCTAACAGGCTCAAGGGTCAATTAGTGTAACTTAAAAGGGAGCAAAAACGAAAAAGCATAGAAATAATACAGACACACATAAACTTGCAATAAAAGGACTAGTAAGCAGGAACAATTACATTTCAACAACCAACATACCAAACTAATGATAAATCCATTTCCATGCCAGCACAGAAATCCTATCAATCTCTTACATGCAAATGCCACTTGATAATGACAATTCCAATTTCAGATTAATAGATTGTTTCCAACTCTCAATTACTTCTACTTGTTTTCGTAATATTATTTCAAAGTTAAAACCAATTAAAATTTTAAAAGAAAAAAAGGAATTATGAACACCAAAATAGCAGAACTAGGACCTCAACTATAACAAAGCTATGGCCCTCCCTTCCCATGCTATATATTTATATATCTTCTCCAACATCACAAAACACCAGTGGGATTAATATTTCATGATGATTGTTCCGAAATCACGTGCCCTGCTACCTGGCTATCATGGCGGTGATGAAGATGGCTTACCATCCACCTTGGCTTTGGCTGAGCTAATGATCAATCATATAAACAAATTTGTCGGAATGTTGGTGGTTGGCGAGCTAAAAATAAATCATTTTCGTCCTATTTTAGGCCAATCCAGTCCCCTCTTTTTCAAAGGACCGATTCATATCCAACATTATTTAAGCCATGGCTTTAATATACCTGTCGTAATTTTTTTTATTAAAATTCTGAGCCAGAACTGGAGACTTTGGTGTTAAAACAAACAAAATTCAAGTTTATGGCCTTTTGAGCTGTCCATGGATCTTTTATTATGCTACCAATTGTCTATGCATGAACCATTGGTTAACCAACAGCTGTAAATCATTTGGATACTTCATCCTTAATCACAAAATATCTTACCGACAAATTCACTCTAAAATGTAGTATCTCTAGCATTTTCCTTATTTCGAATAAGCTCTGCGTTTAACTTTCCCATAACCTACTTGTACATATGTAAATAAAACTATCATCCTTAAATTCTTGTGGGACATAATTAGCAGAATATTATAGCTATAGGAAGATATGTAATGGAATGACAGGTTGGCATGCACAATATTATTAGACATAACTATTTAATTAAAATGACGGGAACTGAAAGACAACAAGGGGCCGGCATAGATAGATAACCTAATCATCACTGCACTGCTTTAAGCAGCTTTGCTTAACCCAACTTGAAGAATCCAAGTCTCTTTTTCTCCGTACTCTGCACAAAAAGCGATGCATTTATGCATTAATTTGTGGGTCATTCTCATTCTTCCTTCCAAGAGCTCTTTGAGTCTCTGATTCTGATGATATGTATGCTTTCCTGTTTGTACTGCTTCTATGATTTTAAGGTCCTTCTCTCTCTCTCTCTCTCTCTCCTCTCTCTCTCTCTCTCAAGACTTCAAAATTCAATTTGCTTTGCTCAGTACGTAATTAAACACCATAAGTTAAGTTTATTACCAATTTACCACCAAGAAAACCCATCAGGACACTTGTGTGTATGAAAGCGATTACAATGTCTATAATAGACACCAATGCCGACCTCAAAGGATGTGGAAAATTATTATAATCAAGTCAACTCACTTTAGAATTCTGAGCAGAAGTTTGAAAAAAAAGCAGTACATCAGTCCAAAGCTGTCTCCATTGTGAAAGCAGTGATTGGTGTGATGATCAATATTATGGCAAAACAATAAACTTCCAATATTACGGATTTGATATGAGGAGGATGGAGGAGCTTCACCAAAACCAGCCCTAATTTCTTACCAAATAAGAAAAAAAAAATTCACATATATATAATTTAGTCTCTGTCTCCTGTATATTTTGACTGTTGAACATGGGATTTATGGGAAGTGTTCATGTGTTTGCATGAGGAATTGACAATAATTCTGGAGAGAGGAGAGGACCATATATCACACCTATGCCTGTCGGTAAAGTCTATATGTGCGCATCACCTTTAGGTATGGGTCCAATAATTATTTAATTCCCCTTTTCTTTTCTTTTATTTATTTATTTTAAAGTAAGCAAAATAAAAAAATTGCCAACAATATTAAAAATGAGGTAATTGGGTTAGCACTTAAAACTGTGATTATACTATTAATAATTTCATAATATATATATATATAAAGCAAAAGACAGAGAATTGTAAAACATTCAAAATACCAGAAAATGCCCTTGATTAATGCAAACATTAAGAATTGAAATTATTAATTAAATGAGGATAATATGATAAATTCACACTTTTTCATATTAAAAAAATTAAAATTAAAAGAACAATCAGATAATTTTTCATATTTTTATGGAACACAACTACCCATTATTTTTTGTAATTCTAAAATAAATAAAAAAATTTTTAAAAAAAACCTCTCACAAACACGAAAGTACACGCAAAAAGGCTAGTTAATTATTAAGAATATTTACCCCTCCACTTGAGTCATTAGTCAATTTACTTGCAAACACAATTACACAGTGAATTGGCACGCACCGATGGAATAGGAGGAATAGTAGAAGGAGGGCCGGGGGCTCACAGTCCAGCGCAGTAAATGGAATGTCCTTCTCGAGTCTTTCTGGCGGAGCTGGTGGGTGGGCTGACAGCGCCACATCAGAGGCTCGGACAGTTGGAATCTACTTGTCCTCCAAGTTTATAATTTTTCTTCTTCTTTATCTTTTGAAATAAAAATCAGCATTATATTTGAATATTCAAATTTATTTTACTGTCAACTTTTTGCATTATTTGTAAGCATTTTCCCACCCCTATTACTTTCCTCCCAAAATTTAGGAAAGCTTATGTCCATCTGCATTATTTTGGACTGACATCAAAACTGCTGTACTAAATATCAATTAACATAAGATTATTTTTTTTAATTTTAAAGTAGCGGCAGTTGGGTCACATCGATGCATGATTTTTGTCATTTTTGGCTGACAAAGTCAGGAATATAAAAGAGGGAAACTCAAACACACCTACCGATACTACAAGGGCTTAAACTAGAATCATTTGAGAGCACACTAAATATCAAATATCTGGACTATTCCAACTAATACCCCATTAATCATGTATGATTTTTATCCACTACTAAGTCTTTTGGACCCAAGAAGATTATTAGCTTATGTTTATCAAGCGACCTGGGCTTTGATTTTCCTGCCCCTTTGACAGTAACAACCATAATTGGTTTTAGTTTAATTTTCAAAAAATATTTAAGAAATATTATTGCGGTTCGTTTCTTGCTTAACTCAGATAATGTAATGTGGAACCTACAATATAATAAGTATTATTTATTTTTTTAATGTCATTGTCACACTTGTAATATCTAGATTTGGCTATGATTCGATGGGAATTTGCCAACCAATAGTTTCAACAAATAGTCATCGTCTAAAGTATGAAAACATATAGTGCGAGAGGGCAACCATATTATATGTCCGTGGGCCCACTCGATTCATAATTCAAACTAGCTGCCTGCCACGTGATTGACTCTAGTATGATTTACGGGTCCTTGTGATGCCACCTGGAAGTCTTAGTACTTATCTAGGTTTTTACTTTTCGTTTGGTTGCTCTTGCTGGTCTTTCTAGATTTTTCTTTAAAGCAATTATTTTGAAGCTAGCTTATTCATGATCAAAGTGTATGGATGTGATCGATTATGTGTCTATATATGAAACCAATCGTACGATTAAGTATTCGTTGGATTTGGATGAAAACGACAACTGATTGAGACTTTGCCCAAAATCAATCCAAGAATTGAAAAAGGAACCCCATGGTAAATCGTCATCCCCATGGACCACGGTAAATCATGATCCGAGGCCTCATCCAGAAGAAAAACACTTCTTTCAACCGAAAAAGGATATTGAGTTCGCCCTTGCACCCAAGTTCGATCCCCTTTTTGGTACTTTAGAATAATGTAAGCTAATTTAGAATATCACTTTATTAAAAGTAAAAAAACGAAAAGAAGGATATAATTCTACGCACCCCTGAAAATTGACTCTCGACACCCGAGAGACATACAACCACCCAAAAAGAAACACCTCTACAATTTGTGGCCCATGTCTTTTCTTTTTTCCTTGAAGGGAAGGAACTTGCATTTATGAAAGCCCAAAAGGGCAAAGATTACAAACACGACCCAAAGGGCCAGTCAAGACAGAGAACTACAGAGATCTAGGCCCTATTTGCGATGTCTAAAAGACCGCTTCATCCAAATAGTGGTACAATCCCATATACCATAAGCCAACAATTTGCAAACTTCAAATCCCTGAATGAAGTGAGGCAAATGGTACACTTAGAATTTCACTTTCTCTTAAGAAAACCCTTGGAGATATGAATACACAATTGATTTAATACTACCTAACAATGTGGCGTTCTTCATAACTGTCAAATTCATCTCAGGCCACAGAGCCGAAAAGATTCCAGTCATTGACTTTGAAGCTAGAGACAGCGAGTTTAAAGACCTCGGCCACTGGCATATATCCGGATTGTACTGCAGGAACAGCAAGACCAGCCCCCACTGTGCTTGCACTTTCGCTCAAAGGACTGCAACCAAAATGACCATATAATGCACAAGTGACAATTGAACTATAAAATAGACTATCTAACATGCATATATTTTCTTTTCTGACCTGAATGAACTCAACCAGAATGGATATAAATCATTGCCATAGCAACCACATTGTTTTTCAGCATCATATATGATAAAGATAACAACAACAAAAAAGAGAGATAATCCATGGACTAATTATTTCCTTTGGCAGAATTTCGAAGAGATTAAATTCAGCCAAACTGCATACATCTAAGCAAATTCGCATAACACAAAGAATAAAAGGAAGTATTAATGGAAGCCCAGGGAAAGGTCTTTGGGAGGGACCTGAATTCCTTAAGGTGTTTAAGGGATTACAAGGTGGGATGTATTATGACATAAGCTAAGGACATCATCCTAGATTAAAGAATATTGCAAGTACATGTAATAAGGCATACGCTACATCCTACTATGTATGGTGCAATCAGTAAGTCCCGATCTTTGATGATAACACCCCCCACATAGTCAAGAAGACATTCAGTAAGTCCGACTAGATTTTTCCATAACTAATTGCCATAGCATCAATATTCTTTTTCAACATCATATATGATCAGGATAAGAAACAAAGAGAGAAACCACACACTAATTATTTGCTTTTGGCAGATTTTGAAAGAGTTCAAATTCAGCCAAAGTGCTTTCAAGCCTTACATATAAGCAAATTCGCATAACACAAAGAACACAATAAAGTATCAAATGAAAGCCCAGGGAAGGCTCTTTGGAAGACACCTGAATTTCTTAAGGTGTTTAAGGGATTAACAAGGTGGAATGTATAAAACATTAGCTAGAGACATTGTTCTATAGTTTTCTCTTTCTTTCTTTTTTCCTTTTTAGTTGCTTAAATTTTAAAAAGAAAACATCAGATTAAAGAATATTGCAAGCTACATGTAAGAAGGCATACACTAAATTAGGTCTGGTGCAATCAGGAAGCGCAGAGAATCCATAAATACTTGTGTGAAAATCTCAATGAGGATAAGCTGGTAAATCTCTGTGCTAGCAAGCGCAGAGAATCCATGACTATCTTATTTCTAAAAGAAAATGTTCTATTGTGTCCAGGTGAAAGGATCAGAATAAATTTCAGTCAATAACAAAAATATAATTTTTGTGGCAACTCACTCCTCAAACTTACTTTATATGAACGGGTTCATATGCAGTAACTAGCACATCAGTATTAACTTCCTTAAGTCGCAGATTTGCCACATAGACCTGCAGGCAGGACTCAAAACAATAAACCCCAGTTAGCATACTTGCAAAAATGAACCGGGAATAGCATCCTGAAACGGCTTCGAACACTCTGAACACAACAAACAAACATACCCTCACAATATTTTGTGCCTCCCTTCCCTGCCGCCCCTTGGAAATGGACTAGTTCAAGAAAGAAAAATATGTGAAATATGATGCAAAACAGATGGCAAGAGTCAAAAATGAAAACCAGTAAGCCAGAGAAAAAATTTGGCAACAACATGGAACTGATTGCATATACCATTTGACCAACAGCAGTTGTAACAACAGCAGGTGTGTTTCTATAACATAATCCAGGGGCCTCAACTACTCCTGACTGTTCAATCACCTGAAGGTGATTGGCAAAAGAAAATGTCAAATACAAATATCCCTCCTCCAATAGCTAATTCGGGACTATGGGTACTCACAGAATACCGAAAAACTGACAGATATCGCATTACATTTGGAACTGACACTGAGTGTGCTTAAGGAATTGATGAATGAGATAATTGGGGATAGTATAGTATGAATAATAAGACAATACAGAAGATGGGAATTACCATGCTGCCGTCAGCATCTTGTTCAGTGGCGAGGTCTTGGAGAAACCATGTAGCACTTGCATCATCGCCAACTTCATGCTTCAATTCCAAGAGCTCAAAGATCAAGCTTTCGTCCCGGGCAGGGTCCACAAATGCCTCCTTTAGAAACCCACCCAGAAAAACGAACAATCAATAAAATGAAATGAAAACCACTACTACCCAAAACTTGACAGCCTGAATGAAGTACGAGACATAACCAATTAACCAACCTGGTGATCAGGAACTTGCCGAATGTCGCTCACATCCTACAATTTTGATACTCTTCCATAAGTCATTTAACATAAAGAAAAAACAAAAAAATTGAAACACAAATACGAAAATAAAATTAAAGAAGGAAAAAAAACCAACCTGGAACCTAAGAGGGAAGGTGCTAGTAATGGCACCGCCAAACAAGGGGCGCTCAGAGTAGATGTCTTGGGACATGTTGCTAGCCAATATAGGAAACAGAGACAAACGACGCCGCTTTTCCTAAAATAATCTCCATTATTAATTTGAGAGAACCCAAAAAAAGAAGAAAAGAAAAACAGAGAACGAAACTGAATGCAGGAATGCTAAATAGAACAAGTTTGTTAATGGTGGAATGGAATTATTATACCTCTAGCAGTAACAAGACAATTCAGAGTTGAGAGAGAGAGAGGTTTCTGGTTTGTTCTATGGAAACTTTCTCGAGTTCGTGGGCTCTTTCTGCTTCTGCTTGACCGTTGTGTATTTATAAGTATGCAGTTGCGTCAATTTGACGACTGCCTAATTTATACGCCAAAACGGCGATAGAAGAAGATGAAGAAGACGAAGTCCGCCTAATGTCTTCGTTAGGCTTAGGCCTAAGTCCGAAAGCCCAAAGAGCAAGGCCCAAGTTTTGACCGCGAAACGTACAAAAGACCAACCAACGGGACGAAACGTTTCGTGATTTCAACGAGAAACGAAGTGACTGAATGAAAGAAGGAAAAGAAAAGCCCGAAACCAAAGTGGCATCCAAAAACCCCCCGCACAAGCCGAAGCCATACCTTTGCTTGTCCTCTTTCTTACCCTTCATTTCTGGTATAATATTTTATAATTATATATATTTTTAATCACAATTTGGCTTTGGCTTAAAACCTTCTCTGCCCCAATCAATTTCGTTTCAATTATTTTCAACAACTGTCACGCGGTAAATCAATCTCTTTATCACCGGTCTCCCTCCCTCCGCCTTCATCAAACCAAACGCCAAGCTCATCACCCGTTTCGGCGTAGCGATTCGGAGTCTTTTCCTGTATATCGGAATTAGAAAAAGGAAAGAGAGAAAAAGAACCGATGAGTAACCAGAAGAAGAGGAATTTCCAGATAGAGGCGTTCAAGCACAGAGTGGTGGTGGATCCGAAATACGCAGACAAGACCTGGAAGGTATTGGAGCATGCAATCCACGAGATTTACAATCACAATGCTAGTGGCCTCAGCTTCGAAGAGCTTTATAGGTTCGTTCCCTCCCTCCCTCGCTTTTTTTCTTCTTCTTTCTGTTCTCTAATTTCTCTGTATTTCACGTTTTTGGTTCTTCTTCTTCGTTTATGAATTTTTCAATTTGACTTGCTTCTGTTGCGTGCTTATGTAGACTGCTTAGAATAGTAAGAGGCTTGATGCGATGGTTTGCCTTTTGTTTTAACTTCATCGTTTTTATGGCTCGCAGAGTCTTTACAAAAAATATATATGGAAATATCAGATGATGATGTGATATAATTCTTAGAATTAGGAAATGGTCAAGGAAGAAGTAAATTATTTTCCAAGTATTTTAGATGTCAAATTTGTTCGAATGCAAACAAATTTGGGTACACATGAACCAATATGCCTGTAGAATGAGTTATAATTGGGAGGAATATGTTCATGTGAGTGAACCATTACACTAGCTAAATTACGTTTAGGATTTTGTGAGAATGGCTTCTCACATTACTAATGCTCTAGTGTTGTTGTTTTATGGATTTAGAAATGCCTACAATATGGTGCTTCACAAATTTGGGGAGAAGCTTTACTCGGGGCTGGTTACGACTATGACTTCTCATCTCAAAGAAATATCAAAATCTATTGAAGCTGCTCAGGGAGGAATGTTTCTTGAAGAAATGAATAGGAAGTGGACCGACCACAACAAGGCGTTGCAAATGATTCGAGACATACTGATGTACATGGATAGGACTTACATTCCAAGCACCCAGAAAACCCCTGTTCATGAGCTTGGATTGAACCTTTGGAGAGACAATATTATCCGCTCTAGCAAGATTCAGACGAGGCTTTTAAACACACTTCTTGAACTAGTACTTAGAGAACGGACTGGTGAGGTTATCGACCGGGGGTTGATGAGGAATATTATTAAGATGCTAATGGATTTAGGTCCTTCAGTTTACCAGGAAGACTTTGAGAATCCTTTTCTTGAGGTTTCAGCTGAATTTTACAGGGGTGAGTCTCAAAAGTTTATTGAGTGCTGTGATTGTGGGGATTATCTGAAGAAGGCTGAGAGGCGCCTGAACGAGGAACTGGATAGGGTGACACATTACTTGGATGCCAGGAGTGAAGCCAAAATAACTAATGTGGTGGAGAAGGAGATGATTGCAAACCACATGCTGAGACTAGTCCACATGGACAATTCAGGTTTGGTGAACATGCTTCTTGATGATAAGTACGAAGACCTTGGAAGAATGTACAACTTGTTCCGTCGGGTTTCCAATGGTCTATCAACAATACGAGAAGTGATGACTTCTCACCTCAGGGAAACTGGTAAACAGCTGGTTACTGATCCAGAAAGGTTGAAGGATCCAGTGGAATTTGTTCAGAGGCTCTTGGATGAGAAGGATAAGTATGACAGCATCATTAGACTGTCTTTCAGCAATGACAAGACATTCCTAAATGCTTTGAATTCCTCTTTTGAATTCTTCATTAATCTGAACAACCGTTCACCTGAGTTCATTTCACTGTTTGTTGATGACAAACTCCGCAAAGGTTTGAAGGGGGTCAGTGAGGAGGATGTAGAAATTATTCTTGACAAGGTGATGATGTTGTTCCGTTACTTGCAGGAGAAAGATGTGTATGAGAAATATTATAAACAGCATCTGGCAAAGCGGCTTCTGTCTGGTAAAACTGTCTCAGATGATGCAGAGAGGAGTTTGATAGTTAAGCTCAAGACAGAATGCGGGTACCAATTTACTTCAAAATTAGAGGGCATGTTTACAGATATGAAAACGTCCCAGGATACAATGCAAGGGTTTTATGCAAGCCATCCTGAGCTAGGGGATGGCCCTACATTGACCGTCCAGGTTCTGACAACAGGGTCCTGGCCCACTCAACCCAGTGTGACATGCAACCTTCCATCAGAAATGTCAGCACTCTGTGAGAAGTTCCGTTCATATTACCTTGGAACGCATACAGGTCGAAGATTGTCCTGGCAGACTAACATGGGTACAGCAGATATAAAGGCTAGCTTTGGGAAGGGCCAGAAGCATGAGTTGAATGTCTCCACTTACCAAATGTGTGTCCTAATGCTATTTAATAATGCTGAGCGACTTAGCTATAAGGAGATTGAGCAGGCCACAGAGATTCCTGCTGTAGATTTGAAGAGGTGTCTGCAATCCATGGCGTGCGTGAAGGGAAAGAATGTTCTTCGGAAAGAGCCTATGAGTAAGGACATTGGTGAGGACGATGCCTTTTTCGTTAATGACAAGTTCACGAGTAAGTTATATAAGGTGAAGATAGGAACTGTGGTTGCACAGAAGGAATCAGAACCTGAAAAACAAGAGACTCGTCAGAGAGTGGAGGAGGACAGGAAGCCCCAGATTGAAGCTGCCATAGTGAGGATCATGAAATCACGGAGGGCTCTGGATCATAACAATATAATTTCTGAGGTCACGAAGCAGTTGCAATCACGATTCCTGGCCAATCCAACAGAGATTAAGAAACGCATCGAGTCCCTTATCGAGCGGGACTTTTTGGAACGAGATAGTATAGACAGAAAATTGTACCGGTATCTTGCCTAAAGATTGTTCTGCTTGTCTTAGCATTGACAACTGAAATTGTACCTCAGACTAGGTGATGTAATATTGGTCTGATCTCTGCAAGCTCCATTGGTTATCAATGAATATCGATTTACTTCCACTTTTACTGTTCACCGTTTGATTGGATCGGATGACATTTTTTTCCTCTTTAAGTTGAAAGAATACATGTATACACGATGAAATTTTGCTTCCTTTTGTGCGCTAATTGTTGCTAAAGCACAGTTGAGGTCATGTTTCTTTTTCCCTTTTTATCTTTTGGTACATAGTTGAGCTCGTCGGCCCATTGTGCTGTATATGGTACGCCTTTATGTAATACTAGTTACATTAATTATCAGATCAAATTACCCAAGAATTTCTCCCAGTAGAGATAGAGCTCATGCTGATTCAGTCACGACTCATCTCAAAGGAATTGCGATGGCTTCAATTAATATATGAAGTTATGAATTGAATATAAAACAAAATCTTATAAATTGACTTGAACAATTTTTTTGGGGTGATATTGTATGTTATCTTACAATACAAGGTAAACTTTTGGAAGCAATCAAGGTTATTGTACCACTAAATTCTTGCAATATAGATTCAGGATGTTAGGTCCCCGGGAGTGTGGTATACGGTATACCTACTTCAATGGAAGCTATGACCCCGAGATGAGAATGCGATTTTGAATGTCAGCAAATGTCTTTACATCCAGGCCCCATAACCTGCTCATTCAAATCAAGGGTAAGTACCAACAATCTTCTGTGACATTCATGATAAGTCCTAATCTACTACTTAATATGAATGTTCCGTATCATGGTCAACGAGAAAATCTGAGATCACCAGACAAGGCACAAATTTGTATTTATACTGCAAAGAACTCTTACCAGCAATCAATTCCAACGGCATTGGCCCCAACTTTATCTGCGATTTTATCATCGCCAACATGCACTGCTTTTCCAGCATCCACACGAACTTGATCTGCAACGATCCAAGAACTTGTGAGAGCAGCTTCAATGTGTACTTTTAACATTAAGCAAGAAAATGTTGTCTCAACACTATAATAAATCTCGATCTCTACGACAGCATTGTTTTAAACCCATCATATGTAACGTACCTAAAGCAGATTTAAATATGTTTGCATCTGGTTTTTCATACCCAACCTCTGAAGATATGATAACAGCATCAAACCTGCAACGAGAATCAAGAGCAATGCTTTCTTTTACATTCCCAAAAAAAAAAAAAAAAAAAAACCAACACCACGTGACATGAATATGACAATTTAGCAACGAACAGAAGAACAAGAATGATGTCCAGTTGCTCACAGATGTAAAACATTAAGGTCTTCGAGTAGCTTCCTTAAGCGGGAGTCGAAATTGGATACAACAGCCAGCTTAACTGCATGTCACTGCTGGCAATGTTAAAATAGTAGGAACTAGCAAGCAAGATAAAGAAGCAGAATATTTGGGTATAAAAAATTGGACCTCCAGCATCCTTGAGAAGGACCATTGTTTCATAAGCTCCCTCTGGAAGACACCATGAGTCACCTTTGGCATAGTACTGATAAAACCAACCAAACCGATTAACGATATTGAGACCAATTGCAACAATTCTCTTCAAAGCTTCAAACTTGGGAATATAATCATTGAAATTACCTCATAGACTTGCTCGAAATAATCGAGATCAGCACAACCAGTGGCTTCAGAAACAACAAGTTTCCAAAATGGTCTCCCATCTCCCTACCATTATTGATTTTGGCATTATCAATACCCAGAATAATTAGCATTGATATATTGAGCTAATTGCAGAAATACAATCAATTTAAGACCTGGTAACGAAGCTTTTGAGGCCAAGGAGCAGAAAAGGCTCTTTTGAAACCTTGCTTGATTTCAGATGGAGTTGCAGTCACTCCTGTGGAAAAGCAAAAATGGGTTGTTTGCATTTGGATAAAAAAAAATTCAATGTTTAATGGGAAATTGAGGACTTGAATTCGGAGACGAACCGTATTGGGTTCCAATTGAAGCGTAAACCTCTTCGACTGGCTTTGCCAACTGCAGCAGAGTGCCTCCAGCGTCTAACAACAATGCGTCATAGGCCTTGCGATTGAGAGCAGATCCTCTTCCTCCTCCTCTAACAGAGTGTATGGGCATGGGAGAGCAACGAATGGAGTTCCTAGGAAGCTTCAGATGGAGTGGTTTGAGGGTTTTCCATAGAGCGCTGCCATGAGAGCATCTCATCAAGCAACCCTCCATTTCTTTCCTTCATAAAGTGAAAAGTTTCAGCCCAATTCCATGGCTGGAAATGATTTTTTCCTTCTGGTTTTTTTTTCCTCTTTTGTTTGCAGAAAGACTGAAACCGCGGAGTTGAGCAGCGGTTTCCCTAAGATCACTTTGTTTTGTTCATTTTAAGCATTGGAAGATACGACGTCGTGTTGGAATTTCATGAGCTAACACGATCTTACAATTTTGGATCACAACTTGGCAAATACATATACTATTAGGGGCTGAAATCTTCATGCCTACAAACGAAGTACAAAACGACCATCATCCCTTCATGTGTTGGGCTTGGGATGAGCTAAAAGAATTTCTACATAAAAAATGTATAGGCTATACAAACGAATATTACATTTGACCAAAAAAAAAAAACAAACGAATATTACAACCTGTTAGTTTCTAAACTACCCTCTTTCAAGAAAATTAGAAAGTCGGGTTTGGAACTGAAAATAACAAGGAGGAAAATAAATCCCTTCCCAACGAATGTCGTCAACAACATTGCTTGGTCTGCCCTTCCCTGTTTGAAACAGCAGTTGAGACTTGTGGCCGTTCGATCTTTGGATCTTTTTATAATGCCAAATTAAATTCCTCTCTGTGTGCTACATGGTCAGGTGCAACAACAACAAAACCTACCAGCCATTCAGGCTCAGCATCAGCTAAAAGCCTACAACGAGTTGAACCGTTCAATCTCGCTAAACGAGCAGCTGACATTAGCTCGGTTTTCACTTCAGTCTCCATCCCTGCATAAACAACATAAGGTCTTTCATAAACTTCGATGAATTTAGTAAATAGAACCAAAGGCTTTTTACAAAACTAATGTCCAGTCAGAAAGTGTTAGGAATCTAAACACTGAACATCAAATTAACCTTACCAGAATAACTGCAAATAATAATTAATGATCAAATAACAGGCGGAGTTTCAGGAGGAGATGGCTCTTCCCTATGCCGGAATAGCTTGACTAGTGCTCTGCGCTCACAGTCCTGAAAAAATTTAACAAAGAGAAATAGTTCAATTAATAATTTGTCTCACTAGATAACATTCAATTATATGTTCTACATTATGCAGCCAGGACACAGTTCAACTCGACAAACTCAAAATACATGATTAGAATGCCCAACAAATGCATGCAAATTGCTAAAAAAGAATGAACTTATAAAATAATCTAGTTGTTCCTTGTGCAAGAAAAGTATGCTGAGTAGCATTCGCTGCTATCCATCTTTTAATTTTCACCTGCAAAGTTCTAAGACCAGATACTACTACACAGGCTATATCATAGATTGAGAAGTGTCATGATTGACATATAATTATCTTTTGTATCTCTTTAAGCTGTTTCACAAGCACAAAGCTTTTTACAAAGGAATTATCGCAAAAAATACAACAGTTCTGCAAAGATATCTTAGTAAAGGTGATTCCTAAAGAAGCAGTAACACTATTCTCCCATAAATTTCAAAGAAGCACTACATGCTAAGAGTAATATTTGCACACATACAGCTTGAATTGCTGTTTCCATAAGTTTCTAAGAATAATATGATGTAATCACTAACAGAAATATATGTCATAATTTTTTAAGAATTTCCAATACCTTGAACATACTTAGGTAGAATGGTCTATCTGGGTTCATTCTCCTCAATTTTAAGTACGTATATGCAAAGCTTAGTTGATCACGGGAGGTAAACCTGTCAACTTCATTAAACCAAAGGCATGAAAATAAATTTGAAGTTGGTGTATGTGCCCGGACTATAAATGAACCTTCAGGAACATCTGCAAGGTAAATGGCACATGAAATCAGCATAGAGTATTACTGATTCCAGACAAAGGAAAATACAATCTTTATGAATTAAAAAAAGGGTAATAACACGCACAACTGGGAAGAGGGGTATTTGGGTCTGAAGGGTCAAACTTGGTGAGGCCATCAGACTGGTAAAATGCAAACTGTTCATCAATGGCTGTGTGATTGAACTTATCAAGACGCTTATTTTGGAGTACCTCCTCCAAGACACAATGTCGCTCATAATGGTTGGAAATGGCGTATTCTGATTTTGTTCGCCACAAAAAGTATTCAATAATCAGCATTGGATCAGTATTAAGTCGCATCTTGCTGTCAAGCCAAATTGAATACCTGATACATGGTGAAAACCCAATCAGAATTGAATGGACCCAAATCGCCCCAGAAACTGTATGCCTAGAACATGGTGTAAGAATTACCATGAATGGGGGAAAAGGCGATGTGATAAAAATTTTGGCACCTTTCCAGTTCTGCGCATATCCTCATATGGTAAATTCTTCACTATGACTATCCTCCACAAGCCAATTCGTCCTGTAACATCAGGAACATGTCCCTCGGATGATAATTTTCCCAATGTTTGCTCATCCACAAACATTACAAAACAAACGTTTTTCTTGGAATATTCACTTATCTGTATTAAAGGAGATACATTATCATCACTTAAAAGAAAGAAAGCTCGCAAAATTATTCTAATGTTTGTATAAATGTTCACACTTCAGTATTCCTCAGGACGTACAGTTTTCCAGATCGCAAAAAATTGTTATGTTTCTTATCAATCTACAATCAACATAATGATTGAGAACAAAAGTAGGTCATGGGAAAAATAAGACATCATCTACACAACCTTCAACATCCCAGCAGGTATCTCAGCCATTAGTCAGATCATACTTTAAACTCATCCGCAGTCATACCATAGAAAGCACCAAAGCTCTCCATGAAATAACAACTTCACTTAATTGCTTTTTTATCTCCATACTTGAGAAGCCCTCTAATGCCTCGTCACACTGCCTTTATGTAAAATTAAACTAATGAAAAGAGCTGTCTGAAAGAAAACTTTACATCTTCTGACTTGGTTCGTCATCTTCAACTCTACACCTATTAATTTTCTTGTCTGACAAAAAGGGGTCTAATTACTAACTCAAATATTTATCAGCCAAACAAAATATCAGGATGAAGGCAAGTTCTTTTAGCGTCATCCCATTTCATACAGAACCAACAGAAAGAGGAAAAATAACTATTTAACCAAAAATATTTGATTATATGCTTTATATGAATAAGAGACGACAAATAAGTTCAATAAGGACTTAGCTCATTAACCTTTTTGCTTGTAGGCCTCCTAAGAAAGTCAGAGCTTCCAAAAATGCATGAAGATACTGCAATCTTACACTCGTTCATGTATGCCTTGTCCTTCGCATCTATATCAAATCCAGTGCTTGAGAATCCAGGTGGTCCTTTGATAAATCCACAATGTAGAGTTTGATTTTTGGCAAAGAAAGATTGCTCTCTTTCCTCAAGTGTCTGATGTCCTCCAAATCTAGGTTCATATATATTACTATGGGAAGGTATTCCCTCTTGGTCAATGAACTCTAGTGAAAACTGTGTAAAGTTCATGACTTCCTTTGGTTCAACAAGATACTCAACTGATTCCAGAAACCCAACCTCGCAAGGCAAATCTGAAAAATCATTATATGGGAGGAAGCACAAGGGATGAGGCCATGCGGATAAACTGGTTTGCAAATTTTGTATCTTTGTACAATCCAACGAACAAGAAGGACAAAGACATCATATCTTCATGCATAAGCACTAAATCAATAATAAACTCAAAACCAATAAACTCAAAGGTTGTGATATGAAACATTGAAAATATAACACTTCACACTTACACTGCTTACGATGCTTGCTTCTGGGTGGTCTTCCAACAACATGAAATGGCAAAATTTCTTGCCGTGCTGAAATACGGATACTAGTACCACTACCTTCTAATTTAGCTGCAATGAGTAACAAACTACATCTGTAAATATCCCATTATAATACCAAGATGATTAAATAAGAAAATAAACGAAAGTTCAAGTTTTGAACATACCAGGAAAATGCATATTGAGGCCGAAGAGTAGCAAGTAAATCAAAAAGATGGTTGCAAAGAGAAACATCCAGAGCCAGAATTTGTGTCTGACAAATCGACCCAACCTTCTTCCTTTACGAACAAGGCGAGTGCCATGCTCACTTGGACCAAAAGATTTCAACAACGCCCCTATTATACCTCTAGTCCCCATCTCCGGTAACCACAATTCTATCTCTACCGTCGTCTGTAGAGACCCATCATCATAATCTTACATGCATTTTCTCAAACAGGAAACTAACAACATAAGAGAACTGCTTCCATGGCGTGGCGGGTTTACCTGATCGAAGATCTAACGGTAAGGGAGTGGTGAAGTGGGAAAGCGATGGGAAGATGAAGATCTATCATCGTTGATAGAGCCCCGAGTTTCCATGGGAGTTCAGCGTAACATTTTTCTTTTCTGTCCCCTGCAATTTTCACCCATCTCAGGCTGTCTGGAAATTACCAGCTACCAATATTTTTACCGACCCAAATGGTAAGAAGATAAGGAGTGATTTTTCACACTCCATTTTATCCTTTTTATACTTTTTTTTTTTGTTTTCCAAAATACAATTTTAACTTACTTAGTACGAAAATAGACAAGGCATTGAAAACAAATCTCCCTACCGGTAGACTGATTGTAGCGAGGAAAATGAAAACTAACTTACCTTACCTGAGCCTCCATGAAATCGAATGGAGCAGCAGCGGGTCTTGTTGCTCCGTTACCGGTAGACTGATTGGATCCGTCCGTACCCAACCTCAACCTCCCTCATCTGCCTGCCTGCAGTTGCAATTTTGAGCTTCAAATCAAATAGGGCTGGGTTCAGGCAGCGGTAGAAAATTGATTTTTAATACAGGTTTTGCATTATGATTTCTAATTAATATCTCACAGGTTTCATTTCTAAATCCGATTTTCAAGCTCTCTCTGTCTCAGTGACTCAGTGAGTTGGTATCAAAGTCTAGTTTCTAGTTTTATTGGGCTCTGGACAAAGCTAACCCATTTCGATACTTATTGGGCTCAGTAGTTGAGCAATCTTTAGGCCTTCTTTGTACAAGATTTCCATATCATGTTAAGCCTGCTTCTTTTCACTGTCTGAGTCTCAGGCTACTTTTGCTTGGGCTTTATTTAGGTCGTTTAATTTATTTTAGGGTCAACAACCAAATACCCAATATTCAAACGGATACCCAGATTGCTTAAAACTGAAAACTCTCTCTCAGACTCAAACACATCCAATGCTGCCTCCACCTCCTCCTCATCGAACAATTTGAAAAAACAACAACCAACCCCCCCATTTTTTACAAAAAAAAAAAAAAAAAAAAAAAAAAAACAACCAACCATCTCGAATATTATATAGTTGTTGTGCATCTATCATATAATATTCTTTGTTGCAAACATAAACTGATGGGTTGGTGGTAATTTAGAGCTAAGGTTGTGATTTTTGGTAGGCTTAATTGCACCAATGTTTTTCTGAAACTTTGGTCAAATCTCATTTTACTCTTCATCTCACATGGTATGGATGTTTTTATAAAATTACTCAAATGGTCCTCAAACTTGTACGTGATTTACATTTTGATCCCGAAATTAAATTATTAGTCCAAATGGTACATAAATTCTATTTTAATCGCCCATTTGATCCAACCGTTTCATTTTCTGTTAAATGTAACCAAATTTTAAGGGCAAATACGACTTTTCATAATTAACAAATAAAATAGGATTAAAATAAATACAAAATTAGAAAATAATTGAAGAAAAAGAGAAAAAAAATCATGAGACCCAAACCCCCTCCCTTCGATTTATTCTCCCCAATTCCCTACAAATTTTGAACCGTTTTTAGGAGCGCATCAATGCTTTAGATCGCAAGTTTTCTTGGATCTCAAGCCCCATTCGTTGTGCCCAAACGTTCTTGATCCATGTGACGCGACCGACGACGCCGAAATTTCCGATGGTCCCCAACTTTTTGTTCGCGGTGATTCGCTATTGCCTCACAGCGATGTTGACGACATTTCGGGTGGGCTTCTTGTTTCTGAGGGTGCATTCGTGCCACCTAAAACTCCACAGCCTCTGAATGATGTGATGGACCAGAAAGGTGAAGGTTCTGTGGTAATTGAAATGGGTCTTGCTGGGATTCACCAGTGGATGCCATCTGTTGCTCATATGGGTCTATTGTCTGATGCTCCACCAGATTAATGGGCAAAAGAAGTTGCTGAAATTCTAGTGCAAAGTCTTGTTTCTGTCTATGGAGATTCATTCAAGATTAAAGCACTTGGTGTTTTTGCTCCATTTGTTTCTGTCTATGGAGATTCTTTTTCTGTAGTTGCTGGCTTGGATGGAGGGTAGGGAGGAGCTTGGGTTTTGGGTTTCATGGGGCCTGGGATGGAGGGTGGTTGTTGGATAGGTTTGGGTGGAGAGTGATTGTGGGATGGGTTTGGGGGTTGGAGCTTGAGGGTGGTGGCCATAGGGGAATGGGGAGAGAGAGAGAGTGTTTTTATTTATTTTTAAAGTACAAAATGACCAATTTACCCTCATATTTAACAGCAACATTAACAGAATGTAACAGTTGGATCAAAGAGTGATTAAAATAGAGTTTATGTACCATTTGAACTAATAATTTAATTTATGGATCAAAATGTAAATTGCATACAAATTTGAGGACTATTTGAGTAATTTATTCACCAATTGAGTGAGTGACAGTGGCAAGTGGAGCCCACCTTCACATAGATAAAAATATAATTAAATATTCTAACAATTAAAAATTAAAATAAAACTGAAAAAATTACGTTAAAACAAAATATAACTAAAATTACAATCCTCCACCACTAGCCCTCCCTCGATTCTCCCCTCCCCACATCCATGTCCTGCGCCCCTTCCCACTACCAACTCCTATCCAAAGAACCAAAACATAAATTAGCCACAATAACAAGAACAACAAATTTGTAACTCCATAGGCAAATTTCTAACTATTGTAGCTTTAATGCAACAATATAGCTGGACGGCCTTCCCTTATACAATTACAAGATGAAATTTTTACAAGCTAGAGAAAAAAAAAGAAGCAAAAAACGCAAAGTAATTTGATTACCTCCAACAAGAGCAGCATATCCAAGGGTTAGTTTCTAAGACACTGACATCCCTTTCTTCTCTCTTCTTTTTCGGCCCCTCCTCTCCCCTGCCTTTATTGTCACTATTATCACCTCCATCGCTTCCGCCACCTCCACCTCTGCTGCCAAAATCATATCTACCTCCTTCGCCGTTGGTGACCAGTTCGATCTCGATATCCTTTAAGAAAAATTAGTGTTTACCCACAAAAAAAAACTTTAGTAATTAGCATTTGATACATTACCTATTTTTATTTTAGATAAGGTGGATGAGTTTTAAATTTTATTTTGTTAAAGACCAATTAGTAAGCACACGTGCTAAAAGCATGATTAATATAAGAGTTACATTTACATTTTTGCCCTTTTTTGATTATTATTTTTTTTTCTCACCTTGATATTAAAATTAGCGATCAGCAAGGACTAGATGGGCATCGGCATCGCAACCATAGCGATCAACCTAGCGCCGGACCTTCAGGTGGCGATCTTCAAAGCAATGTCGCATGGTGAGCGAGAAGCACGTACATGAGATCATCATCGTCACGAGCCGAGTATCAGCGCCTGGTTCGAAGGAGGTTTTCGTATTGAATTTGGGCTCCTTTTGGACTCTTCTCGATTGCAGTCCTGATTTTGTTAGTCGTTCACCATAACGAGCATGAAGATCGGGTCGAACAATCTGTATTGGTATGATTGCTTAGCTCCCTGTGCTGCTATTATGTGTTAATTGATATAGTTTATTCTTGAATTGGTGACCTGTGTGTTTCTTCAACATTTTAATTTGATATGCTCCATTACAGTCAGATTGCATATAGGCTGGCATTTGTAATTTTGGGCCACCTGTTACATACAATAAATTGCTTGCCTTAGCTTCTTTGGTTTGGTTATAACTTACAACCAAGGTTCAATTAACTCTAGTCTTCCTGTCATATAATTCCAAAATCAAGTTAAACATAAATTTCAAAGTGTGTAACACTTTTCTTTGTCTGGGCTTGAGCTTTCTTCGGTCAGAATTCTCCGTTAAATTTTTTTGGAAGGTTATAACTGTCAACCTTGGATCTTGACAAAATTTGGAGAGTTGGTGGAAAGTGGTCGAAGTTGATAGTACTTATACACACATTATTTTGGTTATTTGACAGGATGTAATTATACAAAAAAAAGCTTTTATCTTCGTTGAAATTATAGAATATATATCAGAATTTACTGGAAAATTTTGAGATTCTTAACTCTTGGTTTCGTCCTTGGACAGAATTTTCCAATTTGTAAGATGAATAACCCATTTCTCTGTTTCTCATCTTGTCTTCATCACTCTTCACTATCATAATCCAATATTTTGAAATTTGTCGTTATTTGTCAATTTGCATATCGAGAAAGACAGGTCCATCAACTATGCATTGATATTGATTAAGAGAACGATGCTTGACAATAAGAACAAAAAAATTTGGTGGAAGATGATCCTACATGATTTTTGTACATAATATTTGGATTTATATTCGATTTGGGTATGATTGATTGTATTTGTCCGTAATATTTAGTATGGGGGTATGATCTTGTGGGTTAAATTTATTTATTTTTCTCCATGTCTCTGTCTTTCGTTTCTGCTTGCAGCATTATATTTCTTTATTTTTCAGTAGGTGAAACTTTATACAGGTTTTGTATTGCAGTTTTGGAAACTGCATTGCAATTTTGGTAATTACAATTGGATTTCATTGGCCTTCCACCTCGCCAATTTGAAGAGTTGAGGGTACCCGCCATATGAGGAATTGGGTGGGCAAGAGAGAGTAGAACTACCCAAGAGAAAGGGAACTCAAAATTGGACTTTTGGAAACTGCATTGCATTTTTCATTTAATTACAATTTGATTTTTGTTCTTTGCCTCACCAAATTGAAGAGTAGAGACTATCCATATGAGGAATTGGGTGGGCAAGAGAAGAGTAGAACTACCCAAGAGCAAAGGAACTCAAAATTGGACTTTTGGAAACTGGAAACTGCATTGCAGTTTTCATTTAATTACAATTTAATTTTTCTTCTTTCCTTGGCCTTCAACCTCACCAATTTGAAGAGTATAGGCTACCCATATGAGGAATTGGGTAGGCAAGAGAAGAGTAGAACTACCCAAGAGCAAGAGAACTCAAAATTCGACTTCTGGAAACTGGAAACTACATTGCAATTTTCATTTAATTACAATTGTTTTTGTAGCTGTTTTCATTTTTTATTTATAACATAATTGATATCTACATTGTATTTTTGTTGCAGTTTCTATTTTTATTTGTCCTTTTTGTGTGAATAAGTGTTATGATTTTTTTTTTTATTTTATATAAAAAAAAAACGGTTGATTGTTTATATAAATATTGTATAACTGAATAAATATTACAAAATCAAGTTTGGTGTAGTGGTTTGTGAGTGAGCCTTCCTCCTTTGAAGGTCAAGGTTTGAGTCCATTCAATGACACAAAATCTTTTTTTTTAAAGGTGAATAAAGGGCAACGGATTTGGTTTCCTGCAGACAGTGGCAGGACGGCAACAGGCGGTGGTGGCATTATGTGTAATTTTGATATTTTTTAATGATATTTTTGTAAAATTAAGTACTAAATTTTGGTCTTTGGCCTTATGCTAATTAGATGAAATTGTATTTATATTTTCCAAATTAATAAACTATATTGTGTTTTAAAACTAAAGCTCCCAATCATTTATCCCCTAGTCATAGTGAATATGGTGGAAGATTTGGTGTCATAGACAACCCCAATACGTGCCTCAACAAAAGAGCGTTATCAGAGGAAGCCCCAAATCCCGATAGCTGAGATTGCTGTGTTGCAGGAGTCAACCTTGAGAAATGGAGCCACTTCATTAGTGCCTCGAAGGTTAGTAAAGGAAAAGTGGGTATTGGTGAAAATTTGGCTTCAATTATATGCAAATAGTGGAAAGCATAATTGGATTTGAGATGGATTTTCATAAAAATTGATAAAGTTGATTTCTTTTTGGTTTTTTATGGGTCGCCGGCTACTCTTTCAGCGGGATGGGGAAAGAGGGAGGAGAGGTGCCGGATATGGATGTGGGGAGATTGGAGAATCAAGGAAGGGCTAGTGGTGAAGGATTGTAATTTTAGTTTCTATTTTTTTTAATGTAATTTTTTCTGTTTTATTTTTAATTTATTTGCATAAAGGTGGGCTCCACTTGCCACGTCACCCACTCAATTGGTGGATAATGAGTTATATGTATAAATTACAAAAACACCCATGCCACGTCATCAAAGTTAACAGACTTTTGGATGAAGTTGACGGCAAGGGATAAAGTGAGTCACCAAACTTCGGTCAAGGGACAAAAGTGGGTCATTTTTCGTTTCGGGGGGATAAAGTGAAATTTGACCGAAGCTTCAAGGGGTATTGGTGTAATTAAGCTTTTTTGGTAAGTTTAATTTTCAAATCTTATTCTTCGCATCAAACTTTGATAACTGTGGCTTCATAAATTGCAACCTCATAGAAGATGAGAAGTGTACACTAGAAACCTCTACGAACTTCATATTGATGCGCTACAACTGCAAGTTCTTGATATCGACGAATCGATTTTTGCGGAGTTTAATATTAGCAATTTCAATTCTCTCTAAGAAGTAAGGCTGCAAAGCGGCTTCTACGAAGGAAAGGGACAACTAGTCGAAGTTAGAGAACTTTACATTCTTTCTCGAGAAGTATTTTCTACAATTAGCATAGCGACATCATCTGCTAGTTTGCTGCTTCTCAGAGATGGTGCTTCTGGGGTAAGATTTAGTTTTCAATTCTTAACCCAAAAGCACCATCTCCAGGACGCATCGAGCTAACAAATAATTTTGCTCTACTAATAGTGGAAAAGACTTCTTGGGAAAGAACGTAAAGTTCTCCAACTTCTACTAGATGTCACATTCCTTCATAAAAACTGCTTTGTAGACCTACTTCTTGAAGAGAATTGAAATTGTCGATATTTAACTTTGCAAAAATTGACTTGCCGATATCAAGCACTTGCAGTTGCGGCTCATCAATTTGAAATTCGTACTTCTCATTTGCTATAAAGCTACAGTTTAAACTTTAGCCTCTCGAGACTCTAAGACCTTATTAGGAAATTATGCCCTCTCTTAGGAAGTCTCATAATTTTTCATTCTATTTGAAGATCTTGGAGCACCCGACACCACCCATAGAAATGTTAAACATGCCTTGTTTAGGTTCAAAATGCAATAAAAGTGCAAAAATTGAAGCCAACTAAGGAGAATTCCCAATATGTATAAATTTATAAATTCTAAAAACAAAAACATAAATAAAGGAAACTTCTTAATGCAAGAACGAGACAGAAACAATGTATATCAAGAATATAGACCACATGTAAACAACGTTTAATACCAAGAACAGATCTCATGGTACATATTATAAACTAAATAACTTTATAAATCCCATCACTTGAAGTCCTCTCATTTCAAAATCTCATCACTTTGAAATTCCCTCAGTTCAAAATCCCATTATTTTGAAATATCATCATTTCAAAGTCCTCACATTGTATTTCAATGATCCGAACCTTCTAGTTTTTAGATATTTCCTCATATATTATCTATGCAAAAAATCACTTGAACCCAAAATCATTTGACCACTCAATTAAATGGGTTCATCATGTCAGTTAGTCATCCATTGCAAATGAAATTTGTTATTCAAGTCATGCCATAAATAAAAAAAAATCAACATATCATGAGTTTCTTCACTCCACTAATTTGGAGTTAACGAAAGGCAAGTGGGTCACGGTGTGTTTTGCAAAATGTTTTTAAAACTTTAAATCATTTATATGCAATTCAAATTTTCTTTTTGGTCGTAATATGCAATTCTATAATTAAAAGCTACTTTATCGTCAAAAGTTCGCCTGGCTTTTTTTCCTCACTGGACATGTTTTTAGTTAGAATAATGCTACTCTTACCGCATATGTATACTACATCCCTATACCATCTTATGTGGTAGCTAAGGTGGACAGCCACATCAATTAAAATTATACAAATTTATAAATAAACCCAATCCTAGACATGTATTTATTAAAAAACCCAAGCACTATTTAAACATAGAAACACACCCAAAATCAACACCAAAATCAACAATTATATATTTTTTGGGTGTGTTTATAAATGGGTTTTAAGTGTGTGTAATGATGGGTTTTGGGTTTGTTTATAAAGTGTTTTGGGTGTTGGGTTTTTTTATAATTTCAGCCCCCATTTTGGGTGTTTTAGTGAAACTCCCTTAAAATTATTTTATATTTTCTTTTCTTTTATGATTTATTCCAGTATTTGTTTTTCTAATTGTCTTAATTAAAATACACTTCATTGATTTAATTGATGTGATATATAATATATACATGCCACATCATGTGATATAGAAATGTGGAATAAAAATGTGGTAAGTGTAGCATTACTCTTTTAGTTATTCACCACATTTTAAATGTTCAAACAAACATAAATAATAATAATAAACAAACAAAAATGTTTTTCAACTGAGGAAACCTTTTCGCCAAATTATTTTGTATGAAAATCGTACAACAACCAATAAAGAGCATAATTAGCAAGGTTTTATTTTTAACTCACTGGTTGCTTGAAAGATTGGATGTTAGCAAGCAGCAGATGAAAACCACATGAGTTTTCATGGATGTTTGGATCAATGTCACATATTAATGATGATATATAAAATCATGATATATATTATGTTTTTCTTTTGTTTTCACCCAACTTTATTATTTTATTTTATTTTTCCAATTTTAAAAGCATTTACAATTATACTCCATATTTTTTAGTTAAAGTTTAACTAAAAACACACCAAAGCTATTTTAGGAGCTCTTTATAAAATTTGAACTCCAATCATACTCTCTAGTTTAGGGAATCATAAATATTATAATTATTTTTAATTCAATATAATTGTTCAATCTCTATAAATATATATATATATTAAAAATAGTTAGCATTAATTAAAAGTTTAAAATATGCACAAAACAAAGTAGTATTAAATTATAGGTAGCTACTAGGAGTCCTTTCTATCTCCTTAGATTTATGAGCTTCTAGAGGTCTCCCTATTTTAAGAGGTGGATAGGGGGCAGGGTTAGAGTTGTATTTTTTCAATTCCTAGTTTAAAGAGATCGTTTAGGGAGCCCATTGTAACTGTTCTAACTCATTGTAAAAAGTGTAACTCCAAATATAAGACAAATTATGTATGCAAATATAAATAACAGATCATATTCATATCCATTTAAATACTTGAGTACTTTTTTTTTATGCACTCGCTTTAAGATACAATTAATTAAACAATATTAGAATAAAATAATCGCTAAAACAAAAATTTGAAGGGAGAAAAGCCAATATACATTGTGTTGTGCATGCTTAAAACATTTTCCAACATAAACAAGAAAGAATGTATCTCCTAAGAGCATTTCTAGCGGTGAGTTCAGCCCAAGCAAAAGGCCCTCTAGGCTTCCAAAACTAGCTCCAACGGTGAATTCTTTCCATGGCAACACATGGGGTCCACCAAGCCGGACAAGGTCCAATGCAAGATCAACTCGACCTCTTGCCTCGAGGGCGATGACGCTAGTGAATAACAAAATTAAAAAAAATTCAGATTTTTTTTTATAAAAAAATACCTAGCAGTTTTATATTTATTAATCTCATACATATAAATAAAATTAATCTTATGTGAATAGTAAGTGTCATTGAGTTTATATGGCAATGGGTTTAGCAAAAAATAATTGCTAGAGCAGATACTATTCACATAAATAGTAACAATTCTTACTTGCCTTTGTCATTTGCCATGGTAAATGAGTGAAAATGCTCTGAACATTAATTTTATCAACAGTTGAACTCCCAACCCAACATGGAAAAGATATGCATGTGACATGTGGTAATTGCTTGCATGTGACAAACTAGAACAACAACCAAAAAAATAGTTGTGAAATAACAACAAATAATTTTAGCCTATTTATTTAATATATATTAATTTGTATTTTCAAGTGGAAACAATTTTCGAGAACAAAAATAGTGAAAAATATATATGTGATTTAAATACGTGAAATTCGTTTTGATTAATAAATTGTGTATAAAAAAAAACCATCTGTGGATTGGGCCCAACCGAACTGTGGCTGGGTCGTTGGTGAAAATTATTCCCTCCGAGGAGCGGACAGTAGAATCGAGACGCTGCGTTTTGGTTGGTCAAAACGTAGGATGGGGATACGACGTCGTAACTGCAAAATGAGTTTCTTCAGCACGGAGACTGCTCTCTGAAAAAGTGATTTGTGGCTGCGCTGCGCGAGCTGCGAAAGACAAGAATAACAATGGCGACGGAGCTGGAAGAACTAGTGGGATTTCTATCTTCTCCATCTCCAACAGTAAGTAATCTTCACACTTGATCAAACCCAACCCAGTTTACTAATCCTTCTCGCAAAAAATCCTACTTGCTTCGTAATTAAAATAAAAAAAGCTGGATTTTATTTTTAGAATTTTAATTAGTTTAAGGGAATTACATGTAACGTACTTGTCGTCTCTTTGATTTGATGGTAACTGTTTATTTTTTATTTATTATAATTAAGGTGACGAAGGCAGCTGTTGATATCGTTCGGGGACTAACCGGGTCTGAAGATGGCTTGCAGTCTCTTGCCAATTATGCAAAGATTCTGCTGCCTTCATTGGCTCGACTCTTATCTGGAAAGAAGGTGCTTAATTAGCATGGAAGTTCCTCTTGACAACTCTTATTTATTTATTTATTTCCTGTGCTAGTTTATAAAATTCTTCAATTTGATGTTTACAAAGTAATGCAAATAGAGCAACTGAGTTTACGTTTTTGATTCTATAAGCACTGTGCAGCAGGCTAACTGGTTCTTACAATTCTCTGGTCTGATGGGTATTTATTTGGAAATATAAAAATTGGTTTTACATCATGTCTCAGGAGGTCTCAGAACCTGCAGGAGAAGCTCTTGTTAATCTTTCACAAAATTCAGGTCTAGCAGCAAAGATGGTTGAAATGGGAATGATTAACGCAGCTATGGACATTTTATATAACCCAGATTCTAGTATTGGCCGATTGTTGGCTATGCTTTTAGTTAATCTCACACAGTTGGATGTTGGTGTTGCTTCTTTACTGCAGGTGTGGCTTTTTTCTTACTTCATCTTATGATTATCAAATCCCCTGGAAACATTGTTGGAGAAATTGCACTCTTAACAAGCATTTTCGTTTTTTTTTTGTTGGTGTTTTGAAAAAAAGGCAGAGTTTTGTTTATTTATCTATGTACATCCATCAATAAAGAAATAAAATATTTTTTCATGTTTTGGTCACATAATGATTGTACTTTTTTAATGCTTCGTCCATGAAAGATTAGTTAGTAACAGTGTGAATTATATATATTTGCTAGACTGGAGAAGAGAAGATGCAAGGGCTCTATGTTATGAAGCTTGTGAGATCATTTTGTAGATCCTCCGATGAAGCTAGAGGTGTGTTTTCAATTTTGAAATTGATTTGTTTTGACTTACACAAAGATGTAATCTTAATTCCTAAATTTGAAAACTGGTAATTCTTCTACTCAGTACATGTTGGTGGAGAAGCATAAAAGTTAAGTTTGCATTGTTGTTCCTCTAGATCGTTTTAGGTTCCCTGAGGTCACCATCAATGGGTGGTTTCGGCCAATTAATCTCTGAGTTTCTCTTAAAATCCTTGATTGTGAGATTTATTTCTTTTTTCTGGTGACATAAGTGCCTTTAGTTGGCCAGATGTCTCTTTGGTGATCCAAGATCACATGATTACTATGATTTTTCTTGACAGAGTTCAGAAATACACAAGTTCTAGCTCCATAAACTTATAATTTTCACGTTGATTCTTGTTTGCAGTCTCCAATATTAGCATGCTTTTCTCACTACATTTTTTTGTTGCACATGTATCAGAAGATCCATTTGAACATGTTGGTTCCGTACTTGTCAACATCTCAAAGCAGGAAGCAGGCAGGAAGCTTTTACTGGACCCTAGGCGAGGGCTTTTAAAGCAGATTATTAGGCAGTTCGACTCTTCTAGTCCTTTAAGAAGGAAGGGGGTATGTACAATAAATCACCACAAAGGAGCAAGATAAGGGCTCTTCTTTGTTGTTTACTCTGTATTTCACCTTTGATTGTCATCAGTTAGTAACAAAAGTAGGTAACCAATGCTTTGGCTTAAGTTGTTAGCAGCCAAGCAAAAGATGAACTAGGTCTCATACAAATTAGAGGATAATTATTTGAGAAGGTTCTTAAACAAAATGTTAATTTACTAATTTTATGTAATCATGCTTTACCGTCTGGACCTTAAAAAAAAGCTTTACAATCTGGACATTTATGAGCTATCAGTTAGATTTTCTGGATGAGTTCAGAGTCTTCCAGCTATGAAGCACAGCTTACTCTGGTCAAGGTTGAGCAGCCAAGCTGGGGGCCAATCTAACCAAGGGAAGCTTAGTTAGTCACTGCTTACTTATGTTAATGAGATGCTTGTTTGCTTTTAGGTTTCTGGAACTATTCGCAACTGTTGTTTTGAAGCTGAGAGTCAGCTTCAGAATTTGCTTTTGATTTCAGAGTTTCTCTGGCCAGCTCTGCTTCTTCCAGTTGCTGGTAACAAGGTAAACATTCAGCATCTTCTTGACTTTTGAGACTTTCATATGTTTGTCTCTCTACTACCCTACACATTTTTTTTGGATTCATTTTGTATTGATCTGGTAAATTTTGCCCAGATTTATAGTGAACAGGATAGATCTAAAATGCCACTTGAGCTTGGGAGTGCTCTCTCAATTGAGCGTGAACCAGTTGATGATCCTGAAATTCGTGTTCAAGCACTGGAGGCAATATACTTAATCTCGTTACAGGTCAAATGAGTAACCTTTTTTTTTTTTTTCTGGGTTCACTATTTTATTTGTCCTCCTTTCTCTTTATCTTTGTTGTAGTTTTATTCTCTTATTGGCAATATTTATAGTTTCTTCACAACATTTAACCACATGTATGGTTCTATGGCCTTCCAGGAGGCAGGTCTAAGAGCCTTTTGGTCTGTCAACGGACCGAGAATAATACAAGTCGGTTATGAAGATGAGGAAGATCCTAAAGTAATGGGAGCATATGAGCAACTTGGCTCCATGGTATGTTAAAATTTCTACCCTCACACAGACATAGACACTTTTTTCTCATTGCGGCTTCTTATTCCTCCACTTCATACTCTATTATTATATATCGTGTGCTTTTTCCTGTGACAACTAATATTACTGCCATCACTGTTTTACCAGTTGATTAATAGCAGCGGGACGGAGGAGCCAACAACAGAGACATCGAATTAGCAACACCGGTGTTCATTCATTTGATCGAGCAGATCTTCCACAAGCAATTTTCAGCTGGTTTGGAATGGAGCATGTGATTTGGGGATTGAAATCTGAATTGCTGTTATGCTTGGAGAAAAAAGAGGAGGGAAAGAGATGGCACTGGTTAGGGATATTGAAATAGATTTACATGGTGGTTTCATTTGTTCTTATGTGAACCCTCTGCTTTTTTTTTGAATCTCTCAAGTTGGCAAATCAAATCTTTTACTTTTACATAGATTAGTCACCGGCTCAAGGTGGCCAACAATTTAAATCTTGAATCCACAATTCGTTTCGTGCCACTGCCTGCCAGGCTTATCAAATGGCATTTAATCCATTAATTTTTTTTTTCACTGAATAAATTTGACCAAACACGCCATAAATATTTGGTCCAGCCATGATTAGCTTCACCCACCAACTGATCATGCCACCAAAAAATATTTATCACCTCCTGCAATAATATATATATATAAAGAACTTTCATTTAGGGATTTTTCAAATAACTTATTTGAGGGATACTTTTGTAAGGCTAATTTCGCATTGTATTTCACTAATCTAAACCGTCTATTTTGTAGATATTCATTAAGAGATATCTCTATAAAAAATCACTTGAAGTAATGTGTTCATTGATTTTGTTGGTCTCAATTAAATGCCTTAATAATTTTCAATTTGCATGATTTTTTGCAAGAATGATATCTGAATGAATATGTGAAAATAGATTGTTTGGATCGTTTTTTTTTGTAGAGTATTTAAAATGTGTTTCTCAAATAAAATTATTTGAGGAATTCTTTAATAAAAATGGAATATATATATATATATATATAAACTATACTCTAAAATGAAATTGCTATTTATGGATCACCCCACAAAATATCATTTTATACAAAATTTACGAATATTAATGCACCCCTACCCGGGAAATCGCGTTTAGCAATTTACAAAATCAGCGGGCACGTGATCTTTAATTTCGCAGCGGCGCCAAAAACTACCCGGGAAATCCAGTGTAATCTTTTAAGCGCGAAAACCACCGATTTCATCTCCCGCCATTTCAAGTGCTCAAATGGCAACGCCAATGCCAAACCCACTCCTCTTTCACTCACTCTCTCTTTCCGCCAAAACCCGACAAACAGTGAGAGCCCATCTCAAGAAAGATGGATCTCTCAGACATAGCAAGGAAGCTTGACCTCTCCGACTCCAAGCACGTCATCCGCAGAGCCGCCGAGCTCCGCCGTCTCTGTGACATCCAGTTTGACTCTTCTATAATCGGCGTCGTAAGTTTCATTCGAACCCCAAATCCTTGTTTGATTGATTTTTGAATTGGGTATTTATCAAGTTGCTTATGATTTGCAGGGTGAGGTATGCAAAGCTGTGATTTGCTTAGAAATCGCCGCAACAAGGTAAACGAAAACAAAAAAAAATTCTTTTTGCATAGTCTCTTGCGTGCGTTTTAAGATTCATATTGGGTCTTTGTGGTTGTAATTCTTTTGGGTTGAATGGCTTATAGGTCGGGGCTTCTGTTCGATCGGCAAAAGGCGATAAGGTTGAGTGGGATGTCTGAAAAGGCTTACACCAGATCTTACAATTCCATGCAGAACGGTCTTGGGGTCAAGTAGGTTTTTGTTTTCTCATTTGCTTTGTTCCAATTTTTATGCCATTTTTGGTTTAGTGGATTCTGATTGTTCGATTGGATTGTATGTTGTGGTGGTGTAGGAACAAGCTGGATGTTAGAGAACTAGCAATTCAGTTTGGGTGCGTTAGGATCATCCCCTTTGTGCAGAAGGGTTTGTCTCTGTAAGATTCAATTTCCTTTCCACAACGCAAATTCAATCTCTTTTGTTTTTCTGCATGGGACTGCCATATTACATGTTAGATGTTCGACAAAATGCTTCTGAACATCAAGTTTTGTTGGCTTAGCATGCCTTTGGATAATTTAGTTATTGTGGATGCTGTCTGGTCCCAGAGGATTAAACAATTTTAAGTAGAGACCCTTTGGACAAGACAAATTTCTTTGCCTGATATTTTAGTGGTTAGGGATGTTGTTTGGTAAATGGCTTGATTCTAAGTATGAATTTCTTGTACTCTTATATTTCAGTTACAGGAGTCGGTTTCTTGCATCACTACCAGCGTCTCGGCGGGCAAGTGCTGACTTCACTCGACCTGTCTTCATTGCTGTGGCATTCTACTTGTGTGCCAAAAAACACAAGGTATCCCATGATTGATCCCTCTCACTTGATTCAGGGACAAAAAAAAGAGGCTTCCATCCCTTAGTTTTCACTAATTACATTGTCATATCCTGTATGTTTGCAGCTAAAGGTAGACAAACTTAAGTTGATTGAGCTCTGTGGTGCATCTGAATCTGAATTCTCTTCGGTAAGATACAGACTTTCTTACTATGCAATAGTCCCTCCTGTTGCCAATCATAATTTCTTTCTATCTTTCCTTGTATATTTCTATGTTATTTGACAACTTCTTTCGCAGGTTTCTACTTCCATGAAGGACTTGTGCTTTGATATTTGTGGGATTGAAAAGGAAAAGAAAGATCCCAAGGATGTCGAGGGAAACCGAGGTTGGTGTCTGCTGCTGATTTTATGTTTTAACTTTGCCGTGGAGCAGAACTTTTGAGATTCTTTCAGCCCCTAGAATTTTGGTTTTTCAGACAACTTCCTACGTTATATATGTTTATTTTTTGCGTGCAGAACTTCTAGATGTTTTGCCAGAGAAAAGAAAACTTGAGGATGGTGGTTATTCATCTGATGAAGGAGCTGAGGTACTAAAAGCTAATTCTGATTCTATTTGTTCCTTAAAACTCATTACGTTTGTTGGTAAAACATAAATTCAAAGATTTGGATATAGTGAAATGTAACATTGTAACTGTTTGATGCACTTGCAGCCTTCAAGTTACAAGAAGCACAAAAAGATGGAAAAGCACGCCTATGAGGGTTGGAAAACCACTGTCATTGCATCAAATAACCAAACCAAGGCAAAAGGTTTTGAAGGCAATTCCTTTATCTTTTTCACACTGCACCAATGCACATTGAGATAGAAGAACCTAACCATGTGTGTTCGCTTTTTCTCAGTTCTTTGCAAGCCCACCAGACAAACTCGGCTAGACTTTCTCAAGGACGTACCCGATACCCAGAACTTGAAGGCTGTATAGGACGACATCTGAAAACAAACTTATCAATATCCAAAGAAATCATATGCAAACTTTGAGTGAAATGTATCAAAAGTACCAAAACTTCAGCCATGAATATATGATGAGGTGCTGTGTTTTGGGCTGGGCTGATTTGTTCTTAACTGGATCTCAATTGCTTGTTTGCAACGTTCTTTTATGAAAATACCCCCAAAAAAAGATGAATTTTTTTATATAAAAATTATAGTCCCCACCACCGGCTATTGTGCAAGTCTTCTTATTGACACGTGCGGAGGGCACTTTGGACTTTTTACGCTTCGGGTCGAATTGTCGGCTTTGAAACGGTAGAAAAGTCTTACAGTCATTTTCCAGTCAAACCCGGTGTCCTTTTTTGTCCGTCCCACAGAAAGGCAAACCCTGAAACAAAAAAAGACTAGGTCCCCAGTTTTATTCCCGTGCGGACACAACATGCCACGCATCCTTCCCAAATGGGCTGCTTTAACGATGTAAAACTCCTACGAAATAGGGGACCGACGCCAGTTCTTTCCGCAAAGAGGCCACGTAGCAAGTTCACGTCCACAAATGTGAAATCACAAACACCAAAATAAACCTCCACAAACGATACGAGAGTTTGAATATTCTCTCTCTCTCTCTCTGTCTCTCTCTCTCTCTCTCTCTCTCGCACATAGATTTCAACGAGTATAACGAGCCTGCTCTCATTTTAAAAATCCAACTTGACCCACTTCTTCTTCAACGATTGATAAATGTTATCTCAAAATTTCATTTTTAAAACTCTATTCCAACCAACGTCAATAATAGTGGGAAAGGCCTATTTTAGTTAGGGTTAGGTTTCTCTTCTCCTATTTAGGATTTTGGGTTATTTGGGGAAAATCATCCTATCTCATGCAAATTTCGATTCTTGGGTTCCCTTTTTGATCATCGTTTTTCCTTTTTCAAAGATGGGATTTGAGGTTTCTGATGAGCTATTGGGAACTTTCGTCCCAGTTTTGATATATTGGGCATACTCGGGGATTTATGTGGTTCTGGATTCGTTTGAGAACTACCGGCTTCACACGAGGAAAGACGAAGATGAGAAGAATTTGGTGTCCAAGAGAACGGTGGTCAAAGGGGTTCTTCTTCAGCAAACCATTCAGGCTATTGTCGCTATCCTCCTGTTTACGGTATCACTTCATTTTTTCTCTCTTTCATTTCACATGGAGATTAAAATTTGGTCAATGATCGAGAATCTTCTTAGCTTCAGACATATTGATTTATGAATTGTGCAAGATTAGTTGTTTTGTGGGTAATTATTACTGTTTGTGGTAGTGAATTCCGATGACGAAAATTGGGGTTAAAATTCTGTTGATTTTGCATATAAATTTCTCCGTGAAATGAATGTATTTTCAGTGTGTTATTTCTGTGGTATGATAATTGTAGTATGCAGGCTACTAAACCTTCTGCCTAGTTGTATAACATCTTGAATTTTCATATATGGTTAGAACAATGGTTGGCAATTTGATGATTACAGGAGTTCCTGCGGTTTTTTTATGTTGTGTGATTAATATATTATAACCTTCATAATTCTTATCCTCTTCTTCTTATATGCTATTGGGTGATCCATAACTTATCTAATTAACTAAGTTTCAGCTTTTAGTGGTCCATTGTATTTATCCTAATCCTTTAGTGATCCTGATCCTAAATTTATCTAAATACCTAAGCTTTACTGTCGAAGTCGTTTGAATTTTCAAGTGAGCGACTTGCTCGTTAATTCTGAGCTTCTTTCATTTTTTGGTTTCCATATGAGGAAACTGTTACATGATTATAGAAAATTGGGCTGCTTAAGTCAGTTAGAGGACAGGTCAACCAGAAGTACTCAAGCTGTGTCCACCTTCAGGCCATGAAAGGAAAATATTTGCAATGGATTCTGCATTTTTCTTCACTTGCTTTTGATTCTACCATGGATGTAGCTTTGTTCAGAAAGTCTTAGGTGAACTTTCATTTTATTTAAGCCCCAATTGATATATGAAGGCGAGTCATTACTGTAATTGTCTCATTGATTTGGGAATAATGTCATGGCAATTTTGTTTTCATTTCCCGCACCCTGCCATCAGCTGTTTTTCATTTCCAGCCCCCTACTCGAGTGTTCTGATTGTTACATTGAAAATTCAGACCTGATGCATCATCTATGATATGCTCATGCATGCTTGATGGTTTTGACATATGTGTCTTATGACTTCTTTTTAATGTACTTTGTTATTGTATAGGTGACGGGAAATGATGATGGGGATTCAGGTGTAAAGCCTTCTTTCATTGATCTAGCAAGACAGTTTGTTACTGCAATGATTGTTTTGGATACCTGGCAATACTTTATGCACAGATACATGCATCACAACAAGTTCTTATACAAACACATCCATTCCCAACATCACCGGCTTGTTGTGCCCTATGCGTTTGGAGCTCTGTACAATCACCCCGTGGAGGGACTTCTTCTTGACACAATTGGTGGAGCCTTATCTTTTCTCCTCTCTGGCATGTCTCCTAGAGCCTCCATATTCTTCTTCTCCTTTGCCACCATCAAAACCGTAGACGACCATTGTGGATTATGGCTTCCGGGGAACCTGTTCCATGTATTTTTCAGTAATAATACTGCTTACCATGATGTCCACCACCAGCTCTATGGAAGCAAGTACAACTTCTCCCAGCCGTTCTTTGTTATGTGGGATAGGATACTTGGTACCCATATGCCTTACTCATTAGAGAAGAGAGCAGGTGGGGGATTTGAAGTGCGGCCTAAGAAAGTAGACAAGGAGAATTGATTCTTGCTTGAGGAAACACGAATCTATATTGATTGTACCAGTATTAGGGAACCTCACTGCTTGCATAGTTTGTTGTATATACATATATATTGTTGTGCCTTATTCTTTTGTTTTCTTCTTCGAATGAGTTTTAAAACTTAGTTGTGGAATTGAGAATTCATGTATCAAGATAAAATCTGACAGCAGCTTCAATTTGGTTTGAGCATCTGATATGGAGCAACTGTTATGGGGGCTTGCTCATTCAGTCTCATTTTCACTAAATTGTTTTCCAATTCCTGTTCATGCTGTAATGATCAACATTCTGGTGGTGTCATATTATTCGATCTCTGTTAATGAACTCTCTGGTTTTTTGGTTTAAAGCTCGATAATTTACTAAGGAAATGGTTATTTTGTTTACAGATAAACTAGAATTATCAGCTTAATCAACTAGAGATTTTGTGTGATAAGCTCGCTCTCTAGAAAATTTTCACCATCATACAGACCTTTTAAAGTATGATTGTTAGTTGAAAATTCTTGCTGATATTATGGATCCAAAAGGAACTCAACTTTTTTTTACCATTATTCTTACAGGAACCGACACCTCTCGCCACGATTTCTGAGTGGTTCCCAATCATTATCGTCAACATATGTGTGATACTTGAAATATAATGCATGTATATATGCCCTACCTAACAAGACAGTTGAGTTTGCCATTTGAAGCGTACACTTGATCTGCTATTCTAACCACAGAAAGCTTCCTCCAGCTACAAATTCGACCCAACCCATTCGACTCACTTGTGTAGTGTGTTTGAGATTTGTCATGCATGTGTTCTCAAGCATTTATGGCCCAACAACCTTCTCTGTCTTGATCTTGAATTACATCTTCACCTCATCGACATGCACAATTGCACATGCTGGTCTCCTTACCTCTCTACTCTGCCTTCTCATGCCATTGTGTTGTGTGTTTTGTAACTTATTATTTACATCATGACAAGACAATTGGAATGTTTCCAAGACTAAAATCTACTCTCTGCCCAACAACAATACACACATAAAGTTAGAAACTTTCTCTGATTGTTCATTTGGGATTAGTTCTGGCAATGAAATGGTTAAACATACCCGCTAAAAATGACTCTTCTTCAAGTCGGCATGCTAATTTTCCACATCCAAAAAGACTGGTCCAGGGTTTTGAAACAAAATGGTCCACTGTATTTGTAAGGTAGTTGCAGATTTTGATTGCACATCCAATCATGTTCTAATCTAATTATAATGAGTGTTTCACCGGGAGAGTGTCAATTTTGGACGACATTCCTTTGCTTTAAAATTGAAAGCTAGACATTAAATAGCTGGATAATGGAAAAGAATAAGATGCAGCTACAGATATAAATGACTAAATTGATTGAATTATTAGCAAGACTTTGGAACCTTATACTCAGAGACACATGGGAACCTTTCTGGCTTCTGGCCCCTTCATGGTTAAACTTTTTTTTGGAACTTATGGAATCTTTCTAGCCCCTGAGGGTGAGGGTCCCTAAAGTAACGCACTTTATGTGTGATTATAATGTTGTTTCTTCTAATACAAAAAGGAAAACCAAATCCATCCCTGATGGGGAGCTTTCTGTTCATACAATTTCTCTGCTCCATTTTTTTCTGTGGTAGTTTAGCAAGTGTAAAAAAGTTGTTAACTGTTTAACTCTTACATGGTAGTTTAATTAGTTGAAGGCTTTCCTTTTTTACAGCTTACACAGCCGACAATCAAAAAGGATTATGGTAATTAAGTGTCTAGAGCTTTCTGAATTTGGTATATATCACCTCAGATGTGGTCCTCAAGAGGAAATATGGACAAGATGTTTGACAACTCAGTCATGTTAGGCTCCAGTTTTGAGTTGCTTCTTTGTGAAGCGCATTGAAAGTGGAGTGTTAAGGGCCTCAGGTTTAAATCACAAATATACAAGAAAAAGAAAGCTAGATTTGTAGCCTTCTAAGGATGTCATGGCAGAGGAAGCATTTGAAAACTGAAAAGTAACTTTCCTATGCACGCCTGAAGAAAGGTGCCCGTGCCTCTCTGCACGGTGCAGACCAATTTGTTTGCAACAGCAGCCCAGCAACTTACATTTTTTGCCAAAAGAAAAAAAAACGATACTGGCAGAAACTAGTATGAAAACTAGTTAGAATGTATTATACATTGTCCAGGAAGGTGGTTTTAATGCCAGGCTGCTCTCACTCTTAATCATACTTGAAAACACATGAAAAGATTTGAATTATGAACCCTATTAAAGAAGCAACTAGATCAACTTTTGGAATTAAACACTACTACAGATCAGGAAAAAATATTTAATCATACATGGTACTAGAGATTCTAGAGAATATTATGATCACACACTATATGTACTACCTTAATAACTATTAGATTTAATTCACTACATGAACAAAAGATGTGAGGCATGTGGTGAATGCGAACGAGACCGTGCTGCAAGAGCATGCTGCCCTTGTACTCTTGAGTCAAAGCCTGTCAACTTACTAGGGGACGTCTCAGCTCGAAACCTTGTCGCTGGCACGAATGATTCTGGCCTGTTGCGGCTCATCATCTGTTGGTCAAAGTTGGTCTTCTCATGATGATATGTTTTGTGGGCATCTCCTGCAATTTTGACAGCTTTTTGGCTCTTACACCCCAATAGAGCCGCGGGACGATGCCTTGGAATCTCTTTGTTCATTCTTGTTTTGGCATTTCTGGTGTTGTTTGGAACCATTTTCATTGGACTTAGCCTTTGCAGATCTTCAGAGTCTGACGTCACAGAGAAATCAGCAACACTGGCAGTGGCCACACTCCACTCTATGCTTGCCTCACTTGGGGCATAACAAGTTGTTGGGGTCATGCAAGGGTTGGCTTTGCCTGTGAGGCTCTCTATCTCAAAAAGATCTGAACTTGCATCACTATCTGACTCATTATTGTATATCACTCCACCAGAGTTTGCAGGAAACTCATCCCAAGGCAACATTGTTAGCCTTTTGTCAAGGCCTAAAGACCTGTTCCTTTTCTCAAACACAGGAGAACCAAACACCTCCAGAGATTTCCTCACTTTCTCTGCTTCTTCTTCTTCTCGAAAAGGCATCTTCACTGGCAAACTCCCCATCCCAGGTTTTGAAGATGGGAAAGTAAAACAGTTTTCTCTGCTCAACCCAACTCCCAACTTATCAAGCTTTTGGCTGTTGTTCATCTCAACTAGAGCTTCACCAACAAGGTCCACTACAGCTGCAGGTTTATTGTTAATGGGGCTTGTTGTGCTTGCTTTGCCATGGACTAATGTTCCACTGTTAGCAGCACCATTGTTCTTCTTGAAGCTGATTTCACCAACATGTTCATCGACATCAACCGAATTCTTATCCGAACAAGAGCATTTGCAACCAAGGCTTGCAAAAAAGTTCTTCTTCTGTCTCTGTGCCCTGCTTGTATTACTCTGATAAGGATTTCTCAACCGGCTTTGCAATAGAGAAGTTTGGCTGTTCCAACTTGTTTCAGAACGAACACTTGGAGTTCCAGGTTGAACTCGTTTTTCTTTGTTATGATGGTAATTCTTTGAGCTGCTGCCGCTTTTTGGGCTAGTCTCCTCGTCCATTACTCCATTGAAGTACTTTTCAGCTCCAAATACTCCAATTTCTTCATCTTCTTCCTTCTTTGTTCCCAAGTGATTGTTATGTTCCTCACTTGACTGATCAACAAGTTTACGTACAAGGGTTTCCTCATTGCTACTCAAGTATGAAGAAAAGGAGGCATCACGGTTCTTGTTATTGTCACAGGGAAACGTTTGTGAGAGGTTGGCCTTGCTAGTTGATTTGAAGGTAACCATAGCCATAGAGACCTCAAATTTTCCAAAGAAACTTTATGCAACAAAAAGAAGAGAAAAATGAATTCGTGTCTAGAGGCTAGGGAGAAATTAGATAGGAAGCACACAAAACTACAAAAAGAAAAGGAAAAAGACCCAACAATAGAAAATTTTGGAAATACCAAAGAGAAGAATGGTACACAAGTTTTGATGATGTATATGGAATAACAAGATCTCTAGACTTTAGCTGCAGAGACAAGAACAACTATTCGAATTCAAAAAAGTAGTCTGTTAAGATCACCTCAGGTACTAAGGTGAAAGAAACTCAACATGGAGGAGCTTTGATTATTGTCTGCTACAGAAAAGAGGAATTGGATTGAAGCAAAAAAAGAGAGGTTGATGAATTCAGAGAGGCTTAGATAAGATAAGGCTTGATTTGCTAGTTGAGAATTCTAGTTCTATATGCAGGCTCATGGAACGTGCAAAGTTGTTCATTAAGAGAGTAGGGCCAATGTGCCTTAAGGCCTAATTGACATATTGTCATTTTTTTCTCAAGAGTAAATTTTCATGGATAAGATTTTCTTGGCATTATCTGACTCACATTTCCATCAAGTCTGTCAAATAGTACGTAAATGTTGGTTCGTTTTCATATTTGTGGATGTGATAACAAGGTGCTTTAAATTTCATTTAAACATCTTAGATTAGGTGTGAACAAAATTATCTTATATAGATACAAGTTTACATCAACTTGATGGGATCCAATCCAATAATACCAAAGAAATTTTCAACTTCTGATTTTCTCTCTAAAAGGAGGGCCATGACCCAATTATGAGAAAAATAATTATTTTACAGCGCCTAAAATTGATCTGTCATACAAGTAAAGCCATTTAAAAGAAAATAGAACCCATCCTCCTTCCTTTGTTATAATAGTTTAAGACAAATTCTTTGTCGTCTCAATATCTACAGACAGATTGTAGTGTCTTCTGAAGTCTGAACACCATTGATCTGTCAAGTTTTTCTGATCAGTTAGAGAATTATGCATCAATAATTGAGGCATACAATGAGAAGTTGCAAACAGTGCCGGTTTGGTTATTTATGGTTATGGACTCAGGTAAGTTAACCAGACCAGACTAGCATCCTAATTCTTGAAATTCTAAATCATTTATAAGAATTGAAGAACATATGAAAGGATATGAACATTACACGCATTTATTGCCTTCATGCTAGAATTTCTAACCAACAAATCTCATTCGTTCCATCCACACAAAACTTTACCATTTAAGTCCAAGACCTCCTTCTCGACACCAAGTGGTCAGATTTAAGCAGCTTTCTTCCATGCCGTTTTTGCATCGATTCATTCATGCACTGCATATTTGACAAGCATTCATTATCATATACAAACCACGGGTAAACTAAATCCTAGTGGCTTCGAAATGCTATAACTAAAGTATTAGCAAATCTATAATTTTACAAAAAATACAAAACAAAACCCAAGAGTGTTAAGTTTTGAGAGGAAGGAAACTGAATGAAACGAATAAATAAACTATCATTAAACTCTGCAGGCTGCAAATCATACTGAGAATTTTGAGAGTCAACTAAGGAGGCTAGTATTTGCTCAAATGTTTGGCCTTAGCGGCGTACAAGACAATAAAGGGATTTTAGTAAAATGAATGATACTGTAAACCATACAAGCATAGCTTTGTAGCTGTGTCTACTTATAAATCACTACGAAGGAGAATGGCCAAAGACAGATAGCAAACATAGGTTATGTAAGCCCTCCTCCCTATGAAGTATATGAAGTACTCGGGCAGCAAAAGTGCTCACTGGAAAAATACACATCCGTGTTAGGACTTGTAACAGAGAACATTGCCAGCTTAGATCGATGCGAAGGCCTCGAAGCTTTTCTTTTCGGCATTCATTGTGTGGAGGTGGAGTTCCCACCTGCAACCCAGTACTGCTTGACAGCAACCAACACCTTCTCTGGAACAAGGGGACCATCCTCATGGTCCACCATTTTAGTATCCCATCTCATCCCTCCAACTATCTTCTTCACCTTAATCAATACATCCACTTCATCACGGAATACGACGGCACCTTCTGGCCGCAAAATTCGGTCCATCTCAATAAGAATGTCTTCCCAATCACATCTGCAATATATTTAGATACAGCTTGTGAATAGAAGGAAAGAAGAAACAAAGCATCGAATTGATTTAGCATAAGAAACAATCTGGAATGGAAGTGGGTGATTCTACGTCTACTATTGCAAGTATGGCCATCCCAATCACTACTTAACGGCTACCACTCATCTTAGACATACATACACTATTGCTCATCATTGCAGTCGGATTCTTATTATGACTAGTTAATAAATAGTTGGTATTACATGTACATATACTATCATAACCAAAAAAAGGCTTTATGTAGTTTTGTCTTTAAGCGAAGTGCTCAGGGGAACGACTCAACTTTGTACCATATGAAGACTACATTGGATCCAGAAAAATGCACAAAGTTAGAGGCCCAAGACTGAAAGAAGCTAAACAGGTTTAGAACGTCACTGGGATTGAGCTAAATGAGCTTAACATTATCAAGGTCAATCCATGCTTACTGAAACAGCCAGATATTCAGCTTAAGACCTCTGTCTATGTATTGAGCCCAAGTACTGTTCTTTTTTCTTTTTATATTATTTATAAGAAACTGTAACCAAATATCTCATTGGATACTGATTACAGAAAAGCATTTGTGGATTGAGCCAAGGCTTTCTTCAATAGAGTACAAAGATCAATGCGCTCTTCTTGTAAACTGTTTTCATACCAACATCTGAACCCTCCCGTGAAGATTAAAAGCACACTTAAGAACGCCTAGAAATAAATGATTAATGAAGATATACTACTTACTTGCCATCGTACAAACTGAAAACACCATGGGCATGAATGAGGTCATATGTCCTTGGGTAAGTAGAGAAACCTTCACACCTGAAATAGCATCACCAGAAAAGAATAAATGATAACAAATGGCCAACATTAGTGACAGATGGGCTATGCTCCAGGGCTTATTTAGCACATAATAGTACACAGAACCTGACATAAAATGGAGGCAACATTTCTTTTACGTCAACCTATTTAGACAGACTACTTCTGTGACACTTTTTTGAAGTTTAACACAAATCTTCAGCTACCAAAAGGCATTTTTAGCAGTAAAGGAAATACTAATAGGTATCTTGAAAGCACATACTCCAGAAAGCATGTAATATAATTGAATGGTAAATGAAGGAATTTCCACATAATTTGCTGAAAGGACGCTTTAAAGAAACAATTATCAGATAGGTGGGAGAAGTTCAGAATAGGGTACCAGTCATGATAGATTCCAATCAATCCTCGCTCATATATGACACCCAGCGTATTTTTCTCAGCTATTGTGGGCACAACATTCATGACCCACAATTTTGGAGATTCAAGTGCTGCAGCAAAACCACCCAAACCAGCATTCATATCCATAATGTTGCGATACCTTCCTGAGTCAATTAGTTTATTGATTCTCCTATATGCATTTACATGCTTCTTCCATTTGTTGTTATCCTCCTTGTAGGCCTCAACAGAAACTCCGGGAACAGACCCACTAGCGATTCTAGGGGGTACAGCATAAAGCCTTTTTGGAAATGGCTCCAGCTCCCCACCAGCAGCTCCATCTGCATTGTTGCTGTCAGGATATGGAGTTATGCATGCCTCCATTTTCTTATACCTGATACCCATCACAATGAAGACAAATTAAGAAAATAAACGTATATCTATGTTAAACGGATAAGCAAAGCTCAAAACTGAGAGTCTGGCCCTTTTGATGCAAAATTTAAAACTAAAATTTATATAGCAAGGTTTTTTTTAATGCAGATGATAACAAACCCTGTGCTACTACTAAAGATTTAATGTAATAATATCTGAATACCATTAACATTGATTCAAAAGTGGTCGCAAATTGAGAACACAAATTGGATGCCTGTAAAGTTATAAAGGGAGAAATTATTGATCAATTTCTTTTGTCAATAAATAACTGAATGAAGGCCTGCCATTTAAAAAGAATGACAAACACAATGTAAAGTACAAGAAAATACCAGACGGCATCTGCTTCATCAGATTTGCAAAAGGTAGCATGGGAGTCATCTTTTCTGTCTCCACATGAATCAGTATTTACCCTCTTCTGCCAAATGGCAGTTTCACCCTTCTCAGACTTCTTCTCCCAGCAAAGAAGTTTAGCAACTTCTTCGATCTTTCTCTGTTCCTCCTCAAGCTCCTCCCTCGGACGCTGCCATGATTTGTAATTATTCCTCCAATTGATTGGAGGACCCGAAAGCACCCAATAACCCCCAGGCCTAAGAACTCGGTCAACTTCCATGAGATATTTTCCATCTGTGCATAAAAAGATAAAAGTTTAATGTCACAAATGACTACTGTTTATTAGACATCAACAATTCATACCAAGTAGAAGTGTTTTGAGTTTGGTGTATCTAATTCTTACCATTTACTCCCCATGGAATCAAACAACGAGAACAGTGAGCCATGTCAAACGCTCTGGATGGATATGGCAGCTTTATTGTTCCCAGAACACCAATAACTGCAGGTACACCCCTTTCAAGAGCAAATTGGACCTGTGCCTCATGGGAATCTCTGGGTGCAAACGACATGGCAAGAACATTTCTACTCAACAAGTACGCACCCCAACTGGCAACCTGAGCAAAATATACCATTGTTACATCATATGGATCACACATATAGAAGAACGTGTTAAATTTCCTCTCAAGAAGAGAAAGCGAAAATGAAAACAGATGGAAACAGGTGAACTGGTGGAACACAACATACCCCACAACCAGTGTCCAGTGCAGTTCTAACTGTCCCATTCTTTATTGGTATCACAGAAGCAAGCTGATCAATATACTTATCTGCCCCTTGAGGAAACTGTGTTCCTCCACCAGGGAACCTAAACACTTTACCCTCATATTGGATCCAGTTCTGGACAGCCTTTTCAACAGTCAAGCTCTTATAGGGTGCATTTGCATATGGTACATAGTCACGGCTCTTTGGCCAGGGGAATGGAGTTACATATCCCTTTGGTGCTGGAATAAGGCAATGTAACTTCTCTCCCTCCGGAGGGCAATGTCTCTCTCGATAATTCATATCGTCCCTTGGGAATGTCATTGCACGCTTCTGATCTTGGCATGGGGTGTAATCAGTGTAACGAGCATGACATGGTTTGAAAACTTTGGGCTTCGATTCAGATTCATCGATTTTCCCAGCTTCACCAGCATGGTGGGATTCAAAACTTAAACTTGGAATGATATTGCAGTCAGCCCCATTCTTAGTAATCTCTAAAGCTATACTATCTCCCTTCCCAAACCCACTTCTCTGCCAAGCACCCAATATATAGAAAAAACAGCACAAACCAGCTACAATAAATATTTGTACTGAGCTCCTAGTCCGACCATCTGCGTTCGTTTTCAGAGCCATAGCGCGCCTGAAATAATTACCAAAGTAATTTATTACAACAGAAAACGCAATCTGAAAAATGGGAATTCGAAATCAGCAATCTCACATACAAACACATTTCATCACAAATCTGTGTATCAAGAACCACAAAATCAGCATTAAATTTGCTTAACTTAACATCATATAAACACTATTACAATTACAAGAAAAAGCACTGCATGAATTCAGAACATAAATGACTAATGGATAAATTGACAAATCAATCACCAAACCAACAGAGCATTTAGAGTTATCAAACCTTGTGCGATATATAAATATTTCCTGTTACCAAACTTGATATGTCCAAAAAGTAACTAAGCATCCGTTCAAAGCAAGCATACCGTTTAATAACTATAAAAAGCAGAAAACTTGTGTAAGCAATCCATACTGGGTAATGCTCTGTTTGTTTAGAAATAGTAGGTAAGTGAAACAAAGATGGGAGCTTCGATTAAAACTGTACAGTTTTTGTTTCGCAAATGAGATCCAACAGAGAAAAGAGCTTCACTGCGCTGAGTTTAGATTCACTTCAGCACTATCCTGACAAAAATGGCGTATGTGGATCCAACTCTAATTACTCAAAGACAACACTAAATGAAGCAGCTGATTAAACACAGATCAGTAAAGACAAGAAAAGAAAAAAGGAGAGAGCAAATTGCGTACAAAAAGAAAAGAAATGGGGCGGAATGACTGGGATCGCTTACCAATCGCATAAGGAAAAGCGAACACAGCGGGTCGAGATCTATCAGACGTATCAGAGAAATAGGAAACAGAAGAGGCAATAAAAAGCAAAAGAAAAAGGGGAAATCTCAACTCTTTTTGATGTGTGAAATGATGGTGAGAGAGAGAGAGAGAATGGGGAGGAGGTGGTAGATTCACTGCTCAGTCTAATGGCGGTGAGACGTGTCGATAAGTCTCTGAAAAAACCTCAGAACGCTTTAAATGGGATTATCAGTTGTTTTGTGAACTTGTGACATTCATATGGGGAATTGGTTTTTTTTACCTCTGTTATCCGCAAACAAAAGAAAATAAAAATGATAAAATATAGTACGACATGAGATCACGGTCTCTCTCGCTATTAATTGAAAGTATTAATACATCAAGGACAGCATGAACCAGACAATTTAAAATAACAATTTTGGTGATATTTCATAAAAATATATATACAATTAATATTTTTCTTATAAATAAATAAAAATGAAAATTAACTTTTAAATGTGCACCGTCATGCATCTATGTGATGAACATAAACAGATCTAATCATGTTACGTGCCATCATGCCTCCGCAATGAGACCACTTTTTACAGGTAATTATCGCATTAGTCATTTTAATAAGAAACGTTCTAAGTCGTTATAAATACTTTTATTTTTTATTTTGAATGTTTAATATTTTCTGCCTTTCTTTTTATATATAATAAACGATTGGTTTTTTTATTATATAGAAATTATACTTTTCCACCGAACAAGCCTCTGTTAAATTACTTTGATTAATGAGTGTTTGGAGCTTGACACTTTGACAAGTGTTCACTTTCTTTATCGGTTTGTTAAACAAACGCGGATGTCTTACGGGACCCACACGCAAATTAAGGTTGGATTCCTATAGGAGATGGTAAAAATACAGTTGGCGGGGTATGTGGGACCCGTGCCCATAATATATCAATAGTGGGTATTGGTGGATCACCGGATCATCAGGACACTTGTTTTTTTGGTTGGGTCAGAAATCATATCCAGGAGTTCCTCTTGGAGGATCCACATTGGTCGTTTGATGGAGTGGAAATTATGGTACGGCGATGTGAAAATTTCATATTATATATGGAAACAATTTTAATTATCAACTTCCATCAGTTTCTTACATTTTTTATATATAGTAAATTTGGCTTACAAACGATTAAAAAAACAATCAAAATGATTACTCCAAACCCAACAAATGCATAGCTAGCATAGTCCACTCTTCTCTACCACATTATTACATCCTTCCAAGTTCGATCAAATACCATTTGCAGAAGCACATCATAAAAATCGATTTAATTAGGTACCAATATTGACAATGTGATGGAGTGGACCTGCAACCCATAAAACTTGATAAGCTTCGAGTATTATTGAGAAAAATAACTTTCCGTTGGATGAGGGAAAATAACTCGAGATTTAGCTAAAAGATGAGAATTGTTTTGACAACTTAAGCATAAAAATTATTAAATGACGCGCGACAAAATTTGAGGAAATTGGGGGTTAAGATTCGTAGTTTCATTTCCACCAAAAAGTGTGTCATTTCACTACTTTTATCGAGCATGAATTTGTTTTTCACTATAATTTTTGTAATTTCCAAATTTGATGTTCATAAGAAGAATTTGAATCGTAGTGGCCCATGAATTTATACCAAGAATTTCATTTTAGTTGAATATAAATTTAGGAATTATTGAAGTTAAAAATCCAAAAAAGATTATAATGGTTGACTAGTTGGCAAAATGATAGATAGGGATGATGCGAGAGTTAATGCCAAGAACTAGAATGGCCCCAATAAAAGATATTTACAATGGATTGTCAAGGGGAGGAAGGAAGCAAGCCAAGCAAGAGAGAAACGTAGGCCTTTAATTCGAGGACCACCGACATGATGTATGCATTTTGGCATTTTCTAAAACTTGTCATGTCACCGAAGTTTTTCACTTCTTCAAAAGGTCAAATGTTGTGTTTCTTTGATGCAAAAGTAATAGAAGGGATCATATATAAAATTACAACATACACACACCATGATACTATTTGTACCATATATACTGGTCATCTTTCTAGTAGACATAAAACTTATTTCTATTAAAGAGGTAATTAACAATATAATCAGTAAGTATAGTATAAATAACAACACTCGTAGATTTATGTGGTGATAATTTACGAGACCGTATGATGTAGGGTATGTACAAATGGCATGTTTTAAGATGAGTAGGGTGAGGAGGGCGGGCAACAAGGCAATTGGATGGTTACAAACGCAAAAGCTGTTGAAGCAAAACGATCTCAACACCGACAGGTCGGCAAGAGGCAAGAGGCAATAGGCAAGATCTTTAATTAAGTTCAAAATTTTAAATTAAAATATAAAAATTGATAATGTTGGATCAACTTTCGCTATCTGCTTAGATTAAAAATTGTATGTGTGACCGCGCTGTCCCATACAACTCACGACAATACAAAGAATAATCTCATTATTATTATTTAAATTGCAATACGACTTTATGTAATTATGTATTGTCAACACAAACTTGAAATGTAATGCAACTCACTTGGCATCACTTATTATTATTATTATTATTGGCATCGCTTTGTATTATAAAATTAATGTTGCAGAATTTTGTTTGTTCCCGTGGTTTTGTAATTAGGCATAGAAGAGTTTGCCGGATTTAGATCTGATCCAGCCGCTGACTGCTTCCACATGAACTCAATTTAAATTATGATCACAAGATCCTACTTTGCACCTTCCAAATAACATAGTCAACAAAAAAAGTCAGCTTCCCATATGGATAAAGTCAAAGGAATCTCATCAAACAATTGCATTAATAAAGTACAATCCGGGGAAGTTGCCTTGGAGTTGGATGTACATTTGGTTCGGCGATATGTTACAGTTCGACCCTGAGGTCAGGACAACGAAGAAAACAAAAGGCTATATAGAAAACTGCCGAGGCAGCTAAATTAACAACAATTAATCACACACACAAACTTCTTAGCAATATAACCACATCTGGACTTAGTTTGTAATTGGTACAATGGGGCCTAAAGGCCCAAAATACGAAGAAGCAAAAGGGATATTAAATCTTAGAAAGCCCAACACAAGTTTTTTCAGTGGGGCTCAAACCTCATCCTGGTACAGCCTTATCCCTCTCCATCTCCCTCTCTCTGTAGTCTGCATGCTAAAAGAGAAGAGAAGCATAAGCACCCAAATTTCACACATCAAATTCGAATACATTACTAAAACCAGCAATGGTTTACGCTCTGTTCACATCTCTAGCTCAATCTTCATTTTCAAGTTTCTCAGACTCACCCAAGCTAAGTTCCTCCAAATACCAAAGCCATGGCCTTTTTGTCAACGCCCACAAAGCTTTAACGCCAAATTTTCTCCACGCCAATCAACCCAGCTTACAAGGCTCAGAAATGTCAGAAGGTCGCCTTACATTTGCTTTTTCAATGGCGGAGGAACTCCCAAAGGCGATTTACAAGAAAAGGTTATCACTTTTCAGCTTCTACTAACTCTCAGTTGACTCAAACAAAACGACTCTGATAAAAAAGGACAAAAGTAAACATTTTTGTGGGTGAAATTCGCAGGAAACTGGAAAGCAGTGGCAGATTTTGAAGCGATGGGAGGTGCCCTGGGAATGGCAAACAGTCTCCTTAACATCACTTGCTTGTGGACTGAGGTGGGTTCTTAGTATTTAGTCTGTCAATGCTCATATAACTATGTTTAATGCTGGATTTCACAATTCAAAAGAATAAGATTAATTTTTTTCCCAGGCAGTTTTGTTTTGACAGGATTGGTAGAGACAGCGGCTATACCGTATTTAGGACTTCGAGTTCAAGATTTGAGTATAGATGAAAAGGCAGAGATACTGTTCCTTGATCAAAGGTATGTATTATCACATTGTACTACTTGTAATGCTGTGTGTTGGATTGAGAATTTTATGAGGGTCTAATTGGTTCAGTTATTGTTTTGCTAGTATTACAACTGCAGCTGTACTTGCAGTTCTGTATACTGTTGCCAGCACTTTCCAACCGCTGCCTCAAGACGTTTATCGCTATGGTACTGATTTTTCCAACTCCGTTTTTACTTTATAATAAGACAACAAACACACAAACACACACACACACACAGAGGTGAGAAAGGGTTCATGTTATCCCATTTTCTTGTAGTTGTCTCAATGAGAACACTTGTTGTAGGCTATATATGGACTGCGATTGATGCACAATACTGAATTAGGGATATTTGAATTTGGCTAGTAGGTCGTTGTAACTACATGCTTTGTCATTAAGTAGAGACAGACTTTTACCATATAGTTGCAAAATTTATATTTGAAAGCTCATCATTGCCAGATTCTGGTTTGTTTAAGCCTATATCTAGACTGTGACCTGTCTAGCTAATATTAGCTATTGCTGTTTCAGATTTGAAGGACCCTTTTAGTCTACAGAAGGGGTGGCTTTTGTGGGCAGGGATTGGTCTTGCTGGTGCAATAGCTGCCATCTCAGTGACAGGGGCTGCCGCGTCCTTGTTCAGAGGGGAGAGCCCAGAGAGAGAGGTTTGAATTGATTCCTACCCTATGATTTCTCTCTCGTTATAAAGTGCAGTGGACACAAATTCTATGATTCTTTAGAATCAATTCCACCATGTAAGGAATCATATATGTGATTTTTATTAATTTTTACTTGGTTTCAGAAGGACGCTTTAGTTAGCTTGCTTCCACTGATTGGATCTTCAAGTGTCAGGTACTTTACATGGTTTTTTCATTTTTGTGCATGTTCTGGGAATTGTAGTATTCATAGGCTTAGGTGTTGAAAATTTTCAGCACTAGGACTTGAGGATTCAGCAAGTTGATTCAGCTGTTGTTAATCTTCATTGCAGCACTGCTTGCTTGCTAGGCATCACTGGAGTTTTGGCTCCAATTCTTGAGGAAACTGTATTTCGGGGTTTTTTTATGGTCTCCATGACGAAGTGGTATTTTTCCTTGTTTTCCCTTTTATAGAGTTGCATAATATGCCTACAATGATTGATTATTTCTCTCTACATTGCTCTAAACATGCATGGTAGCTCCCCTAAACTTCCTTACAATTATTTTGAAAGTTTTCTCAATAATTTCTGTCCATAGATTTTGTTATCAATTTTCAGAAGTTTAAACTAGTGTGTTGGAAAGTAGAGGCTGGATTGACCCAAAAAAATAAGAAAGTAGAGGCTGGATTAACTAGTAATCTGTCATCCAGGCGATATTGTTTGGTTCACTCCTAAAACTGCTTTGCTTAATTAATTAGCCAGATTCACAAAATTCTACAAACAAGAGTGAAGCCTGAAGAAGTGTTAAGGCTGAGAAATATATGGTAGAAGAAACTGCTTTTTTAGCACTTATGTAGTAAAAATAGCAGAATCATCCAAATATTTGATATAAGGTTTTGTTGAGTTGGCTTAGGATGGGATTAAAATTCCTTGGTTTTAGCTAGTTTTAATATAGTTAGATACGTTATTGGTGTCAACTGTTCATTCTCGAGTATCTAGCCCTTACAATTTCTTTTTTGCAGGGTACCTACACCAGTTGCTATTGGAATAAGTGCAGCTGTATTTGCACTTGCACATCTCACTCCTGGAGAGTTTCCACAGCTGTTTGTGCTAGGTAACATGTTTACTTAAAAAAAATTTAAAACAATATTTTACATCACCTTCAACATACATTAATGTGGTTTAGGTATCCCCGAGCACAATTTATCTCATGTACTGTATGATCTATATAGGCTCTGCTCTGGGATTGTCATATGCTCAAACTCGCAACCTTTTAACCCCCATCACAATACATGCTCTCTGGAACTCAGGAGTGATATTGCTTTTGACCTTCCTTCAGGTAAACATGATGATTACCAAGTTTTGAAGTTATGACCCTGTATAATCTTTCTCAACAATGATTTATTTTCAATGTGGATTACTAAAACCGATCTTGCTTGTTTGTGTGACAGCTACAAGGGTACGATATCAAGGAATTGCTGCAGACAACTTGATAGGAGTTGAGTTTCTTTTTCATTGATGATACAGAGTATTTTCTAAGGGGTCCCTAGAAGTTACAAGCGTCTGTAAGTCCTGCAACTGCCTGCGGTTTATACTTGATCATGCTTGGCCATGGTTTTGGCCATATTCTTGTTCAAAGAGCAATATCTCCAATTCTAGGGCAAAAATGCGGTTTTTGGTCCAAACATAAGACCCCAGTTTTCATGAATTTGGGCAAAATTTGTGAAAATTATAGCCCTGGATAAATCTGGAATGTTCTAATTCTCTTAACCATGTATATGCCACAAATTGGCTCCCTTTGGCATAGAAAAGGGTTATTGACTGAAATGGTTCCCAACTTTTACTCAAATCTCATTTTGGTCCATGAACTAAAATTTCATTTCAATCGTCCTTCAATTCTCCATTTAGTATCAAATTGGTCATACTGTCGAAGTCTATCAATTTTGTGGTTCATTTTGTTGTTAAATTGAAGGGTAAAACTGTCCATATAATCCCTCACCTCATCACCCCTAAAACCACCTCACTCCCTGCCTTCTTCTGGTTCTTCGCCCAATAGATCAAATCAAATTAAGAAAATCAACATCCAACAAATAAAATCAGAAAACCAAATCAAGTAATCAATCAAAAGAATCACATCAAAAACCAACCCACCACCAAACCAAATAATACCCAACCATGCTTCAGCCACCCAACTTCCTCTACACACCGAACATCAGCTTCACCGTAGCCCCCACCCCCAGTTCAACCGCAACATCCTTCCCAACCACCATCGAAGCCACCCCATCACCCTAAATCCACCCAAGATTAATCCCCAATCCATATCACCCCAAATCCACCCAAGATTAATCTCCCCACCCAAACCCCCACTGTGATAACTAATCAAAATCAATCAAAAAATTGAAAAACAAACCCAAATCTCAAAGAAAGAGACGGAGAGATTGATGGGTATGTGGATTGGATATTTGGGAGATGTGTGTTGATTCAAAGGTGTGGGTAGTTCGGCCATATGGGTTTGGATCTGGTATCAGATGATGTAAGTTGTTATGGGGTGGGGGCTGTGGCTGGTGAGTGGACTACAGTAGGTGGCTGGTGAGAATCAATTTTTTCAATTTTTTTAAAAAATTTCTAAGTTTTATAATAGTTTCCTTTAATTTAGGGTTTAGGTTTATGACCAATTTGATATTTTTATTATTTATTAATATTTTAATTCATATGGACAATTTTACCCTTCTATTTAACGGTAAAATTGACAGACTTTGACGATAGGACCAATTTGATACTAAATGGACAGTTGAAGGACTATTGAAATAAAAATGTTAGTTCATGGACCACAATGAGATTGAAGCAAAACTTGGAATACCATTACGATCAATAAGAAAATGAAACATAATTAATTTGTTGGCTTAGTACTATGTATGAACATACGCCCAAGGCCATAAATGGTTTTGGCCGTTGCCGTATCTTGGCAACGATGAAGGAAAACTACAAACTGTATTTTGGCATTATCATGCCTTGGCCAAAGACTCTAGCCATATATTTCTAGCCATTTTGTTTTGGCTTTCTTGTCTACCATTTTCTTTTCTCAATAATTTTTTATTTATTTTAAAGACAACGAATACACGTACTATAGACATGCGTACGTATTCTTCACGTTTAATACATGTGTTTATTTACAAAAGTTTCATCTCTCATTTGCATGAAATTTGGTCATTTGTGAATTTTTAAGCCCAAAAAATTAAAATTTTAGATGAGTTTTGTAATAAACAAAATTTTAAAAATTCAAAAAAAGAAAAAGAGAATCAATATTATATAGTGGCCAAGCTTTTCGTTTGTATTTTGTAAAAATTTTGCCGAATAAAACACGTATATATTTTATTCATACTTTTTCATTTCCGTATTTTACCAACTAGTGGTTCTTGAGAGAAGAGTTTTCCCAAGAAAAAAAAGAAAAGAAAGAAGATAACATTGAATAATGTTGAATGGAAGAGACGAAAATTCAAAGTTCCAAACCGGTTAAATTCAATGTTCACAAAGGAGATAAGGGCTGTGCTTGGCCTAAACCTGCTCCAAGCATAGCTCACTTAATTTATTTATTTTTGTCAATGACCACTTTACATAAATCATCTCTTAGCTTTGTTCCCCTTTCGATATCTACATATAAGGACTTTGATTTGGTGTCTTCTTCTTCCAACAAATCATAATATTTCATATTTAAATAAATCCTCATTTTTTTTTGTCCATATTAAATTTTCAATTAAAAAATGCTACAAAAAAATCCTCAATTTTTTAGTCTCATATTACATATAAGAAAGGTATGCACATATTATAATTTTTTTTGTTTAAATTTAATATGATAACATGAGAAGAACCAAGTCAGAAGAAAATTAATAGGTGTAGAGTTGAAGATGACGAACCAAGTCCTCAGAAGAAGTAAAGTTTTCTTTCAGACAGCTCTTTTCATTAGTTTAATTTTACATAAAGGCAGCGTGATGACGAGGCATTAGAGGGCTTCTCATGAAGTATGGAGATAAAAAAGCAATTAAGTGAAGTTGTTATTCATGGAGAGCTTTGGTGCTATCTATGGTATGGCTGCGGATGAGTTTAAAGTATGATCTGATTAATGGCTGAGATACCTGCTGGGATGTTGTGAAGGTTGTGTAGATGATGTCTTATTTTTCCGATGACCTACTTTTGTTCTCAATCATCATATTGATTATTGATTGATAAAAAGCATAACTCAGCATACTTTTCTTGCACAAGGAACAACTAGATTATTTTATTAAGTTCATTCTTTTTAGCAATTTGCATGCATTTGTTGGCATTCTAATCATGTATTTTGAGTTTGTCGAGTTGAACCGTGTCCTGGCTGCATAATGCAGAACATACAATTGAATGTTTTTTAATGAGACAAATTATTAATTGAACTACTTCTCTTTGTTAAATTTTTTCAGGACTGTGAGCGCAGAGCACTACTAAAGCTATTCTGGCATAGGGAAGAGCCATCTCCTCCAGGACCTCCACCACCTGTTACTTGATCAGTAGTTATTATCTGCAGTTATTCTGGTAAGGTTAATTTGATGTTCAGTGTTTAGATTCCTAACAGTTTCTGATTGGACATTAGTTTGGTAAAAAGCCTCTGGTCCTATTTACCAAATTCATCAAAGTTTATGAAAGACCTTCCTCTGGTTTATGCATGCTGGGATGGAGACTGAAGTGAAAACCAAGCTAATGTCAGCTGCTCATCTCGCGAGATTGAATGGGTTAACTCGTTGTAGGCTTGTAGCTGTTGCTGAGCCTGAATGGCTGGTGGGGTATTGTTGTTGTTGCAACTTGCACCTGACCATGTAGCACACAGAGAGGAATTTAATTTAGCATTACAAAATGATCCAAAGATCGAACGGCCACAAGTCTCAACTGCTGTTTCAAACGGGGAAAGGCAGACCAAGCAATGTTGTTGAGGACATTGGTAGGGAAAGGACATTGGTAGAGAAACTAACAGGTTGTAATATTCGTTTGTATATAACCCTATACATTTTTAATGTAGAAATTCTTTTAGCTCACCTCCAACACACGAAGGGATGAGAGCCGTTCTGTACTTTGTAGAAATTCATTAATATGTGACATTCATCCAAATATCTATGAAAACTCATGTGGTTCTAATCTCATCTGCAGCACTGGCGGACCCAATTAAGGACAACTGTAGGCAGCTGCCCACACTTACCAAAAAACCTTCAGCCATATAATCCTACTTAAATTCATAATTTTTAATTAATTTTAGGTCCCTTCCAAGTAAAGCCCCCACATAGCCCATTCAATACACACTTAAAGCCCAAAACTTATATTAAAAAAGAAAAAACCCTAAATCCTATGTTAAAAAAGAAAAATAGAGATCCCACCAAGTTCACTCATTCTGTAATTTTGTGGAGAACTCAGCAACCAAACTCGTTATTTGACAGAAGTCTACAACCCAACAAATCAAATGGGAGACCAATGGATATTGTGAAGAACAGCATGCGTAATCGAATGGGAGACCAATGGATGAATGATTGCATGGTAGTATATCTTGAAAAAGACATATTTAATAGTATTGATAATGAGCTTATTATGCAACGTTTTCAGAATATGAAAAGTCGTCGAGGACAATTGTAAATTTACTTATTAAACAATGCTATTAATATTTAAAGTTTGAAATATTTTTTGTTTGATTATATTATGGTTAAATTTTTTTAAGCCCCCAGATAAACGAAAGTCTGGGTTCGCCTGCTTGCTAGAAATACATACAAGATAAAAAGTGGGCAAAAAGGTTTCCTCAATTGAAATGTTTTTTTTTTTTTTTTTTTTTTTTATTATTATTATGTTTGTTTGAATACTTAAAATGTAGTGAATAACTAAAAATATGTCCATAAAAGCAAAAGAGCCTCACATAAAGTTACATCAAGGATTTAGAATTTAGCAGCTTCGAGTTTAAGGACACTAAGAAGGACATATCAACTTATCACTTGAAGTTTTGAAGTTGGATTCCCTGTCAACTTATCCATGGAACTTGGAAGACATATCATCAACTAACTCAACTCAATTCCCCAGAAAAAGACATAAATAAACGAACTACGTTATGAACTACCCAAATCAAATCGAAGTTGAAAATTGGAGATGTGGGTCCAAAGGCAAAGACTATACTTAACATTATCAACAAGACAAAAAAAAACTCCGCTGAACTGAATGAACTAGGTTGACTTATCCTTTTTCTTTTTTTTGGTCCGATGATGACTTATCCTTTTTTTGTTATAATTACAACAACAATTAACACGTGCGGATACAAAGACAAAGAAAAAGGGATTTTTCTTTTAATTATTTTATTTTATATTATTCCAGTTTCAAAATAAATAATAAAGCGCCTTTTTTCTTTCTCTCAACCCAAACCCAACAGCTAGTTTCTCTTCTCTCTTTTGTCTCTTCTTCCTCTGGTTTTTCCGTACTGCGTTCCCCTACGTGAACGAACGACGATCTGCTATCACCAGTAAGCCAAAGCCCCGGACATGGAGACTGATCCTCCAAAGCAAACCAAAGCAACGGACAAGGAGACTGATCCTCCGAAACAAACCAAAGCCGCGGACAAGGAGACTGATCCTCCGAAACAATCCAAAGCCACGGACATGGAGACTAATCCTCCGAAGCAAGCCAAAGCCACGGACAAGGAGACTCATCCTCCGAAGCAATCCAAAGCCACGGACATGGAGACTAATCCTCCGAAGCAAGCCAAAGCCACGGACGTGGAGACTGATCCTCCGAAGCAAACCATAGCATCATCTCAAGACCATCTCCTCCAGGTCCCCATCTCTTCCGAGGTATTCTTCCACATCCCTCGATACCCATTTGGCTGCTTTTTCATATAATTGTGTTCTTGAAAAAGACCATCTGTTTTCTTTAAAAAGATTATGTTTTTGCTTATTTGAAGAATTTAGGGCTTCCCTCTTGTCTGTTGAAATCTGTATAGGGTTCTTGATTTGTATGCACTCTTTCTGTTTGTAAGGTGTACCATGAGACATCCTGACAAAAATCCTGGTCTTGATCTGTATGCATTTTTTCTGTTTGTATGCACTCTTTCTGTTTGATCTGATTACAAAAATCCTCCACAAGCCAATTCGTCCTGTACCATCAGGTTCATCTACAAACATCACAAACTTCATTTTTAATCTTTTTTTCTCTTCACACTGCCTTTCTGCAAAATTAAACTACTGAAAAGTTCTAATAGTCTGAAAAAAGATAAAACTCTACTTGTTCTGACCTGGTTTTTTCGTATGCTTTATAAGAATAAGAGTTCAATAAGGACTAGCGCATTAACCTTTTTGCTTGTAGGCCTCCTTAGAAAGTCAGAGCTTCCAAAATTGCAAGAAGATACTACAATAGTACAGTCGTTTATGTATGCCTTATCTTTCACATCTAAATCCATTCTGAGCTTGAGAATCCTGGGGGTCCTTTGATAAATCCACAATGTAGAGTTTTATTTTTAGCACAGAAGGATTGCTCTCTTTCCTCAAGTGTCTGGTGTCCTCCAAATCTAGGTCTAACAATATTTTCTTGATATGACTCTTTATGTTTATAATAATATGTACCATGAGTTGGTTATTAGACTTTGTTTACTTGTGGTCTATATTCTTGGGATATGCACTTGTTCTTGCATTATGAAGTTTCCTTTATTCATGTTTCCGTTTTTAGAATTTATATATTTATCCATATTGGAAATTCTCCTCAGCTGGCTTCAATTTTTGCACCTTTATTGCATTTTTAACATAAACAAGGCATGTTTACCAGGTCTCCTTTCTTGGGTGCATATATATTTGGCAAATTGTGGGACCTAATATCAAAGCTGAGGTAGTAAGTGGGTTAATTGGGTTGTATTTTGGGATTTAGAGGCCCGGGTTGAGAATTAGGGTTAATTGATTGCTTTGATAGCCCCTCTGGTCTGTTGTCCTCATATGCTGCACTCTTTTATTTGTTATATGTACCAAAAGACTGGTCCAGGCTTTTGAAATAGAAGGCACAAAATGGTACAGTGTATTTACAAGGTAGTTGCAGATTTTGACTGAAGCAGCCAGCACATCCAATTATGTTCTAATCTAATGGGTATGAATGTTTCACGGGGAGCATGTCAATTTCGGACGACATTCCTTTGCTTAAAAATTGAAAGCTCGGCTGGATAATGGAAAAGAATAAGATGCAGCTACAGATATAAATGACTAAATTGATTGAGTTATTAGCAAGACTTTGGAACTTTATACTCGGAGATACATGGGAACCTTTCTGGCTTCTGGCTGGCCCCCTTCATGGTTGAACTATTTTTTTTTGAACCTTATGGAATCTTTCTAGCCCCTGGAGGGTCCCTAAAGTAAAGCAATTTATGTGTGATTATTGAGTTACAGAATTATAATGTTGCTTCTTCAAATAAAAAAAGGAAAAAACAAATCCATCCCTGATGGACCTGATGGGGAGCTTTCTGTTCATACAATTTCTATGCTCCATTTTGTTTCTATTAAATTTTGAGGCATGTGAAGGATGAAAAAAGTGTAGAAGAGTTGTTAACTGTTTAACTCGTGTATGGTAGTTTAATTAGTCGAATGTGCTTTCCTTTTTTACAGCTTACACAGCCGACAATCAAAAAGGATGTGGTCGTTAAGTGCCTAGAGCTTTCTAAATTTGGTATATATCACCTCAGATGCGGTCCTCAGAGGAAATATGGACAAGATGTTTGACAACTCAATCATGTTAGGTTCCAGTTTTGAGTTGCTTCTTTGTGAAGCGCATTGAAAGTGGAGTGTTAAGGGCCCCAGGTTTGATCACAAAGATACAAGAAAAAGAAAGCTAGATTTGTAGCCTTGTAAGGATGTCATGGCGAAGGAAGGAAGCATTTGAAAACTGAAAAGTAACTTTCCTATTCACGTCTGAAGAAAGGTGCCTCTCTGCACACTTGAGCCAAAGCCTGTCAAATTATTAAGGGAAGTCTCAGCTTGAAACCTTGTTGCTGGCACGAATGCTTCTGGCCTGCTGTGGCGCATCATCTGTTGGTCGAAGTTGGTCTTCTCATGATGATATGTTTTGTGGGCATCTCCTGCAACTTTGACAGATTTTTGGCTCTTACAACCCAATAGAGCCGCTGGACGATGCCTTGGAATATCTTTGTTCATTCTTGCTTTGGCATTTCTGGTGTTGTTTGGAACCATTTTCATCGGACTTGGCCTTTGCTGATCTTCACAGTCTGGCAGTGACCACACTCCACTCTATGCTTGCCTCACTTGGGGCATAACAAGTTGTTGGGGTCATGCAACCAGATGTTGCAGCATCTGATGCCTGCCTTGCAAGAAAAGGGTTGGCTTTGCCTGTCAGGCTCTCTATCTCAAAAAGATCTGAACTTGCATCACTATCTGACTCATTATGGTAGATCACTCCACCAGAGTTTGCAGGAAACTCATCCCAAGGCAGCATTGAAAACAACCAAAGACAGCTACAATGGCCCTACCTCTCTAAAAGACCCACTTTAAGTATTACATCACCTAGGTTTTAGTTAGCCTTCCCAACAAGTTGAAGGAGCTTCTTTTTATGTATTGTGAAAGTTCCAGTTTTCTACATGCCACGATTTATATCCGCAGACTCTTCAACCATCCCATCAATCAACCTAGAGAGAGAGAGAGAGAGAGAGAGAGAGAGAGAGAGAGAGAGGGGGATAGAGAGAGAGATTTAGATTGCAATAATCTGCCATACAAGTTCTCCAGAGAATTTGAAATGCAGCAGTGCTGGTTTATGTAAAAAGCAAGATAGAAACACAATGCTGTATAAGAATGACCACATACCTCTTCATACGGTGGAAAAAATAACAAATAAACAAAGAATAGCTAGCTGATTGGCAAACTAACCTGAGGAGTTCCTAAACTACTGATTCAGGATAACATATTTAAAATTGCTTAAAGCAAATTAGTATAAAAATCAGTCCAAAATCCCTCTTATTACTGCTCATAGAAGAAAAAATGAATGCATCGAACTGCCTAATGCCCCAAAGATGATTTCTTTATATCTATATATCATGAGATGAGACATGCAGAGTATCTGAAGATGGAAATTTAATTACAACAAGAACTTCAACAGTGTTGAAGAATTCACATTTGACAGCAAACAATTGGAAAGAAGAGACCGGTCGCTTATGTTATGGCGACCGATCCGATTTGTGAATTCAGAGCATAGAATAGAAGTATTGAATTGAAACAACGACTAGCAGATAGTCAGCATGTTGAAAACAAAAGCATAAAGAAATGTTCATTAAGGAACGTCATTAGCTAGAAGAAAAGAAACTATATGTAATGTATCTTCATTTGCTACACCTACAGATGAGTGAAATATTCCAAGAAATACGTTTGTTTGTTTTGTAATGTTTGTGATGAGCAAACAACGGCAAAATTATCATCAGAGTCAGAGGAGAGGGAAAAAAAATTAATGTTCCTTATGATTGATACAGGACAGGTGGACAAATTGGCTTGTGGAGGAGAGTCATAGTTTTTGGTTTAGTAGTGAAGAATTTACCATTCTGCACTGGCAGGCATTTTGTTATCAGTACAGTAAGTAAAGATTAGCTTTTCCCTTCTTCTGGAATCTATATATAGATATGATCTTCTTATATGCAGACTACGTTCCTGAAGGTTCAGGTTTAGGTTCAGGTTCATTCATATTCATATCATAGTGCGGGCAGGCAGGCAGGCAGACAATTTCAAATTTTATTATTTTCATGCGTTGCCTTCACTTTCTTCGGTTAATTAATATTCTTTCCTTTCCAGGACTAGCAAAAGCTTTCCGTCATAGCTATACCTGTTATGTTACTTGAGTAATGGTTGTTTTGTTATAATAATTAATGGTTTATGTATGCTGGTAATGTAAGGTTAATTTGATGATTCTGTTCTGTGTGCCTGTGTTTTTGGTTTCCTTATTTTTCAGCTTTTGTTTGTGCATTTGCATTTTAATGTCTACGTGATGCAGAGCAGACATGTCTGAGTGAGGACATTACATTTACATTACTAGTCTAGGAGTGTAGGAGTTATTTTCCCAACTAAAATTCTATATATTACTAAAACCCAATGCAACTAAACACTGTAGCTTAGCACTGTGAAATGACGAAACTGCCCTCTCTTTTTACTGTCATAGCTATACCTGTTATGTTACTTCATTAATGGTTGTTTTGAGAAATTAAATAAAGAAAAGAAAGAGGGATAGATAAGTGGGAGATGGAACATTATTTTTTATTTTTTATTTTACTTTTAATTTTATTTATTTAGCTCTTTACTTTTGTTTTTAATTCTCCAAAAAAAAAAAAAAAAAAAAAAAAAAAAAAAAAAAAAAAAATATATCATATATATAAAAGACAGAGAATGTGTGCAAGGAAGCTTAAGTCGGACTTTTGAATTCTTTTTTTTTTTATTTTTTTATTTTTTTTATAATTATTGTGCTAATTTTGATGTACATGGATTTAGAATCTCTTCATCCAAACGAAGCCTTACAAGAGGGTGTACATATAACACGTATCTAAAGTGGTGGAAATATAACACGTATATAACACGAATCTCTTCATCCAAACGAACCCTAAACAAACACATTTGCCAAAAAATATATACTCTTAAAGTTATAAACTATTATGTTTAATATATTTTTTCGGCAAGGCCTATTTTAGTATATATGAATATTTGTATGTGACCTAAGAAATGAAACATATATAACACCTATACACTAAAAATAATGCAATTATCATAAGAAATTCGAAATTTTCTAGAAAACTATGGAAAAATCAAATCGGAATGGGTTCGATAAACTTCAGAATTTTTTCGGATCGGAATTGTAGAATTTTCGGCATTTATCATAAATATTGGATTCGGCATTTTTGAATATCGGATTTATCAGAGTCGGATTTTTTTTGTAAATATTCGGACCGGAATCGGATTTTCCAATCCAACTTACACCCCTAATTTCTTAAAAAGCAAACTTGAAAACAAGAAGGTGGTTTGTATGTGCTGCCTCCCCGATTGGATCTTCATTGGAGCTCTCTCACAGCTCAATCATTCTTTACTTCATGAATTCACACGTACGATTTGGCCTTCCAAATTTCATTGACAGATCTTCTGACTTGACTTGGATTTATTTCACTTCCTCAAAGAAAATCATGGGTTTCAATAAAATTTTGGAAGTCATATGGACAGAGGAAGAGTATAAGGGGAGAGAAAAAATAGTGGGAGAGGGTGGGGGGTTGCAGGTGAGGGTTCGGGATGCAGCTATGGCGTGGGTTACGGGTGGGGATGGGGGTGGTGGGCGAGAAAAATAGCAGGGGAGAGTAAAGGGAGAGGGCAGATGGGGGATGGGAAAGAAGAAAAAGAATTTTCAACCTTTTTCTTTATTTTGTAATTATTTTTTATTTTAAATAAATATATATATTTTATCTTATCCACATGTCACAACATTATTGGAGATGTAGAGCCCACTTACCTTTCAAGTTAGCAATTTAACAGAGTTTCTAACAGCACAGACCATTTTTATGGTGTCATTCGTGGTCCTCAAGGTTAGTATGTGAGATCACAAATAGTCCTTACCGTTAGGTTTCATCAAAAACTCCGTTAGTTTGCTGACGTGACATATATATATATATATCAAGTAGTTTGCTACGTGGCATATATATATATATATATCATTAAACATCCTTAAGGTTTACGCACCTATCACAAATGGTCTTTAATTTTTTAATTTAAAATTCATAAAATTTTGGTTTTCTTTTTAAAATTGTTTAAAAATATATATTGTATTTTAAATACAAGTGAAACTATCTTATTGAAGATGTGGGCTCCACATCTATGCCACATCAACCAATTAATGGAGTTCTTAAAAAATCACTTAAAAATGAAAAAAAACCAAGGGTTTAGGGTTCATAAATGGTCCTCAAGGTCAAAATCCTTCTACATATAAACCATGTTATTAGTATTTATTTTGTAACTTAAACTTGCTACATATTTTCATAACTTTATACACATTTCAGACGGTTTTAAACCCGCAGGATTGCACAGGCACCTTTGCTAGTAGTAAACGAAAACCCAATTTTGTGTCTTTGCTTTTGTTGTGAAATAGGGGTGGGCATCGGGACAGGAAAACCAAAATACCGAGCTGAATCAGATAACTAGAAGAAAAATCAGTTGACTAAAAAAGTCAACAAATCGGATCGAATCAGACCGATTGTGTATTTTTTTTTAAAACAAAATTATTTAAATCTGATGCTACATTTTTAATCTCATAACTAATATTTCTTGAAGCCCAACTTCAAAACTTCTCTCTTTTCTAGGCCCAATATCTCTCTTTGTATAGAATTGAATCATTTGTTAATTTTCAAGCCCAAAAAATAAAATCTTAGTTGAAATTTGTATAAAAAAAAATTTGAAAAAATAATAATACTAATCCGGTCCAAAATTGGAAAAACCGAAAATTGGACTAAAATTGGTTCAAATTGAACTGGTCGATTTCATAATTTATGTTTATTAAAACTAGACCGAATTAGACCGGTTAAATAGTATCGATTCCAGTTCCAATTCGAGGTGAAAACATATTGAACCAGACCGTGCCCACCCCTAGCGAGAAATAGTGGTTACATTTACATTACTAGTCTAGGAGTTATTTTCCTAACTAAAATAGTAAACGAAAACCTAGTAAAATACTCGTATTATACATTTTGAGTGGTTGGTTAGCATTTTCACGTTTAATACTCGTATTATACACGTAAGTACGTATTTTTAAAAAATATTTAGGTTTTATGTACACTTTTTAAAAACTCAATAAAATACACTTTTTAAAAGTCAAACATACAATACGCGTATTATAAACGTACATACGCATTCTTCAGCGTTTAATACACGTGTTTTTTGATAAAAGTTTCACATTCCTTTTGCATGAAATTGGGCCATTTGTGAATTTTTTAAGCCCAAAAATTTGAAATTTTAATTGAGTTTTATAATAAACACAATTTTATAAATTCAAAACTAAAAAAAAATTTCAATATTATACAGCGGCCAAACTTTTCATTGAATAATGTTGAATAGAAGAGAAGAAAATTCAAAAGCAACACAAATTAGGTTGGGTTGGGACGCATCCAGCTTCACCCAACACGACGAGGAGGCTTTACGCCCGCCATAACATAAGTTAAGCTGGCACAAAAACTGCAACTGCAACTCCGGGCAGGCAGGCATCGGCGGACAAGACCCACTGATGAGGGAGGTTGAGGCTGGGTACGGATCCAATGAGTCTATCCCTAGCGGAGCAACAAGACCCGGTGCTGCTCCATTACGTCGATGCAGCATCTCAAAAGTTGCAGAAAGCTCGTCGATTTCATGGAGGTAAGTTAGTTTTCAATTTATCCTTTTTATTTTATTTGGATTTTCACTCTGATTAAGATTAATCAACCAATCTCTATTCAATTTAAAAGTTTGGATGTTAATTAATATGGTTTGGTTGATTGATGAAGGCGATTAATTTTCAACTTTCGAACTTAAAGGCGATTAATTTTCAACTTTCGAACTTAAAGGCGATTAATTTTCTCTAGTATCTAGTCTAGACACTAGAGGAAGGGATTTCCTAATTGTTTCTTTTTACAACCCAAAAAAAAAACCGATAAGCTTTTAATTAATTCCTTTAATTCTTATTAGGATTTCCTTGTTCATGTTGGAAAATGGTTTCCGTATTCTTAGAGGAGATTTGTTTTCAATGCCTTTTCCTTGTTGATGTTGGAAAATGGTTTCCTTATTCTCAACGGAGATTTGTTTTCAATGCCTTTTCCTTGTTGATGTTGGAAAATGGTTTCCTTATTCTTAAAGGAGATTTGTTTTCACTGTCTTGTTGTTTTAAATTAGGAGTTCACTTCACTTCTCCTCATCATCAACTACTATATATCAAAGCATTCTTCTCTGCATCACAAGCATACAATTATACCCTCCTGCAGTTTCTTTCTTTTTTCTTCTCTGTTCTGGTTTTGCCTTTTCCTTGTGTTTCGAATTCAAAATTAAAGTTTCATAGCAAAGAATTCATTTTATGTCCGCTTTTAAGTTTGATAAGGACCCCTGTCGTCGTAGGACCACGGCTGTCAGCTTCAGCAATGGGGAATGGGCAAGTTATCCAGCACTTGTCTTTTTGATTCTGGATAAGTTATTAGAACCCATTGACCATGTCCGTTTTGCTGCCGTCTGCAAGAAATGGCGTTCTATGTCCAAAATCTATAATCAGGCAACACAGCGGTGGCACAACAAACAACTTCTCCCCATGCTCCTGATCCCGAACCAGGACAAAAACAACGACCGAAGAGTATTGTACAGCATTTCTGAAGGAAGAATCTACAACAATATTCAACTGCAAGTTCCTTTTAAGAGGAGGTGTAGTGGCTCTTGCCATGGCTGGTTTGCCACAGTTGATCCAACAGACCAAGGTGTAGTGACCGTAACACTCAGGAACCCTTTCACAAAAGCAAATCCCATTTATCTCCCTCCCTTGAATGCCCATATCTCAGTTTATGGACCATCCTACTTTGAGCATTATGTTCCTAAGGTTATCTTGTCCACTGACCCCACTCTGAATCCGGAGAATTACGTGGTTGTAGCACTTTACCGTTGCTGGTTTGAGTTGGCTTTCATCAAGGCAGGCCAAAACTCCTGGACCTACGTCAACCCTGCTGGAACTTCATATGGTGATGTAATATTCTATAAAAGCCAATTGTATGCAGTTACATCATTTGGAGCGATTGGGTCATTGGATGTTCATGGTAGTGATAGTAATAACCCTTCACAACCACCATCGATAAAGCTACTCACACCTCGAAAGCCATTCCGATCTTATTGTTTTCATGCATATCTTGTGGAATCAACTAAGGGAGACTTGCTGCATATACTAAGATATTATGTGCCAAAGGACGGTGCTTTTAGGTTTTGTAATAGGCAGACACTGGGATTTGCGGTTTACAAGTGGGTGTTGAACGATGAAGAAGATGGAGGTTCTATTGCGCACAAGGTTGAGGTAAAAAGCATTGGAGATGAGGCTCTGTTCGTGGGCGACAATCATTCAATCTCTGTTTTGGCTTCAAACTTTCCTGGATGTCAGCCAAATTCCATATATTACACCGATGATTTCCTATCAACTTCTCCTTTGTCAGATGGTGATGAAGCAAATGATATGGGGATCTTCAACTTGGAGGAAGGAACCATCACGCAACATTACTCAGTGAAAACCAATACTCAGAGAGCTATTTGGGTTGTGCCACCTTTTAATGGACTATGTTAGTCTAGCCTCTAAATCATCTTACTATTCATTGAGCGTTGCCTTGACAAGTTAGGATGTTTTTGTAGATTTTTGCTTTATTTATTACTGTGTGCCAATTGGGTTTTTTTTCCAAGCTGAGCTTTTCATTTTCATTTTTTATTTCTTTAAATTTAAATAAAGTGTGAATGTACTATTTTACCCCTATTTAATAAAGTGTCTTATGTTTAGTATTTTCATTAATCGAGGGCAATTGTGGGGATTTTGAATATTTCACTTTTAAGGCCTTCCACCTTTATATATATAGAAACATCATATAATTGGAACTGTTTGTTTTATGTGTCACGACTTAAACAATTATGAACCAAGCTTAAAGAGAAAAGCTTGTTTAGCTTAAGTTTAGCTTAGCAGCTGGAAATTTATTTATTTATTTAGTTTCTTTTGCATATTTGAAGAATGAAGTAGAAGATTTGGTCTAAACCCCAAGCTGCAGTCATCAAAGTTAGATGCGAAGAACAAGATTTGAAAATTAAACTTATTAAAAATCGCAACCTTCACAGTCCACAACCTTACCTCTGATTTACCACCAACCACCCATCAGCCTATGTTTGGCAACAAAGCACAAAACGAAACACAACTTACAAGCAAAGCAAAGAAGAAGAAGAAGAAGAAGTAACTGTTGAGATGGTGATGGACAGGCAAGGAAGAATATTACATGATGGATGCACAATAACGATATGATATTCGAGACAGGGTTGGTTTCAAAATTGTTTGATGAGGAGGAGGTGAAGGAAGGAAGGAACCATCGGCCATGTTTGGTGACTAGGATTTGAATTAGGAAGTAGGATTGCGCTATATTGGAAATGATAAATATCATTTATTGGCACTAGCCCTGGTTTGTGTTGCGGCGCCCGGATCTTGGGTCCAAAGGTCAAAGGCGTTGGAGTAGTGGAATTATGTATCCCACCTTTTTGATAAGATAAATTATCCTAAACAAATGCACATAATAGGATTATGATAGGATTATCCTTTACGGATAAAATTAGAGGAATTTTACTGGATTGGGAGGACAAAAATGCACATATGATATGGTGATGATTTCCTATCAACTTCTCCTTTGTCAGATGGTGATGAAGCAAATGATATGGGGATCTTCAACTTGGAGGACGGAACCATCACGCAACATTACTCAGTGAAAACCAATACTCAATGGACTATGTTAGTCTAGCCTCTAAATCATCCTACTATTCATTGAGCGTTGCCTTGACAAGTTTAGGATGTTTTTGTAGATTTTTGCTTTATTTATGTACTGTGTGTTTTTTTTTTTTTTTTTTTTTTTTTTCATTTTCATTTTTTATTTATTATAATTTAAATAAAGTGTGAATGTACTATTTTATCCCTATTTAATAAAGTGTCTTATGTTTTGTATTTTCATTAATCATGGGCAATTGTGGGGATTTTGAATATTCACTTTTAAGGCCTTCCACCTTTATATATATAGAAACATCATATAATTGGAACTGTTTGTTTTATGTGTCACACAACTTAAACAATTATGAACCAAGTAACTAGAAATTTATTTATTTATTTAGTTTCTTTTGCATATTTGAAGAATGAAGTAGAAGATTTGGTCTAAACCCCAAGCTGCAGTCATCAAAGTTTGATGCGAAGAACAAGATTTGAAAATTAAACTTATTCACAGTTCACAACCTTAGCTCTGAATTACCACCACCACCATCACAGTTACAAACCCTTGCGCAAGCAAATTTTGTGCAACAAAAAATTATTCGTCGCTCAAAGTCATTTGCGCGACGAAACTCAAAACTTCGTCGCTCAAAGTCTTGCGCGACCAAAAACAATTCGTTGCGCGAAAAAACTTTTGCACGGCGACAATACATCGTCGCTCAAAGTGACTTTGCGCGACGAAACAATAAAGTTCGTCGCGCAAAGTCTTTACAAAAATAAATAAAATAAAAAAATTATTTTTAAAAATCTTTGCATGACGTAATCCAAACATTTCGTCGCCTAAACCAATTTATTTTTGTTTTTTATTTTGTATGCATAACACTTAAGAAATTAAACGGTATATATATATTTATTAAGTAGCTTTAAATTTATTATTTTAGATCGGATCGGATTTTTGTTCGAAAAATATATTATTGTAGTTCGGATTGGGTTTTTGCTAGAAAATATATATTTTAAATTGACGATCAAATTAGTTCATTGTATTCATATAGGGTCAAGGATTGTAGCTGTAAAAAATCATCAAAATCGGAGTTAAAATAACCGTTAAATCGTGATTTTTCATTTATAACAGTCTAAAATATTTGTCCTGTTACTTGATCTCCGAATGTTTATTTTTTCCGATTATTGGCGTATATAATCTCGAAGTATAAACAAACAAGTTTGACGGTTGGATCGTTAAAACTAGTTTCATAGAATGCGTATGCCATCAAAACAATATGTTCACTAACAATTAAGAGTTTATTTATACTTTCGTTAAATATAACATAAGATTATGTGGGATCCACTAGTGTAAATACTTTAAATTGAAGATCAAATTCAGTCATTGTATTCATATAGGGTCAAGGAGTGTAGCTGTAAAAAATCATCAAAATCAGAGTTAAAATAACCGTTAAATCATGATTTTTCATTTATAACCGTCGAAAAGTTTTGTCCTGTTACTTAATTTCTGAATGTTTATTTTTTCCGATTTTTGGCGCATATGATCTCGAAGTATAAACAAACAAGTTTGACGATTGGATCGTTGAAACTAGTTTCATAGAATGCGTATGCAATCAAAATAATATATTCACTAACAATTAAGAGTTTATTTATACTTCCGTTAAATATAACATAAGATTTTGTAGTATCCACTAGTGTAAATATTTTAAATTGAAGATCAAATTCAGTTATTGTATTCATACAGGGTCAAGGAGTGTAGCTATAAAAATCATCGAAATCGAAGTTAAAATAACCGTTAAATCTTGATTTTTCATTTATAACCGTCGAAAAGTTTTGTCCTGTTATTTGATCTCTGAATGTTTATTTTTTTCGATTTTTGGCGTATATGATCTCGAAGTATAAACAAACAAGTTTGACGGTTGGATCGTTGAAATTAGTTTTGTAGAATGCATATGCCATCAAAACATTATATTCACTAACAATTAAGAGTTCATTTATACTTTCGTTAAATATAACATAAGATTTTGTGGTATCCACTAGTGTAAATATTTTAAATTGAAGATCAAATTCAGTCATTGTATTCATATAGGGTCAAGGAGTGTAGCTGTAAAAAATCATCAAAATCAGAGTTAAAATAACCGTTAAATCATGATTTTTCATTTATAACCGTCGAAAAGTTTTGTCCTGTTACTTGATCTCTAAATTTTTATTTTTTCCGATTTTGGCGCATATGATCTCGAAGTATAAACAAACAAGTTTGACGGTTGGATCGTTGAAACTAGTTTCGTAGAATGCGTATGCAATCAAAATAATATATTCACTAACAATTAAGAGTTTATTTATACTTCCGTTAAATATAACATAAGATTTTGTAGTATCCACTAGTGTAAATATTTTAAATTGAAGATCAAATTCAGTTATTGTATTCATATAGGGTCAAGGAGTGTAGCTATAAAAATCATCGAAATCGAAGTTAAAATAACCGTTAAATCGTGAATTTTTCATTTATAACCGTCGAAAAGTTTTGTCATGTTACTTGATCTCTGAATGTTTATTTTTTTCGATTTTTGGCGTATATGATCTCGAAGTATAAACAAACAAGTTTGACGGTTGGATCGTTGAAACTAGTTTTGTAGAATGCATATGCCATCAAAACATTATATTCACTAACAATTAAGAGTTTATTTATACTTTTGTTAAATATAACATAAGATTTTGTGGTATCCACTAGTGTAAATATTTTAAATTGAAGATCAATTGAGTCATTGTATTCATATAGGGTCAAGGAGTGTAGCTGTAAAAAATCATCAAAATCGGAGTTAAAATAACCGTTAAATCATGGTTTTTCATTTATAACCGTCGAAAAGTTTTGTCTCGTTACTAGATCTCTGAATGTTTGTTTTTTGCGATTTTTGGTGTATACAATCTTGAAGTATATACAAACAAGTTTGACGGTTGGATCGTTGAATGGTGTGTGTATATATATATATATATTTATTAAGTAGCTTTAAATTTATTTATTTGTATGTATAACACTTAAGAAATTGAATAGTATATATATTTATTAAGTAGCCTTAACCTTATTTATATTTTAAATCATAAAATAAAATAATTTTATTTTTTATTATTCATAACAATTATTTTTATAAATATTGTGCTACGAACCAATTTTTCGTCTCTCAAAAGTTTGCGGGACCAACAGTTCGTCTTGCAAAAATCTAAAAATTTGGGCGGGTAACAAAAATGTGACGCGGGAAATTTTATTTTATTTTATTTTAAAATTTTAGACTTTGCGCGACCAATTTATAATTTTCATCGCACAAAAATTCAAAAATTTGGGCGGGTATCGAAAATGGTACGCGGGAATTTTTTTTATAATTTTTTTACGCAACCAATTTTCCAATATTTTTCGTCGCGCAAAACTTTAAAAATTTGGGCAGATACGAAAAATGGGACACAGGAATTTTTTTTTAGACTTTGCCGACCAATATTCCAATATTTTTCTTCGCACAAAATTTTGCGCGACCAATTTTTCAATATTTTTGGTCGTATAAAACTTTGAGCGACCAACAGTATTTTTCGTCGCGCAAAACTTTGCACAACCAATATTTTTCGTCGCACAAAGTGATACAGTTTTTAAAACTAAAATAACTCCTCCATCATTTTCTCAATGTCTTTCTCTACTCTTACCTCTCTTCTCTCTTTCCCTTTCCCCAAATCTCCCCCTTTCTCTCACACTCACTCCTCTCACTTAATCTCTCTTCTCTCTCTTCACTATCTCTCACTCTCACTCACTCTCTTATCTCTCACTCTCACTCTCACTCACTCTCTCATCTCTCTCTCACTATCTTCTCTAATTCTCTCATACTCACTTCTCCCTCTCATTCTCACTCACTCTCAATCTTGCCAAAAGGTATATTCTCTCCTAATTTTAAATTTTTTTCATTAATATGTGTTTCTGGAGTTAGTTTTGAGTTTGTGTGGGCTTTGGGGTTGAGTATAGGTTGAGAATTGGAGTTTGGGTTGGATTTGTGGTATAACAATTTTAGGGGAGATTATGCCACATTTTTTCTTTTCCTTTTTTGTTACTTGACCATATTTGTTTTTTGTAGGGAATCGTCGAGACTTTGACGGCTAAAGTTGAGGATTAGTATGCTATCGAAACATATCCTCCGCCACTACCACCATAATAGGCTTGTATTAGGATTTTATTATTGCAATTTGTTAATTTATGTGTACATTTTCAATATTATATATATATTTATTGAATAATTTGATCACTATTTTTCATATGTAATTTTATTTTGAATAAGTTAATTTAAATTAAAGTAATTAAAAAAAATATACAATTAAATTAAATTTAAAAAGTAAAAAATTCGAAAAAATTAATATAATTAAATTAAAGTCATTAAAAAAATCATACAATTAAATTAAATTTAAAAAGTAAACATTCGAATAAATTAATATTAAAGAAATAAAACAAAAAGTCAAAAACCTTGCGCAACAAACTATGAAATTAGGTTATTTTAACTAAAAAATTTTAAGACAGAAAAAATATTTCGTCGCGCAAAACTCGAAAAATTTGGGTGGGTACCAAAAATGGGACGCGGGAATTTTTTAATTTTTATAATTTTTTTTGGGAGTTCACTTTTTTTCATCGCCTCAAAAATTTGTGCAACCCAAAAATTACAATCACACTCAAAACCCATTTGTAAACACACCCAAAAAATATACAATTGTTGATTTTTTGATTTTGGGTGTGTTTCTATGTTTAAATTGTGCTTGGGTTTTTTTTATAAATACATGTCTAGGATTGGGTTTATTTATAAATTTGTATTTTTTTTAAGACTTTGTGCAAACCAATAATACTTTTCATCGCTCAAAAGTTTGTGCAACCAATACTTTTCGTCGCGCAAAACTTTGCACAACCAATACTTTTCTTCGAGCAAAGTCTTTCTTTACGATCTTTGTGCGATAAAGTTTCTGTCGCTCTTAAATTTGTGCGACTAAAATGTACTTTGCGAGACGAAGTTCTATTCGTCGCGCAAATTGTAAAATGTAGTAGTGTATTTAGTCTGCCAATCGTCATATAACTATGTTTAATGTTGGATGTTATTTCACAATTCAGAAGAATAAGATTAATTTTTTTCCCGGACCATTTTGTTTTGACAGGAGTGGTAGAGACAGCAGCTATACCGTCTTTAGGACTTTGAGTTCAAGATTTGAGTATAGATGAAAAGTGTCACGGGATGAGCGAGCGGCGCGGTGCGGCAGAAGCGAAACACAAATTTCGCCACTCAAAGCACACCTGTGAGGCCCAGGATCCCTTCAGATCCCAGTCAGCCTTCTCCCACTTCATGATATTCATGACTCTCACAACTCCGCGAGAGGTTCCCCTTCAAGTGTCGTCTCCCACTAGACAACGAGTCACATTACCTTGTGACAATACAATCACTCTGCATCCGGCAACGAACCATCGACGCCCATACATCAAGCGTTGCATAAGACACGTCAACTGCATCGACCACGTCACATGCTTAACTCATGGCTCGCTCATGTCCAAGTCAAGACATAGCGATCCAACACACCATCGGTTTACCCACACTTCTGTCGGTCATTCATTTAGCGTCCACGATAGCCCACATCCTCAAGCTATACACGCAAGCTGTCATACTTGCATGTCGCCTAAGCCTTGGCGACATATGTTTTCCGAATGTCCCACATAACTGTTGAACACAAAAAAAATTATAAGACAAGGAAAGGAGCCCAGGATAAAAGCCCAAGACGTGAAGGTTGATCTTTAGGGTTGCTGATTGTTCCTTCTAGAAATTAAAAGGGGATAAGGTCAGTTTTCAAAAGAAATATAAAATAAAACAAATAAAAAATAAAAGGTGGGAAGAGATCGTGTTTATCCTTGGCAACTCCATTCAGCAGAGAAATTGCCCACTTAGCAAACGTGCTTCCCCAACTGCTGTTCATCTTTTGCCTATAAAAGACATGAACGTACAGAGGACAGCGGGAGGAGAAAAAGAAAGGAGGAGATGCTGTAGAAAAGTGGGGGGGAGGCTGAAAAAAAGAGCCTGCAAGGCGACAAGGACAGGAGGAGAAAAAGAAAAGAGGTGCTGCAGGAGAGAAAACACAGAGAGGAATCAAGGGCTGCAAAGAGGGGAGGAGCCGAGAAGCAAGAAAGTGCTTCAGAAATTGATATTGAAGCGTGAAGAAACGATACCCAAGGTCCTGCAGAAAATTTCAAATAACAGAAAAATCAAGGAAGAAACAAAAGGGCAGGAGCAATCAGAGAAGAAAGGCAAGGTATAAAGTTCATTCTTTGCTGTAAAACTTCAGGGTGTCTCTCAATACAGGTTATTCCTTTGCGGCTCAAAAACATCCGATGCAAAGTTTAATCCAACAAGCCTCTGTAAATGGTAGATCATGAGTTCTGCGTGGATGCCAACATCTTGAAAACACATTTCTTTATGAAAGCAACAAATATCTCTCATATCAATCTGCCATAAAGGCTTTGAGAATGTGCGCTGCGAAATTCCTCCATGTCCTTGCTGTCAATTTGTCAGAGATCTCAAGAAAACTGCAGACGGAAGGATTAGATCCTTCCCAGAGATAAAATAGTGGTGTCACTGCAACATTGCATAGAAAGAGCTCTCGCAAGGACCTCCTTTCTGTGAAAATATACAGATGGGCATCCATAAGAACCCCTCTGTATTAATCCTCCCAAATTGGCAATAATTGTGCTACTTACACAAAGAGAGCTCTCACAAGGACCTCTCTGTTGTGAATTACAGATGGGCTTCCGCAAGAACCCCACTGTACAAGTGCTGTGAACACCTTGTGAGTGTCCACAGGCACATTGTGGTACTCAGAGAAGACCTTGCGAGTGTTCTTGAGTACCAAAAACAGAAAACATCAACAGTCCAGACGTTTTATTACATGCCCAACCCACCTTCAGCAGAGTAAAATTCCAAATTTGCAAATTGGAGAAAGAACAGGTGGCAAACGTGCTGCAAATGGAGAAAATCAATAACTCTGTTTTAGTCTCACCCATTGGCATAAACAGAAGAAAATATATTAAAAGAGATGCAGAAATTACTGAGTGCCAGAAAGCTTACAAGAGCCGATGAATCACACCCAGGTTCTGTGCTTCAAAATTTGCCAACAAAGAAAAAATCCCAAGCCGGACAGCCCACGAAAATTATTAAGCCAACACTCCTCTGTAGCAAAATGCAAATATCATAAAAGCTTCTCACTTTGTTGCTGGCAAAATATGAAGCAACTGAGACAAAGCAAAGCCAGCACCTCAATTGGCAGCTGGCTCTCAGACATGGACTCTTTGTTTATGGGCCAACTAATATAAATGTTACGGCCCGAAAACAAATTGATGGGTTGACAAAATAAATTACCCATTAACTCTCAAAAGTCCAAAATATTTTATGGGTGGTCCAAATAAATTATGTGGTTAATGGACTAATCCTTAAAACCATATGTGAGTAAATTAATTGGCTCATCAAAATGCCTTTTAATTTTCTTTGGACTTTAACAATAAAAATGGTACAAAACCATTCCACATTTTCTCATGGGTCATCTACCCTGCGAATTTTCAATAAGATCAAAATTCAAATTTCTCAAACATAAAATTCTTTCAAAGGGTCATTTACCCTTTGAAGGTCCAAATCTTGGAACTACGTCGGTTTGATCCCAGCAAGGGTACGTAGGCAGTCTAATATCCCAATGGACGCAACCGCAACTAAATTTGAATCCCTGGTTTTATCCTAACCAAATTCGTCCACACTCAACCATTAATTTCCAGTTTTTTCTCATGGGTCATCTACTCATGAAAATTCCAATGAGATTAAATTCAAATATCTCAAACACAAATTCTCAATTAGTGGGCCACACTTACCCATTAATTTTCATTTTTTCCCATAGGTCATCTACCTATGAAAATCCCCAAATTATCTCAAATATACAAATTCTAAATTATTGGGCCACACTTACCCATTAATTTCTAATTTTTTCTCGTGGGTCATCTACTCATGAAAATTCCAATGAGATTAAATTCAAATATCTCAAACACAAATTCTCAATTAGTGGGCCACACTTACCCATTAATTTTCATTTTTTCCCATAGGTCATCTACCTATGAAAATCCCCAAATTATCTCAAATATACAAATTCTAAATTATTGGGCCACACTTACCCATTAATTTCTAATTTTTTCTCGTGGGTCATCTACTTATGAAAATTCCAATGAGATTAAATTCAAATATCTCAAACACAAATTCTAAATTATTGGGCCACACTTACCCATTAATTTCCAATTTTTCCCATAGGTCATCTACCTATGAAAATCTTCAAATCGTTTCAAAGACACCAATTCTAAATTATTGGGCCACACTTACCCATTAATTTCCAAACTTGGAACTACGTCGGTTTGATCCCATCAAGGGTACGTAGGCAGTCTAACATCCCAATAGACGCAACCGCAACCAAATTTGAATCACTGGGTTACCGCAACCAAATTCTCACCAATCAAATCTCCATACAAATCAATTCTGAACTACGTTGGTTTGATCCCTTTGAAAGGGTACGTAGGCAATCTAGAGATTCAATCTAGATGCAACCATCCCCAAACACCCCTCAATCGATTCATTCAAATTTCCCTTTTTGCAACGAGTCATCTATTCATTGCGAATCTTTGAACTACGAGTGGCTTGATTCCTGCAAAGGATACGTAGGCACCCTGAGGTTGAACTTGGGAGCAGCCGCAAAACCAAACACTTACATTCTGTTTCTTTATGATGGAATCAAAGGGTTTTCCCCTTGTAGCGAGGGATTGTAATTAAGAGACTTGCGTCTCGAATGGGTCGAACCTAAAATAATAAAACCCCATTAATTAATTAGTGGTGGTGAAATTATGTTTGGAGGTTTACAGTTTTTATCTAACATAATTTTTGGCACGCCCAGTGGGACCCATTTTCCCTTTCATCTCCATTCATAAATAGACTAATCATATTTACTTGTGTTTGTTTGTCTCAAAAAAAAAAAAAAAAAAAAAAAAAAAAGGCACCACAAGATATGCTCTACTTCCAAGAGCCCCTTCAGAGTTATGGTTAGCAAGGCGACTGCAAATGTCATTAATGCCCAAGCCACAAAAACTCCATTTAAGAAGGCAACCCCAAAATGCATAAAAAAGGGTTGTTAGAGCACCAAGGAAGAAAGTTAACTGTAAAGTTGTCCCAATCAAAGATTTTGAAGCTGCTGCAACAAACGCCATTATGGCTAACTTCTTCAAAGCCATTAAAGTTCCAAGGCTATCAAAGCCTTTACAAGCACTCAGTCATGATTGGTTCAATCTTTACCAACTTGGTCTTTCCAGCTTCAACATCAATGGTGGCTAACCATGAAGGACCAACCGCTGTCAACTTGAGTATCACAAAACCTATGATGGTGATTTCTGTTGAAGAACACTCACTATCCAAGTATGCTCACCAAGTGGCTAAATCATCAAGGTTGAACAAGTCCAAAAAAATTCATAAATACAAGTAGAGCAAAGTAAAGCTCTGCCAATCAAGTGGCGAAAGGTTGAGCACCGTTGGGTCCAGTACCCCCCACTCACAAGTCAAGTCAAGACGTGAAGCTGATATGTAACAGGGGTTTAATCTCCTAAGCTTAAAGTCAAATCAAGACATGGAACTGGTATGTCACAAGGGGCAGCCCACAAGTTGTAACTCAAGTGAACACATGGAAGTGAAATCAAAACATCAAGCTGATATATGATAGGGGGCAATCCCCACAGTTGATATATGACATGGGGCAGTCCCCTCAGCTCAAAGTCAAGTCAAGACATGAAACTGATGTCACAAGGAGTAATCCTCTCAGTCAAAGTCAATCCAAAACATGGAACTCACATGTCACATGAGGCATCTTCAAATTCCCAAGGGGAAGTCAAGATATTCAATGGGTCGTACTGTTACTCCAAAGCAATGGGCGACGTCACATCATTCCTGAAGGATGCTTTTAGCCTCAAATGTGATGAGGTAATGAATATTTCAAAACCAGCAATCCAAGTTCGAGGCTAGAAGATAAAAAAAGACACAAAGTCTGAAGCCATGTTAGTCTTGTTTACTATTGCGGATGAAAATAGCCGAACAAAATGCTCAAATAGCTTGACTAATGGTTTAGTCCACTCCAAGGATAGTCAAGACAAGCGTGAAAAGAAAGAAGGAATAAGGAAGCAACAAAGAAAGTTCTCATCTTACAAAAAGGATGCACATGAACAGCCTGCAAGCTCTCTTGCCGCCCTTGCTTAATTGTTTTCAGCACTGTTCTTCCCAAGTCAACATGAGACTAAAGAACAGGTCTTACAGTGCACCATAGCCTATGGAAAAGACTACAATGTTGATACTGAGGTGGACGAGGTCACTTTACGTTCTGGTCAAGCACATCATATCTGTTAAAGGAAATTGAGCTTTCTTAAAATTTGAGCATGGGAAAGTCATACAAATATCCTTTATGAAATGATGTGACAATGGAAGTTCCAACTCCCGATTTTCGCAGTGAATTTGATCTCAATAAAGACGCTACATGTCATTAAGATATGTGAATGACAAATGCTCTCTCCAGTGTTGACCATACCATACATGGGTTCAATAAACTTGGACAAAAAGCCATGTGCTCTTATCACACTGTAACTGGAAATGTGAATTTCTCCATGAGCTATTTCGTCTATGTGATAACGTCCTATTAAGTCCTCCGTGACTGGATGTATATGACGCCATCTATCCTATGCTTCACCAATGTTTCAAATATTTGTGGAGTAAATGAGGGTTTTAGCCAACTCTGATATGCTTATAGGGGAATTGATAAATTACTCAAATGCAAAGTTTTATGGATCGCCTGGCCTTACCTTAGCTCAACCTTCAAAGCTGAAAAGCTAGGTGTGGAGTGAAAAAAAAAAACAAAAAAAAAAAAAAAAAAAAAGGGAGGGGAAGCAAAAAAAAGGCACTTGAGTCCAGCCAAAAACCATTTGAGTAGACTATGCATCTTGTATTAGGTCATCCTCAAGAGATGAATGAGTTGTGAAGACCAAGCCAAAGAAAATTTTCAAGTTCTCGATAAGGGACCAAGGAGAGTCCAGTTTGTTTGAAACATATAATGAGGGTCATTTATGACGTGTTACACTTGGGCTCTTCGAAAGATCAATCAGCCCAATTCGGGGGCAGCATAGTTTAAAAAAAAAAAAAAAAAAAAAAAAAAAAAAAAAAAGCGAAAGGAAGGGGAAAAGCAATGCCAACCTCACATTCAACAAGTGAATGGCATACTCAAAGCAATTTCCCCTAAGCCAAACTCAAGCGTTTCTGAACCGGAACTTCTCACTACCCTCAAGCAATCATGTTTAGAGGAGATGAAGTGAGTACCGAACTGCTTCACATCTTGGTATTCAAAAGCCCAGGGGCAAAAAGCCACCATGCACTTTAGTCTTTCAATGTTTGGAGGATCTTCCAATAATTAACAAGGGAAGGTTCACATAAACTAAACAAAAATGGAAGATCAAGGTTCAATGAAGGGCAAATTTTCAAAAAGGTTCAAAAGGGTTAAAAGGGAACAACGACATAGCTCAAGTCAATTACACCTTCGCCAAGGAGAAAATAGAACAAGATGTCAATCGTTCGTTTGCAAAGGAATTCCATTGACACTGTTCAACTAGCAGGGACTCACGTCTTTACTAAGGCCTCTGCTAATGTGCTCATGAGTTCTCAAACTCTAAAGGGAAACACTTTCTGCCTTGTGACAATGGGAAGTTTGTTAAAAAAATTTTTAACGGTCCATTGCATTGGAAGCCCGAAAGAGCTGGATGAAAAAAATGTTTCCTGGGTCCAAAAAACCCAAAAAGGCTGCCAGAGCAAAAGAACTACGGTTGACTTGATTCCCAAAAAGGATCGTAGGCAATTTAGTCCTAAAAAGCAGATGCAGTCGCAAATCTCAATGTCTCTTTCTTTACCTCAAATAAAAGAGACGTAGGCAAGCAAGCCCAAAAGCTAGTTCTAGCCACAAATTTTCCACCAATGGTCTTAGCACGTGGTTAAACTGCTGGTATACTACACAAGAACTCCAATATCACACGATATAAACTGTGAAGAGAAAAAAAAGAGACAAAGCCACGTTGGACTAAAAACCCGAAGGACGTTCAGCAAGTTAGAACAAAAAAAACAAAAAAAAAAAAAAAAAAAAAAAAATGCTCGTTGTTGCCGAACCCAAAAAGCAGTTCAAGCAAAATTTGCTTTTAAAAAAATATGTATGTGGGCAAAAAAAAAAAAAAAAAAAAGAAAGAAAGAAAGGGAAAGAAAAATGTAAAAGAACTACGGTTGACTTGATCCCTCAAAAGGGATATGTAGCATCTAGTCCCTAAAAGGCCAGATTCAGTCACAACTTCAAAAAACCTACCTTCATTACCTCATTCAAGGTGAACTACGTTTGGCTTGATCCTTTTACAAGGTACGTAGGCAATCTAGCCCAAAAGCTGGATGCAGCCGTAAAATATCAAAATTTTTTTTTTACACCAAATGATGAGCACGTTTTAAACTGCAACACAAGAACTCCTGACCCACACGAGTATAAACTGTGAATGGTTAAGCAAAAGAAAACCAAACTCTTGTCGAGAAGGGAAAGTTTTCAAGCCTTGCACGCGAAAAACTGTTTCACGCACAATGCTTGAGGGGGCATCTGTTGAACACAAAAAAAATTATAAGACAAGGAAAGGAGCCCAGGATAAAAGCCCAAGACGTGAAGGTTGATCTTTAGGGTTGCTGATTGTTCCTTCTAGAAATTAAAAAGGGGATAAGGTCAGTTTTCAAAAGAAATATAAAATAAAACAAATAAAAAATAAAAGGTGGGAAGAGATCGTGTTTATCCTTGGCAACTCCATTCAGCAGAGAAATTGCCCACTTAGCAAACGTGCTTCCCCAACTGCTGTTCATCTTTTGCCTATAAAAGACATGAACGTACAGAGGACAGCGGGAGGAGAAAAAGAAAGGAGGAGATGCTGTAGAAAAGTGGGGGGAGGCTGAAAAAGAGCCTGCAAGGCGACAAGGACAGGAGGAGAAAAAGAAAAGAGGTGCTGCAGGAGAGAAACACAGAGAGGAATCAAGGGCTGCAAAGAGGGGAGGAGCCGAGAAGCAAGAAAGTGCTTCAGAAATTGATATTGAAGCGTGAAGAAACGATACCCAAGGTCCTGCAGAAAATTTCAAATAACAGAAAAATCAAGGAAGAAACAAAAGGGCAGGAGCAATCAGAGAAGAAAGGCAAGGTATAAAGTTCATTCTTTGCTGTAAAACTTCAGGGTGTCTCTCAATACAGGTTATTCCTTTGCGGCTCAAAAACATCCGATGCAAAGTTTAATCCAACAAGCCTCTGTAAATGGTAGATCATGAGTTCTGCGTGGATGCCAACATCTTGAAAACACATTTCTTTATGAAAGCAACAAATATCTCTCATATCAATCTGCCATAAAGGCTTTGAGAATGTGCGCTGCGAAATTCCTCCATGTCCTTGCTGTCAATTTGTCAGAGATCTCAAGAAACTGCAGACGGAAGGATTAGATCCTTCCCAGAGATAAAATAGTGGTGTCACTGCAACATTGCATAGAAAGAGCTCTCGCAAGGACCTCCTTTCTGTGAAAATATACAGATGGGCATCCATAAGAACCCCTCTGTATTAATCCTCCCAAATTGGCAATAATTGTGCTACTTACACAAAGAGAGCTCTCACAAGGACCTCTCTGTTGTGAATTACAGATGGGCTTCCGCAAGAACCCCACTGTACAAGTGCTGTGAACACCTTGTGAGTGTCCACAGGCACATTGTGGTACTCAGAGAAGACCTTGCGAGTGTTCTTGAGTACCAAAAACAGAAAACATCAACAGTCCAGACGTTTTATTACATGCCCAACCCACCTTCAGCAGAGTAAAATTCCAAATTTGCAAATTGGAGAAAGAACAGGTGGCAAACGTGCTGCAAATGGAGAAAATCAATAACTCTGTTTTAGTCTCACCCATTGGCATAAACAGAAGAAAATATATTAAAAGAGATGCAGAAATTACTGAGTGCCAGAAAGCTTACAAGAGCCGATGAATCACACCCAGGTTCTGTGCTTCAAAATTTGCCAACAAAGAAAAAATCCCAAGCCGGACAGCCCACGAAAATTATTAAGCCAACACTCCTCTGTAGCAAAATGCAAATATCATAAAAGCTTCTCACTTTGTTGCTGGCAAAATATGAAGCAACTGAGACAAAGCAAAGCCAGCACCTCAATTGGCAGCTGGCTCTCAGACATGGACTCTTTGTTTATGGGCCAACTAATATAAATGTTACGGCCCGAAAACAAATTGATGGGTTGACAAAATAATTACCCATTAACTCTCAAAAGTCCAAAATATTTTATGGGTGGTCCAAATAAATTATGTGGTTAATGGACTAATCCTTAAAACCATATGTGAGTAAATTAATTGGCTCATCAAAATGCCTTTTAATTTTCTTTGGACTTTAACAATAAAAATGGTACAAAACCATTCCACATTTTCTCATGGGTCATCTACCCTGCGAATTTTCAATAAGATCAAAATTCAAATTTCTCAAACATAAAATTCTTTCAAAGGGTCATTTACCCTTTGAAGGTCCAAATCTTGGAACTACGTCGGTTTGATCCCAGCAAGGGTACGTAGGCAGTCTAATATCCCAATGGACGCAACCGCAACTAAATTTGAATCCCTGGTTTTATCCTAACCAAATTCGTCCACACTCAACCATTAATTTCCAGTTTTTCTCATGGGTCATCTACTCATGAAAATTCCAATGAGATTAAATTCAAATATCTCAAACACAAATTCTCAATTAGTGGGCCACACTTACCCATTAATTTTCATTTTTTCCCATAGGTCATCTACCTATGAAAATCCCCAAATTATCTCAAATATACAAATTCTAAATTATTGGGCCACACTTACCCATTAATTTCTAATTTTTTCTCGTGGGTCATCTACTCATGAAAATTCCAATGAGATTAAATTCAAATATCTCAAACACAAATTCTCAATTAGTGGGCCACACTTACCCATTAATTTTCATTTTTTCCCATAGGTCATCTACCTATGAAAATCCCCAAATTATCTCAAATATACAAATTCTAAATTATTGGGCCACACTTACCCATTAATTTCTAATTTTTTCTCGTGGGTCATCTACTTATGAAAATTCCAATGAGATTAAATTCAAATATCTCAAACACAAATTCTAAATTATTGGGCCACACTTACCCATTAATTTCCAATTTTCCCATAGGTCATCTACCTATGAAAATCTTCAAATCGTTTCAAAGACACCAATTCTAAATTATTGGGCCACACTTACCCATTAATTTCCAAACTTGGAACTACGTCGGTTTGATCCCATCAAGGGTACGTAGGCAGTCTAACATCCCAATAGACGCAACCGCAACCAAATTTGAATCACTGGTTACCGCAACCAAATTCTCACCAATCAAATCTCCATACAAATCAATTCTGAACTACGTTGGTTTGATCCCTTTGAAAGGGTACGTAGGCAATCTAGAGATTCAATCTAGATGCAACCATCCCCAAACACCCCTCAATCGAATTCATTCAAATTTCCCTTTTTGCAACGAGTCATCTATTCATTGCGAATCTTTGAACTACGAGTGGCTTGATTCCTGCAAAGGATACGTAGGCACCCTGAGGTTGAACTTGGGAGCAGCCGCAAAACCAAACACTTACATTCTGTTTCTTTATGATGGAATCAAAGGGTTTTCCCTTGTAGCGAGGGATTGTAATTAAGAGACTTGCGTCTCGAATGGGTCGAACCTAAAATAATAAAACCCCATTAATTATTAGTGGTGGTGAAATTATGTTTGGAGGTTTACAGTTTTTTTCTAACAAAACCATCAATGCATTGCATGGGGTCGCACCCATGCGTACCGGCATCCGAATATCTTCCTTTCATCTTGGACAAGGCCGAACCCAAGCCAAGTCCATCGAGTATTGTCAAATGCCTCTCTAGCCGATGGCATAGCGAATGTCATACGTTGACCTCACTATTTGCAACGATGCGCAATACGAACGGCTCCGCGTGTTCGTACTGTCCTCGGGAATTCCTTTCCCTCGGAGACACAGATTATCCTTCAACAATCTTATGCCCGCCCTTATGACTCCCTTCAATGTCATAAGGATGCTCGCTTAGTGCCACAAGGGTGTAAGCACCAGGGGTGGTGGAGAGCATGACACCATGTCACCCCCTATATAGAATTTTATGCATTTAGCCTTCTGCCAGGAGGGAACACCACCTATGCACGATGAGTCATAATTGGGCATAACTCCCTCATATGAACTCCGAATGGCGAACCGTCAGTTGCGTTACCTACGTCTCAATATCACGAACATCCCCGTATTTTTAGCTTCTTCAGGGTCCTCGCGTAACCTTTAGAAATACCCAAAATACCCTTCATAAGTGCAACCCAGCCAACACCAACCATTCTAGCTTTTAAGCTCTCGCCCTTGCACACTTAGACTACCTCTTAAGCGCATAGATGTCCCAACGGAGTCATGGTAGCACTTGTCTTGTGCGACCCGTGACAAAAGGCAGAGATACTGTTTATTGATCAAAGGTATGTATTATCACATTGTAATTCTACTTGTAATGTTGTGTGTTGGAATGATAATTTTATGAGGGTCTAATTGATTCAGTTATTGTTTTGCTAGTATTACGACTGCAGCTGTACTTGCAGTTCTGTATACTGTTGCCAGCACTTTCCAACCGTTACCTCAAGACATTTATCGCTATGGTACTGATTTTTCCAACTCCTTTTTTACTTTATAGTAAGACAACAGAGACACAAACACACACACACACACACACAGAGGTGAGAAAGGGTTCATGTCATCCCGTTTTCTGGTAGTTGTCTCAATGAGATAACACTTTTTGTGGCTTATATATGGACTGCGATTGATGCACAATACTGAATTAAGGATATTTAAATTTGGCTAGTAGGTCATTATAACTACATGCTTTGTCATTAAGTAGATACAGACTTTTACCATATAGTCGCAAAATTTTGATTTGAAAGCTCATTATTGCCAGATTCTAGTTTGTTTAAGCCTATATCTAGACTGTGACCCATCGAGCTAATATTAGCTATTGCTGTTTCAGATTTGAAGGACCCTTTCAGTCTACAGAAGGGGTGGCTTTTGTGGGCAGAGATTGGTCTTATGGTGCAATAGCTACATCGCAGTGACAGGGGCTGCAGCGTCCTTGTTCAAGGGGGAGAGCCTAGAGAGAGAGGTTTGAATTGATTCCTACCTATGATTTCTCTCTCGTTATAAAGTGCAGTGGACACAAATTCTATGATATTTCAGGATCAATTCCACCATGTAAGGAATCATATATGTGATTTTATTAATTTTTACTTGGTTTCAGGAGGACGCTCTAGTTAGCTTGTTTCCACTGATTGGATCTTCAAGTGTCAGGCACTTTACAAGGTCTTTTCATTTTTGTGCATGTTCTGGGAATTATAGTATTCATAGGCTTAGGTGTTGAAACTTTTCAGCACTAGGACTTGAGGATTCAGCAAGTTGATTCAGCTGTTGTTAAATCTACATTGCAGCACTGCTTGCTTGTTGGGTGTCACTGGAGTTTTGGCTCCGATTCTTGAGGAAACTGTATTTCGGGGTTTTTTTTTATGTTCTCCATGACTCAGTGGTATTTTTCCATGTTTTCCCTTTTATGGAGTTGCATAATATGCCTACAATGATTGATTATTTCTCTCTACATTGCTCTAAACATGCATGGTAGCTTCCCTAAACTTCCCTACAATTATTTCGAAAGTTTTCTCAATAATTTCTGTCCATAGATTTTGTTTCAATTTTCAGAAGTTTAAACTAGTGTGTTGGAAAGTGGAGGCTGGATTAACTAGTAATCTGCCACCCAGGTGACATTGTTTGGTTCACTCCTAAAATTGCTTTGCTTAATTAATTAGCCAGATTCACAAAATTCTACAAACAAGAGTGAAGCCTGAAGAAGTGTACAGAAATATATGGTAGAAGAAACTGTTTTTGTGGCACTTATGTAGTAAAAATAGTAGAATCATCCAAATATTTGATATAAGGTTTTGTTGAGTTGGCTAAGGATGGGATTAAAATTCCTTGGCTTTAGCTAGTTTTAGTATAGTTAGTTATGTTATTGGTGTCAACTGTTCATTCCTGGGTATCTAGCCCTTACAAGTCCTTTTTGCAGGGTACCTACTCCAGTTGCTATTGGAATAAGTGCAGTTGTATTTGCACTTGCACATCTCACTCCGGAAGAGTTTCCCAGTTGTTTGTGCTAGGTAACATGTTTACTTAAAAAAATTTTAAAAACAAAAGTCTACATCACCTTCAACATACATTAATGTGGTTTAGATATCCTCGAGCACAATTTATCTCATGTACTATATGATCTATATAGGCTCTGCTGTGGGATTGTCATATGCTCAAACTCACAACCTTTTAACCCCCATCACAATAGATGCTCTCTGGAACTCAGGAGTGATATTGCTTCTGACCTTCCTTCATATAAACATGATGATGTCCGAGTATTGAAGTTATGACCATGTATAATCTTTCTCAACAATCATTTGTTTCAGTGTGGATTTACTAAAACCGATCCTGCTTGTTGTTTGTGACAACTACAAGGGTACAATATCAAGGAATTGTTGCAGACAACCGATAGGAGTTGAGTTTCATTTTCATTGATGATACAGAGCATTTCCTAAGGGGTCCATAAAAGTTACAAGCATCTGTAAGTCTTGCAAGGATTACTTAAAAGTTGCCAAAGTTTAGAATTTTTATTTTTCTTTGGTTTTTGTTTCTTGGTGGTGGTTACCCATATCCCACAGTCATGAGTTTGTATTAGAGACCTTGAACCTACTTTCGGCTCTAACAATGGAGACACGGAACATTGATTTGTATATTGTGAATTGAAGACAATAGTGAGGGGTTTATTGCATTCTTGGACTCTCGACAATATAATACTATTTAACTTATGAAGATTAGGGTTAGAATGGCTGAAAAGCTTAAGTAGCCGAGTATCTTTTAATTAGCCTATGAGTTGTTGACTAAGTTTCAACGAAGTACTACAAATTAAATAGAAATTGCCGAGGCCTGGTTTCATATGCACGTTTGAAATAAAGAACAAAAAGTATATATAATACATTAATTTAAACATTTTTAACTCTTTCAAAATTATTATTTTTTGTTGAACATAAGCGATAGTTTAAACTAAAGGGGAACACACACAACCAAAATGCCATGGAGTTCAAACCTAAGACGATGAGACCTCGCAAGTCAAGCCTTTTCAAAACCAGTTTCAAAAATGGCCTTAATTCACATAATAAGTGGACATTGTAATTATTAGATGAATAATAGTTATTATGAAGATTAGGCAGCCGCGTAATGGTTTGAAGTGAGTGTGGTTGGTAAAATTCATGACTTTGGTCCTTAGAATTGGCCCTTTTGCAATTTACATGGCAAAGAGAGTTACGAGTGAAATTGAAAAGCTTATTTTTTTTGTTTATTATTATTATTTATGTTCGAGTGGGAATTGACAAATGTTTCAGGGGGTACTGTAGCACTTAAGCCTTAAATAAATACTAGTACTTATCTTGGAAATTAAACTTTGCTTTGTCTTCATTTGCAATGGATAGACCGAAACTTCAATTATAAATATATAATATTTGAGAGAAATAATGAATAAAAAATGTGTTCATAATCCCTATACTATAAGCTGATGATATATACAGGGGTGGGGTGGTTCCTTAAGATTCCACAACTTGGATTAATAAAACAAACCCTAAATTGGGTTGATTAAAGGTTTTCTCTTGTGGGATTAGAAATTAAGCTCAATAGACCGGGTCGGCCTATGCTCGATATGGGCCGTGTTTGGCCCGAACCAGCTCCAAGCATGGCTCACTTAATTTATTTATTTTTGTAAGGACCACTTTACATAAATCATCTCTTAGCTTCTTTCCCCTCTCAATATCTACATTTAAGGACTTTGATTTGGTGGCTTCTTCTTCCAACAAATCATAAATTTTCATATTAAATAAATCCTCAATTTTTTTGTCCCATATTAAATCTTCAATAAAAAAAAGGCTGCAACAAATCCTCAATTTTTAGTCCCCATATTACATATAAGAAAGGTATGAACATATTATAAATTTTTTGTTTAAATTTAATATGCTAACATGAGGACGCAGTGACCGGTCGTTTTTTAGCAAAGCGACGGGTCGCTTTGCACAGGGACTAACTCGTTGCTCTCGGGTTTGGGCGAACGGTCATTTCCAGAACTAACGACGGGTCCCTTCTGCTCCAGACTTCCTATTTCCGCATCCTTAAGCCAGCAAACCAATAGTGTGTGTCCTAATGCTACTCACGGCTTCTCCATTTATAGAGGAAGCAGCTCCATCTTCATTGTTTAATCCAACTCTGTCATGATGTCCATCACCAAGTGGATGTTTATTCCCATGTGCAGATAAAAGAAATCAAAAGAAAGCAACCACTTGACATGAATTTGTTAAGTGATTTCATATATATATATATATATTATTCCTTCTCTCCCCGTCTGATTGGTCCACTCATTCGGACACTCTAAGGCCCTCATCGGACAGAATTCATATGACTGTAGCTGACTGATATTGAAGAGCCCTTTGAACTGGATCTTCGGACATGAATCTGAGAAGACTGCACTTATCCAAATGCTCCCATTTTTGGATATGTTATACTAGACATCAGGGGGAACAACTCTCATGACGGAGTCGACTTCATTAGATAAGGGAAGCGAGTCCGATTGCTCTCTCAGACACACTGATTGTCACTAACGACATCCCTTTGAACAAGCTTTAGTGCTTAGCACTCAGAAAATGATATACTGATCAGATGGCTCCCATTGTTGGATATGTTGTTGTAAACACTTGTGGGAACATCGTTCATGAAGAAGAGAACTTCATTTGAAGAGTGGAAAATTTCTTTCGGACACAATGCATCTGACTGACGGTCATGTTATAAAAAATATAGTTTTCCTTTTCCGTAAACCCAAATACCAAAACATTTATATTATAAATAACTTATAAACAAATTGGAAAGCTTTTAAGGTACAATGAAATTTAAGAAAACAAAATAATAGGTAAGTAAAAGCAAAATAAATAATAAGTAAGAAGGTGAGTTTGGTACGGTGAAACACATCAAAGACGCTGTCCTAAAGCCTTTGTAGCCTCCTTACATGCATGCATTGACGGTCTACAAGACTCTAAGATACGACCCCTTGTACACAAACTCAAGATACGCTATGAGCACGTTCATAGACGGATATAGGTATCCAAGTCACAAAACCATTGCCAAAATAATAATATAAAGTAGAGTATATATGTAAAGGTAGAAAAGGAGAGAATTAGTTTGTGGTGGTGATTGTGGTATGTGATATTCTGATGGTGTATTGTGGTTTTTTCAAATGTGAAGGAGGAGTGGCCTTTTATATGCATCCAATAGCATGTAACCTTCACCAACTAGAAAATTAAGGCATTCAATATAGAAATAAAATATGAATATTAAATATTTATAATCCCCCACAATAAATAAAATAAAATAGCCAAAATAATTAAATAAATAAAACGGTTAAATTTTTAAAACCCTTTTAAAAATTCCAACAATCCCCCACAAGGTTTTCAAAATTTTACCGTGACAAAAAAACAGTGAAAAATATATAATATATTGGGCAATATATTGTGTAATAGGTGTTGGTGTCTTCCGGGCTTGAACCTTCACTTAGTGATGACAGTCTCCATTTGAGGAACTTGAGCATACAAAGTATTGAACTCGGCACCTTTGACCAAACTTCAACATATCCCACACATAGTATTAGTTGAGACTTGGATGCGAGGTAACGCTATTTATGGCCATGCGCTAATCTTGATTCTCATGAGAGTTACTAGAGAATAGCCCAATTCTCACAGTCACGGCCTCACGACGTCTCTCACTTAGGTGAGTTCTCCAAGAGTACATGTGACCTGCACCCTGCGGGAGTTTGCCCTCCTCGAAACTCATTCAGGGATAAATCCCTTCCTGACGTCACATAAAATAGCACTTTTGCCTTAGGGATGAGCAGAAGAATATCTCAAAGATATCTCCATAGTTTTATGAGTGCTATATGAGTTACGCAGTATGGATTGTTTCTACCACATTGAACTTCCTTCATGGGATAGCCAATCACATAAGTTGGGTTACCTCCCTAGGTGACTCCCTTATGGGCTTAAGCACATGCCCCTCGACAGTTTGCATTAATGGCCTCCTCCACGAGGCATGCATATCAAGACTAGCTAGCCTTCACAAGGCATATGTAATGTAGGTCATGTCTTTGTTCTCCATTTTAGCGAGCTTTAAACCTGCATGTTATTAAAATATTTCCTACACAATCTTGCACACAAATAATTAGTGGATTTTGACCTTAGTATAATTGGAAATATAATACGCATTGGTATACATTTAAGTATAACGGAAGTACATCATACATTAAATATTATGATCAAGAGTACCTCTCAAGTCCATGAAACTTTGAGTACACCTGCTACCACTTATGAGCAACAATATAACAAATAATTCATTAAATAATTTTAACTATAAACACTGAGTATTTCAGGATACTCTTACTCCCTTTTGTGCACTCTAAGTGGCTGAATCATGATTGCATATCCAAGTTGAAATTGTATCTTGTCGATTCTCAGTATGAACCTATAAGACAATAAGAAGTCTCTACCAAAATTGTATACCAAGGTAATCATCAGTTGCACACATTTTCATAAAATTGAAGACAAGTTAGTCTCATAATAAAATTTTATAATGAAAATAAATTTCACACGGACATAACATGTTTGCCAAGGAAATATAAAAATTATTATGTCACTAAATGAATATAATGAATTTTCCCATGAGAGCATAAAGAAATTAAAAACACACACAAAATTATGGGAAAGAGAGAAGGAAATCCTACATAAAAGAATCTAATATTTTTTAGGTATAAAAGCAAAAACTGCTTTATGTTAGTAACAAATAAAATTACAGCATTAAAGTTCCCATTTAGGAAAATTCAACTTCCACAAATTGGTCTACACGTTTTAAAATAAAAATATTAATAATTATCAAACACAAATAATGTAAGCATTTGAGCGCTAATTAAGATAAAATAAATCTGAATAAAGGAGATATCAAAACTTATACAATAAATATACAAGATAACTTCAGTTTTAAAGAGGTAATCAAACCACTCAAAATCTGGGAAATTAAATTCAATATAAAATTGAAATTAATTTTGTATTTTGAACTACCCACAAAAATTCCAACAATTACTCACATAGTTAACAAAAAAACTCAACCCCCCACAAATTAAGGGTAGTCTCAAAATATATGAAGTACGCTATACCAAAATTTTATTTATTTTTAAATTCATAAGATATGCTAACTCACAATCATATTGATAGTTAATGTATATATAATAGTGAAACCACCGAAAGCCTCACAAAATAAATATATATAAAAAAAAATGAAAAAAA